GCCCCAAACCCAGATGCATTCTTGCTGGACTAAGCTACCCCTAGCCAAAGTGGTACAACCTGCCCTGCCTGCACTGGTCTTCAGAAGTTGTATTTACACAGTAAGCAAGGCCAAAGACCAAGTGATAAGGGGCTGGGGTACACCTAGAGCAGTTTTGGTCGGAGCGTCTTTATTATGGAAGGAATTGATATGCATATATATTTATGCACATGTACATGCTTTACTAAAAGAGGTTATAAAAACACATGTGAAAATAATGTTATGACGGAGTTTAGATTGGAAATTAGGGAAGTCGGGTTAGAATAGTGGCTCTTTCCTTGCCTTCCACCTCTGAAGCCTTGTTTTATAAATCCACTCATAAATTGCATTTTCAATGCATACCTGACTCTGATTCTGCAAGTTTTCAGTGGAATACCTGTGTTACTCTCCCACCTTTAAAACTGAACATTTCTTCACCGTCACTCATAATCATCCTGTACATTGTGCTGAATGTGCTACTGGATGAAGAGTTTCGAAGACAAATACAAAAACCTAGCTTCACGTTAAAAGAACAGACAGAATACTCCAATATCAGCTATCCCTCAGTCTCAACTGTCCAATATTTTTGCAACTTGGAATGGATGATTCAAACTGTAACTTTCACAAAACTGTTTGGTTCCTGAATTCTATAGCATTTCTAGTCCTAAACTTGATGAAACTGAAGCTGAGAGGTATGTCAGAAGGAACATGGTTTTTGTTTTGATGGCGCTTTCCGCAACTCAGGCTATTTGTGCCAATAACTGTATGTTTACTCATATACTTTATTAATCAGCATCACATTACAGAGTTAGGAAGGTCCAGTTTTAGAGGCAGGAGGAAATCAGAGTACCTGGAGAAAACCTGCGAGAGCGAGTATGGACTGGAAACCAAATGCACTTAAAGCCTGGGCCAAGCCAAGACTCAATCCTGGGCCTCATCGGTGCAAAGCAAGGAAAGAACCGCTACACTAACCCGCTCCCCCCCCCATGCTGCTTATTATATGGCCGGTAACTTTTAACACATGCACATGATTTAGTGACACTAGATTATATTTAATGTAAGTCTTACTCTTAGACCCCTCTTACAAACTTTGGTCTTGTACGAGAACTGTAAATCCTTGTTTGGGGGTTCTGTTCTCAAGAATTTTTCCTAGAAATTGGCTTTAGTCAATCAAGATTTCTCACTACATTTTGGGTGCTTAACAGTGGTTTCACAGTTATTTTTAATGTTTTTCCATAAGTATTGTTTGCTTATATGTGTTATCTGGTACTGTTTTCTTTAAATCACCAACTGATCTCTTTTGCGTTGGTTGCATTTCCTTTACATTTAAGAGGGAATGGTTTTGAGTGGCTACGGCATTGTTAGATTTATTGGGGGCTTCAGACTCGGGTTACATGAGCATAGGCCTAATCGCAAGTCAGATTTGTTTTTCTTAAAACAATCCCAAAAAAATCTCGCTCACAAAGTGTGGCATAAAAAATCATATGTTTCGTTGCCAAATGTCACATATGAAAGATCGTTTCATACTTCTGTGATCTGCAGAAGTTTCAGTAATTGTTTTTATCTACATGTAGGTCAGGGTTCAGATATATCTGAACATTTTAAACAAAACACAATTTAATTTTAAAGCTTCAAATTTTTGCCAGTACCTAACATAACATGGACAAATTTCTTATCATTTGATTCATAAAATCATGCCCTACATGTATCCACTCACCACACCATCTAAACAGACAGCTGATACTTTTTAAACGTGTTGTTCATAAAAAAAACTTTGGTCGACCTTTCACTTTTTCATGCACCGGTCTTATAAAAATGCATGTGTGGGTCTCTGCGAAGAATTTTGCAATTTGACTTCATGAGAGCGGGCGCTGCAGACTGACTGTTCTGGGTTGAAGTTTGTACACATACATGATCTATGTGTACAGAGACTTCCTTATCCAAATAAGGGGGTCAATTCTAAATATGTTATGTAATTTCTAAATAATAAAAATCAAATTGTGAAAATGAAATCAAAAAGCGTGATTCCAAGAACAACGGTAATTAGACAAATATAGAAATGGATAGCAAGGATTTAAACTCTACTTGTTGGCACATTAGTGTCTTACTAAAAGTACATGTATGCTACCATAGTACCTTTGTATTCAATGGCCGTGCTAGACAAGAGTTGCATTCCTATGCCAGGATAATATATTCATGCACACTGAATGGCTTCATTCACTACCTAATTAGGCCCATATGAGTTAACCAGAATGATTGTTTGGGGGTTCACCCAACAATGAATATATTGTTTCTCTACCCCTCATTAGCACTGCAGATTTCTTTCCCACCTTTAAAACTGAACATTTCTTCACCGTCACTCATAATCATCCTGTAACTTGTGCTGAATGTGCTACTGGATGAAGAGTTTCGAAGACAAATACAAAAAAGCTAGCTTCACGTTAAAAGAACAGACAGAATACTCCAATATCAGCTATCCCTCAGTCTCAACTGTCCAATATTTTTGCAACTTGGAATGGATGTACACACACTCATTACAAGTGCATGTACCTTATTTTATGTTCTGTCCAATGGAAGTTTAAACAGCTTTATCTTGCAAGTCCTCTAACTCTTAAAAATCAAACTGTAACTTTCACACAACTGTTTGGTTCTTCAACCCTAATCCCCTAGGGTGTATGTAAAATCGTATTGAAATTGTAGGATTTGGGATTGTTAGGGTTAATTCTATAGCATTTCTAGTCCTAAACTTGATGAAACTGAAGCTTAGAGGTATGCCAGAAGGAAAATGGGGCAAAATTTTCCTTTGTATTCAGTGGCTGTGCTAGACAATAGTTGCATTCCCATGCCAGGATAATATATTCATGCACACTGACTGGCTTCATTCACTACCTAATTAGGCCCATATGAGTTAACCAGAATGATTGTTTGGGGGTTCACCCAACAACGAATATACTGTTTCTCTACCCTTCATTAACACTGCCGATTTAAGTTTCAGGAAACTTTGGTATCATTTTGAGCAATTAGTAAAAAGTGAACGTAATATGAAAATTAAGTCTATTTGCCTATTAACACTTCTTCAATGTCAAATTCAAGTATGTGTAAGTTCACAGTCCTTAAACACACTGTACAAGCAGCTTATGGTATAATATAGTGAGCAAGAAAGATTTGTATCTTACATGCATAATCTTCAGGGTTTTTTAATTAATCAAAACTTACCACCAGTGGCACGTTGGTACATGTAAAATACTGGAATGAAATGTTAAATTTCATTGATAACAGCAAATGCAGGACTATCCCTTATTTTATCGATAATCTAAACATTCATCATTCTCCAAAGACAGATGGAGATTGGCCAAATCAGAGATAAATATTAAAGGTACTTCAATAAACTTCACGTTTTAATCTTCAGAATTGATTTAATCTTTGCAATTTTCGTTTTTGCGATTTTCCAAGATAGAAAGTACATTAAAAGGAAAGCTTCTAACTGAATTTTTCGGGCTGTCAGATGACTGAAATCTTATATTATTTTATTATTTTTCGAATTCAAATATTCAAATGCAAAACTCATGAAAACGATGGGAGAATTTTCTGTTGTCATAAATGAGAAAAATTGCACTGTGGACACTTGTTTCAAGCAGACTCAAATGAAAACGACAGAAATCTTTCGATTCAAAAATTAACTTATTCCTTACAAAATTTTAAATGACAAGATGTATTGTTCATCTCTAACTCATGACTGGAGATACTCCCAGACATGAAAAGCTATTACAGTGATTAAAATGTACAATTTTGTACATTATTGCAACTGATTTTGTATATGGATGGTTCATCAACAATCTGCAGGTCGGTACAACCGAATTTTCGGATATTTGATCGAATTGAAGGTCGAATATCCAAATAGTGAATTATTCAAATCGACTCAGCCCTACAGAAGATTGAGATGATTTTGGTCTCGTGAAACTTTGGCCTCCGTCTACGTCACAAAATACAGCACTGTACAACCAGATACAGCTGTAAACATGAAAACTGATGCCAAATCAAATCTCTTTTATGGAATAATGAATTCCAAATCGGGACCAATTGGACTCATGGTTTCCAGCTGCTTGACATCAGGGGATGTAATGGTGGTCTATCAAGTGCATAATAACCACCACATCTGAGCATGTACAGGGTTTTAAATTGTTCAGATATTTGCAGCTTCTTTCACACATACATCAGATTTTAGTTTAAGAGAAACAGTGTGTCGTCCACTCCATCATGCATGTACGTAAGAGAATCTGTACAAATATTTTGTGAAGACCACTCGTGTTCACATTTCAGATTTGAAATTTATTTGGAAGCTGGAAAAACAAAGAACTCAAACTGGGCCAATGGACCGTGGTCAATATTGGATGTACACTGTAATGTAGCAGTTCATGTCAAGAAAAAACTTGCTATACTGTCTGCTGGGACTTCTGGTAAATTGGTAGATGCAGATCTAACATTTAACTGTCCTTGTTTCCAGTCAACTTTTTGCTCGAAAAGCTGGCATTCAGGTTCTCAGTAACTTGCCAGTGCCTTCAAAATGTACCCGCAGGTTTAGCACAATTTGCCGAATTTGAGAAGGCTTTTACACCCCGACGTCAATAAATTCATAACACTGTACAGTCAGTGTTGTTTGAGAGGTCTCAAACAAATTCACAAGCTTACTTCACTGGGACTCGAACTAAAGACCTCCTCCTTCAAGTACAGACATATTAAGCACTGGAACACAGTGTAATATGATAATATGATGTAATATCTTTGGAAGTGGTTTATGTCATTGAAAGAACATCAGTGCTATTGGGTTCCTCCACAGTAAGGGATTTGGAGGATCTGGGATAGTTAGACAACATCCACTATGATGAAACTAAACTTAGACCTGTGTACAACGAGTACATGCCATTGTGGATTTGATGGAGTGGAGCACACTGGATGCCATAAGCTCAGTACATGTAGCTCACCTTGTGAAGTCACTATCCTGTCAGTTTGACAACATCTTTGACGTCTTGCACACATCTTAGGTAATGGGAAGAATGTGCATCTTCTTGCTGGCTTTCCTCGAGAACCACTCAACCTGACAACAGAACGAGAAAAGTTATTCTGTCACTGGAAAATGTTACGATGAAGCAGACAGGTTTACTCTGATACCCATTCAAGTATGGCAAGGTCTACATGTACTTCATTTCATAGGGCTGAGTCAATTAGAATAATTCACTATTTTGAATATCTGACTCTCAATTCGTTTGAATATGTCCAAATATTTGGTATTAGCAACCGGCAGATTGATTGAACAAAATCAGATGCAAGAATGCACACAATTGTGTATTATAATTATTAATCACTACAATAGCTTCTCAAGTCTAGGAGTATCTCCATATAACGATATAACGATTTAGCAAGATTTCAGAGACGAACAATACTTCTTACACTGTTGAAAATTTCTATTCCTTTTAAATATTTAACTGAATAATTTACTTTTTGAGTCACTCCAAGATTTCTGTTGCTTTTCATTTGAATCTGCTTGAAACAAGCCTCCATAATGTAATTTTTCCCATTTAAAACGAAAGAAAATCCCCCTTCCTTTTATGAATAATTTTGCATATGAAATATACAAATTGGAAAATAATAGTCGAATATTTGATGATCAATCGAAAATTTGGATAGGCCTATTTGGCACAGCTCTACAATTCCAATCTTTTTACCGCAGCTGCGGCTAGGATCAAACTTAAATGCACAGCCCTTCGAGTGCCCTAACTAACTGCTAAGCAACAAGGTTACTTGGTCTGAACAAGTGAATTGATACGTATATGATATCAGATTCTGTACAATGCCAATGTTTCAACAAAAGTGTGACCCGATGATGGCCAAATCTACGATTCAGTTTGGGCTATATATGTTGAATTCAATGTTTTAAGATAAGAGTAAATTCATTCTAAATTTCAAGTTGAATCGACATTCTTCCACATTTTTCTTGGAAATTCTTGAAATCAGCATTTTAAATGTCGAATTAAGAGTTTAGACATTAGATTAAAAGTTTAAAATGCACGACTAAACACTAGCGATGGCCAGTTATAGTTTTTGCAGCAACTCGGTAGGAAAAAGTGCAATAGCAAATGCGTGTATAATGCCCACGTTATTGTGCATTTGATCCTTTGTGTAAAATGTATGCTTACGTGCTTTCTTTTCCGACATTCGCACGGTGTTGACGAAGGTTGCGTCGGCATTTTGGTCTTTACGTTCAGTTCTTTAAGACACATACTCACTAAAAGTCGCAATTCAGACTGTCTCGTCGAGGAAAAGTAGTAATAGCCGACAAATTTTACTGTATTCTGCTATTAAACATTCGAGACACATTTCACGGCTCTTTCGCAACACACGCCATTGCAGTTCATAATGCGCGCGCATTTTTGAGCCACGTGCAAGCGCGGACTGACTGGTTCCCAGTTCCGCCATTAGCCGTGAACTGATGCCACGACTGAAAGATGACCGGGAACCAACAATTAATTCCAGTTCAATTAAGTTTGTTCTTTTCTTTGTTTTTTCAAGAGGGTGGCCAAAACCAGTAACAAGCATTTGCACTGAACAAAAACTGCAGTTACCGTGTGTTTGTGTGTTATTTGAAAGCTTAATTTCAACACCCAAGTCTACTTCCTGCTAATGACTGCTACATGCATGAGCGAAACTTTAACATTACGCTGTAAAGATTTAAGACCTGATAGTTTCACAGATGATGAACACATGAATGCACGTAATTAATTCGTATAATATACGAATAATATATTATTTTATTTTAAATTACAAGCAGTTAATTGTGGTGAAAAACTTATTTTTTTCTGTATTTGCCTAACCACAGAATGTATGAAAGAGTCGTTTTGGAAAAAGCAACAAGGCTAAACTATGAAAAGCGAATGCAACAGAGCAGTTATGCAGTCAGGGGGTTGGGGGTCAACCCAATTCCCGACTGCCTTTCTTTACGTTATTATTCAAGCGGCCTAGATCTAAAGGTTGGAAGCCCACCAGAAAGCATGTTGACTTCGTTTAGGTCTTATTTGCGTTTTCGGTTAAGGACGTTGTTGAGGCCTGCGTTTCTTTGTAACCAAATCTGCTTGTAAAACTATAGCGGGCCTATTTACACATATAAAATGCAAAAAAGAAAATTTCGTCATGTAATGAAGAGACTCTAACACAGTAAAATACATTAAGCACGTGTGCGATTTTGTTTGGGTTTTTCTTTTTTGTGGGTGGGAGGTACTTCATTTCATGAGAAACTATGTTTTTGCTACAAAAAATGTGGACTCATTTGGTAATGAAACCTAACAAATGAACTGTTCTCCTCCAAATCCCAAGCAAATATGTCATAAACTACTGAAGGTCAACATTTCTTACAGCTCGATGCATCTCAGTTTATACCTGGAACCAGTGAAGTGCGTAGGCCAACGTTTCTTCAAGGAGACAGGTATGAGAAGGGTCGCTTATGTTGACGTTGAGCAATTTTTAATTCTCGGGGTTCTTGCACCGTATTTGTTTTGTTTCATAAGTAGTATTTTTATCAGGCTATAGGCAGAAGCGTATCCACAGCCTAGTTGACATATGCGGATTTTACCTGTAATGATTGTCAGACAGGTTTTTTCCATCCTTGTAAGAATCAGCCTCAGCCCCTCCACAAGAGGGTGCTAATGCCATTTCAGTGTTAGCGCCGTTTTCGATTCCAAAAATATCAGGGCGGATCCAGGATATTTGCGGGGGGATATGCATTGTACAAAAGAGAAAGTGGTTGTGTAAAAAAAATGGCATTGAGAGGGAAGTTATATACCCCCCCTCCCCCATTCACTGGATCCGTGCCCAAATATAATGAAAATAAACATGACATTTCGGGGGAACTTTTTAACTTTTCATTTTGTGAATCACGTTGACAAACATTGACACAGAGGTCATCATATTGCTGGCATCATTACTNTTTTTAAAAAAAACATGTACTTAATTATCTTTTTTTTTATTAGTAAAGGAAACGTAATAACCCTGTTTATTTAGCTGTACCTCTAGCTGTAAATTTTGAGTGATTGAATAAATGGAGCTGTATGGCTCCACTTTCACGAAAAAAAAAAAAAAAAAAAAATACATTAAGCACGTGTGCGATTTTGTTTGGGTTTTTCTTTTTTGTGGGTGGGAGGTACTTCATTTCATGAGAAACTATGTTTTTGCTACAAAAAATGTGGACTCATTTGGTAATGAAACCTAACAAATGAACTGTTCTCCTCCGAATCACAAGCGTATATGTCATAAACCACGGAAGGTCAACATTTCTTACAGCTCAATGCATCTCAGTTTATACCCTGAACCAGTGATGTGCGTAGGCCAAAGTTTCTTCAAGGAGACAGGTATGAGAAGGGTCGCTTATGTTGACGTTGAGCAATTTTTAATTCTCGGGGTTCTTGCACCGTATTTGTTTTGTTTCATAAGTAGTATTTTTATCAGGCTATAGGCAGAAGCGTATCCACAGCCTAGTTGACATATACGGATTTTACCTGTAATGATTGTCAGACAGGTTTTTTCCATCCTTGTAAGAATCAGCCTCAGCCCCTCCGCAAGAGAGTGCTATACCATTTCAGTGTTAGCGCCGTTTTCGATTCCAAAAATATCAGGGCGGATCCAGGATATTTGCGGGGGGATATGCATTGTACAAAAGAGAGAGTGATTGTGTAAAAAAAATGGCATTGAGAGGGAAGTTATATACCCCCCTCCCCCATTCACTGGATCCGCGCCCAAATATAATGAAAATAAACATGACATTTCGGGGGGACTTTTTAACTTTTCATTTTGTGAATCCTTTGCTTGGTCACGTTGACAAACATTGACACAGAGGTCATCATATTGCTGGCATCATTACCGGAGTGTTCACTCAGTGCAGGGCCGGGGGATCCCACGACCAGTTTTCACAGTTCAACTTTGTGCTCGTCTCGGCACTGTCATTTGTCTCACTGTGCTCAGTGGCTATATGTACCAATAACATCATCATTCCCTTGACACCTGTAGTCGTTAGGGGGTTCCATTGGGCAGAGGAAGCTAAGATCCTTTGCCATGCTGGTCTGTCTGCAGCCTGTATTAAGAGGCCCCTCAGTCTCATGGTCATACCCACTCAAATTCTCTACGAAATAGAGCATTTTGTGGCCCATCAACTTAAAAATTTGTAGAAAAGACAGGTTTAGGCAAAGAGAATACCAGCTTGCGTCTGAGTGAGATTTGGAGAAATTGGTGCCTGAAAACGGTCTAATTTTTTTTAGAAGTGTAGGCATCGATATTTCAAAATGGGCTTCACGACTGCATTTTAGGGGTGACCTTCTGTGGAAATAAATATCTTCAAAAGTCATCGGTTAATTAATGGAAATTTGAAAAGAAGATGAAAATCAAAAACTAGGCTTTAATTTGATGTGCGTCTCGAGTACCTAAGAAACTCGTGAGTATTTTTCCTGATTTTTTGAAGTTCGGGTATTTATCACTGTTGGCTATGGCAGATTACTAAGTGGCCTGCACTAGTAACGCCCTCTATCGCAAATATAACTCGTCGTAGTCTGATGTCCTGCCCCTGGATGGAGAATCGGTGCTTCGGTTGAGCGGTTGAAACCGAAGAGACGTCAAGGAACACTGTGGAAAAAAACCCGCCGGTAACCGCACGGGGAATCCCCCGTGTAAAGACGCTTCACTACGACTAGTCCTACTGCTGCCGCCAGCAATTCTGGGAAAAATTGGCTTTCAGACATACGTTCTTATTTTTTTCTGATTCGTTAGTTTAAAATATCAGTTATATGGTTATATAGGACTATATTTAATTGCTTGTCTGTTAGTCCAAGCAAAGCTTAGACTCTACAAATCGCCTTTTTCAGCATTTGAACTTGAGCAGGTAATGCATATGAGGAATAGTAATAATTGCCCGACCATGTCCAAATGTTAAGTCTTGAAGGGAATTTGTAGAGGCCTTGGGCCTGTTTGTTTCGCACGGATCTGGATCTCGATCAGTGATCCCAAGGCTGGTTTTTGCTGTCCTTCAGGCAGGTTCTGGTGTCAGTGAACCAACATCGGATCACTGATTGCGATCTGAATCGGTGCGAAACAAATGCCCCTCAGGCTCGTAACTCGGATTTATTACTCGGATTACTCGGATCCCGTAAGTTTGCTCTTAGAATGGGCACGGAGGTAGAAAGTTCCAAATCTACATCCGTCTTCTAGATGAATTTGTTGTCAGTTGCCATTCAGTGGCACTGCATTGTGTAGATCTTTGTGCGATCAGTCAATGTTTTCCTATCTCCATGATCTTACTGCATGATTTGTCGATAATTCTGCCATCAGCTTATTGCTTTCTCTGTTTAATTCATGGTTAAGTAAAGTTGGAAGTTTCACGCAGACTCAAACAATTGCACAGAGCTATCATGCACAGTAGCCAGTCGCACCCAACAGTTTGCATTATTTCAGGCATGTCCACTGTAGGCCTGGAGTAGAGTCGAGCCTGGGGTTCAGATAAAATTGTAAAAGAAACTCAGGCCAAGTTTTCACATTCTTCAGCTTACGAAATCTCCCAAATTATGTGGTAAAGCCAAGATAAGGCTTACAGTGATTTATCAGTTCATGTGCCCCATTTGAGGTACCAATTTAATTAAGGAAAAATGTTTAAGTAGGCCTATTAGCTCAATCAAGATTAGTTGTTGCAAAAACTTGAAAATAATATTGAATCTGAGACTGAAAAACGTTTTCATTTCTTCAGATATTATTTTCAAAATGAATTTGTTCACAACCAATAAAATGTTGTCAGGATATAACATTTTCTACTTGAAGCCTAAGACCAGACTAGTTTGAATAACTCCAGCCTCATTGCTCATGACATCGTAAAATTCCTTGATGTCATGAGCATTGATCAGCTTAAACCAGACTGATTATGGTCTAAAAATTTGGGACTCATGTCTCCTAACCACACCAACTTCAGTTGCACAATGCTGTTTTGAATTGCTTAACTTTGGTTTTCCAAAATTGAGCTTGATCTGCGCTTAAAGCTGACATAATTACTATACATCTTTCTTTATGCAATGATGTGGAGTTACTGGGCAGAAAAAGTAAGGGCTCAGCAATAATCAACTGAGAACCAGCCAATATAGCAGTATACATCACTTGACTGGTAACCTGTTTCTGCTGCACAGTTTGTGTCTGTTGCAAAGCAGAATTCGGTTATTTCTGTATTCAGCAATTTTATGTAATTTGCCCAGGTATTAGATTTATGTACTTAGTTACTTAGAAATAGTTCGAAGGTACAGTGTCAATCATAACTGCCACTCAGTACATGTACTTAATTGTTTCCACCCTGATTTTGTTCAGATGCTGTGTGAATGAGAATGGCTTGTGGTGATGATGGGAATAATCTAGTTGTATCACACCGAGAAGCCTCACTCCAAGGACAGGTGAGTGTTCATAAATGTATGAACTGCTTGCACATTTGTATCAAGCGGAATTGCAGCTGAGACCTCTTAAGATCATCACAAGAGCGCAGAAGACCTCCAGTTTGATTTCAAGTCACAAGCTATTCAAATGAACTGCAACAAAAGCATTCCTTTGCCATAATGTTCTCTCAGTTACTTGTTACTGGTCTCGTGTCTGGTCCAGTGGTCTTGTGTCTGGTCTTGTGATGGTTTCACAAGCATGCACAAAGTGGTATCTTACTTTTTCTACAATAATCACAACCAAAGTACAGCAGATGTGATCGTAGATTTTTCCTGAAGGACTTCTATGTCTAACATCACGCTCATTACAAGAAAAGCATCTCAGTTTTAATTTTTTATGGGTTTGCACACGTTTCCCCCTCATCACCAGTGACAGTCAGGGAGGCTGTCCCAATATTGGAACACCCATCCTTCCCCCAAAAGAAGGTCCCACAGATTGGCACACCAAGACTGAACAAAAAAAAAGTTCTGTTGTGTGGATCAGTGGTCATATGCCATTTGTTGCTTGGTAATGTAGTTTTTCCTTTTTTTGTTGTAATGACCCCAAATACATGTACATGCATGTGTACCTTCCTGCTTTCCATTTTTTGGTAAGGTTTTCAACTTTCCTGACTTGATTTATGTCTGGTTGTCAGATGGCACTTTGTCTGTCTCTCTGTCACAGGATGAAATGCAAATTCTGGATCAAAAGTTTCGGAGAGCTCTTTGCCTGACCAGAGGTGAGTGAATACAGGCAAAATTGCAGCTTGTTTTATACCCAAAGCAATGACAACACAGTTCGAGGGGAGACAGTACGAAGTGCAAGCATTGCGGATGTCATCCAACTACTGTGGTTGGCAGACAGATGCACTGCAGAGGGACATGGTTAAAATTATCTGACGCCTTGGGAACAATAGTGTTGTAGATCTGATGCACTTTGCTGTCATACATGACAACTTTAGAAACTTTTCTCTCTCAAAGCTGTCAAAAGTTACAAGTTTTTATTCTATTAACCAGCCATCCAGTCACTGAATTACTCAGATATTTATGAAGAACTAAGCTGAACTCCCACAGACTGGAAGGCATCATGTGAAATTCACGTCTAGATTTCATTAGCTGATACACTGTGTCAATCATTTCATGTTCTCCTTGCCCAATCTTAGTCTGTTTCATTCTAAGTCTAGTTTAGCTCATCAAACAAATCATATGGAGCTCTATTTCAGCTCAGTTAACTGACATCACAATAATTTTTCCCAATCATGCAGATGTGTGCATCTCAAAAATGCACCGGGAAGATATACAGCTTCTTAACAAAGCGATGCATGAAAAGGCTCAGTTGCTGAATACCTCAAACAGGTTTCACTACATCAAGCTTGCATACCTTTTTGATATTTCGAGGGACGAAGCCCGTTCCATAGAATCGGCCGAGGGAGTTCTGGATTATCTCAAAGCAACGAGAGAGGTTGAACTGACTGTAGCTGAATTCCTTCAGAAGCTGAAAAACTGTAAACAGTGTTATGATGTCGTGCGTAAGCTTGTTGACCAAATAATCAATCGTGGGTAAAATTATATTTGATCACCGTTGATTCAAAATAAGGTATTCGTGGAAGCATATTTTGTTGAAATAGAAACGAAACGGAAATAAGGTTCACACACAAAGGTTGCATTTTATTAGACAAAGACAGCTTTTTGGGGGACTCATCACCAGTGTTGTTGCAAGACCTCTGAAATAAATTTCATTGTTACAGACAAATTTACCGAGGAAAACTGCCAACCTCTTTTTGCAAAGTTCAAATTAACGCAATTCGATGTCCAGAAGTGGATGTTGGTTTGTGTTTTCAAAATGATTCAGTACAAGTCATGCAGGATTTGTGATCTAATAGCAAATTTTATGAATTGTAAGTCATTCCAGTTGAGTCATGTTGAAAGCTGGGCATTATATGGGTTGATGACCCAAACTGTTCATTTCAGTTCATTTGAAATAATCTGAAACACTCTTCAATACATTTCCAATTCTTTCAGTCTCTGGGCACTGAAAATAGAAGAGAACCGTTTGAGTAATTGCGTAAATACAATATATTATGTCTGCAAAGGTTTATTACTTTATACGTGACTTTATCCATCAGTGAATTTGCATGTGTTACCACGATGGCAACAAAGGATGAAATTGTGATTAAGACAGGGGAGCAATCTCCCAACTCACCCTTGTGCATATTGCTGAGAAGTATAGGCACCGTGAGTGTCTGCAAGCAATACAGTTGCTGTCTTCATTATCCCCACGTCATCATTAAACCCTGATCAATGCCCATCAAAAGTTAGTTACCCCATGTTTATTCTAGTACTGTAGTTTAATCTGTCATCTCTGTCAATTGGATTTTTTAGTGGGTGGGGAGAAGGTGTGCATATTTTTAACTCCTACCATGTTATAAAAGTACAGAAGCCACAGCAACAATCCGATTCATAAGTGGAACAGTTCCAGTACATGGAACCATGTAACTGGAAAGTGAAGCGCAACTTGAGTGCTCACCCAATGGAAGCTTGCCATCAGTGGTGCAGGCACGTACGTGACAAAGTCACTTACGAACCGGATTGGGCCACCTAGTCCTCTTTTGTTCATACAAACATTTTGGAAGACCTCCCATATATGTTTTGTGCACAATTGTCCATCGGGGACCCTTGGTGAATCAAGCTGCTCTGCAGTTAATTAAGGACCTTTAATATTAAACATTGGAAACATCAATTTCTTATGCATTTATCTCATTTTGTAATTGCCCAGTGATAGTACTCTGTTCATAGATATTTTTGTATATGTATGGATTTTTTCAAAGTTTTGGGATTAAATTTGAAAGTTACATTGTATTTTAATGTCATGTCATCAACTTGTCAATCATTAGCCCTAACCCCCCAGGGTGCACACAAAATCACACCCAAATCAGAGGATTTGAGAAAGCTTATCTGATTGTCAGGATCTACTATTCCATTTCAACTGATCTTCAATTGTTTTACTGTATGTGTAATTCGCACTCAAGAGATTCTAAAAATATTAACCATGTTCTACACATCATATCTTCTTTTTGTGCTTGCATGCTGTTGACTTGTGGGGTCCACAGCCCTTATGAATATCCCCAGGGCTATGATTGTGGACTGGGAGTGTTTGAAGAGTTTTTCCTGAACTTCGACTTCTTGTTAGCTTTGGATTCACAAGTCATAATGCAGGGGCAAAGTTTATCATTGACATTTTATTGGGAAGAAATCCACATCTTTTTGGGAATAAAATCACACAAAGGCGCAAAAGCGCCACGGTAAATGCAAAAGCATCATGCCAAAGCACATTCACCACTTTGTGAATGTGTAGAGAGTCGATATGGTGAGTTCTAACTTCATGAAATCTGGTGGGCCAGTTTCAGTTAAAACTATACTGGACTGATCAGGCTCCTCATGCGACCTCCCCATGTGTTGAGTACAGGAGCCTGACGATTCGGCTGAGCCGGCCATCATGGCATGACACTTGTCATAAGCCATTATCATGATAGAACAGTGTTTTGTCTGCCCCAGTTTCTTGAAGCAGAATAGGCTAGTGTGGATTCAGAACAACGTACAGGTGTTTTCATAATAGTACGCCTCCAAGAGTTCGCAACGCACTGGTCAATCAGAATTCGGGGAAATCTGTCGTGTGATTGGAAAATGTGTGTTTGGAAAGGGTCAACAGAGTATGCGCATTGTGATTGGCCAACGCGTTGCAAACTCTTGGAGGCGCACTGTTGTGAATCACCCGTACTGAGAGAGGAAAGGGGATCAAAGACTAACCTTGGCCATAGTTTGAACAAAAATTGGCTGTGTTTCTCATTTGGTGTCCACATACAGTTGCAAAACGTGATTCCGGCTTTTCCACTCTAATTCACACTATATTTTATGATGTTTTGTAAAGCAAGGTACTGTTTTCATAGCACTGTGTGCACATAGTAGTAATCCATATTTACAACCAAATTCAGCCTTTTAGGTTGTGTGCATCAGGGGTTGACCAAGAAATTTTCCAGGACCACAGAGGCCCACCAGGGTTTTTTAGCATCATGTTAAAGGACACTCAGGTTACATTGTCATGTGCTTGCAGGATGCCGTCTTTCATACTAAAATATTTTTCCTGTTTTGTGTGTCTGAGCATGCAGGCCGGGATCAACAACCCCCCCCCCCAACTAAGTCTGTGTGCTTGCTTTTGCAGCAGCACTTTTACTGTGCATGCTGTAGCCGTGGCGCTTTTGCTTTTGCCGTGGCAGTTGTGAGCCACCGTATAAACTAGTCACGTTTTCCTCTTTTGATGTAGCGATCGAGGGCGCTATAGATGAATGAGCTCATTGGGGAAGTCCCTGTATTTAGTCCAAAGTTTCGAAAGAAGTCATGCTTGCGCTACACAATCTTCGGTCATGCCACGGTATGCGTTGTACAGTGCTACTGCTAGTGCCACTGCGTTTAGGCATGGTAGTGAATCTGGTGTTGGAAAATTCCTGCTAACTGTAACATTGTTACGATCGTGATGAGAAGTCACCCAGCTGCAGCTGTCATGGCTAGTACGTTGTCTGTCGGAGTATTGGCTGCATGCCTCATCACGGTGAGACATATTCGTGCCATTTTGTTTGTAATCGTCATCATGGAGGTAGAAAAATCTACCTTCTCCAGGTTAGCATGTAGCAAAATCGCCAATGTATATTCTCTTGTGGTTCGAGAGACATATCCACAAGTCATCATAATTCGCACTCTAAGTCCTTTGACCAAAGTTTGTTCTTAAATATACTCAATTTTTACGGCTTCATTTTCACTAGTTCAAAGATTGACTAAAATCCTTCGAGGAATAATATTATGAAGAACATTGGATGTCACCGAAGCAACAGGAACAATGTCGTCTGCAACCGAGTCGGATTGGTTCTAGTAAAACCTATGTCACCATAATTCGCGCACGTACGTTGCAAAATGTTGTTTTATGGGGCATCGGTAATGCCCTACTTCTGAAATACATGTATCTGCCAGTTAACCCTAACAGTCCCAAATCCTCCAATTTCAATACAATTTTACATACAGGAATTTTTTTGCAATAATTACTTTGGTTTAGTGATGCAGTTTGAGGAAAAAACACTTCTATTCACCATAGCTTGACTTCCCATCACCTTCTCTTTTTCGTTCTCCTAGAGTTTAGTTTTTTTATTCACTTTGAAGTTACAGTGAGGCATGAATTTTCATTCTTTCAATTAAATTATATTTAGCATTAATATGAGTTAGTTATCTGGATATTATGACAAAACTTCTCTTTCTACGGTTATTTCTGAAAAAGTCACAAATACAGTGCCACCGAATCCACGCCCATCGCTGCCAACGGGAATCTCAAAATGTAATGTGTGCAGTACTTTTTTAGGCTTCACATTTTTGATAACATCCTCAGTATTTGGTGAATGTTGATCGAAGTTGTCGTTAGTGCCCATATCGGACGTCCAACATCGATTGTGAACAAAGAGCAATCATTTATCCATTGCCTAGACAATTTCAACTGGTTCATTTTTGTATTTAGTCTGCAAAGTAAAGCTTTATGGTATGTGGACATTTTCCCAAATTCTCCCTGGAAAAGCTTTTAATTTACACATACTGTAGCTGAGAAAGAAAAATGTCAAAGTGGCAATCGATCATCAACAGCAAATTAACGTGAGCGCATAATCTCATTGAAGAGTTTCATGATAAGAAGGCTCGATGTGCGAACATTTGTATGCGCAAATTTAGCATACTCCACAATACTAGTATTAGTTTGCTTGAGTCCCCATCTATCTTAAAGTGATCCGGACTCTTGATCATGTTGATTTCATGAAAATGAATGCAAGAGCATCATCCTACCTTATTTGGGCCCTTCAAAAAAAGAAAACAAAGATAACAATTAAAAACAAAAAACAAAAACCACACAAAACAGAAAAAGCAAAGACAACAAATCACAGTACTCCATAACTTGGGGGACGATGGATTCAACGTATTTTCCTCATGTTTCTTTCAGAAATGATTGTTTACAACAGAGCCTCTAATTTTTCCACTGCTTCCCATTCAAAAGAGTTTCTAAAGGTGTGTGAGGATTAATTTATGTGTACATGAGGGTTAGAATTTGTAAGTACATGCACCTCCAATCTTCAAGAGCTAATGACAAAACAAGGAATCCCTTATGGGAACTTTGAGACATTGTTCATCATGTATCTCCCCACAGTTCAGCCTCTTCACTCAAAACAGAATGGGGGACCAGGCCAAAACCTGACCTTTCCTCCATGGGCATTTGTAATATCCCTTCTGTGCAAACTGTTAATCTTCCACATGCCTTCCTTTCAACATCTTGAATTGGACTCATCTGAAATGAAGAGGGCCTGCGTTGAGCGCCCTCACAGAGGACAGGTCTTTGTTCCTGTGTGATATGCTTGAGTAGACACTATGGTCGAGGTCGGGCAGCCCGTTCTTGTTTTTTGTTCTCGCTCTCAAACGGGGGAACACGACCCAAGAACACTGTTCTCGGAACAGGTTCACACACCATCTCCTCATCAGGATTTTACACGAACACACAGAAAAAGTCGTGAGATTTGATTTTTGAAACTATCGAGATGGCTTACAAAGCTGGAGACAATGGAAAGTTTGGCAAAATTAACATTAATAATTTTCCATGACAGAAATGATTTTTTAAATGGAAAAGAAGTTAGCCCAGTTACCCAAACATTAACTCTTGAAGAATGCACTAGGATGCTGCCATGTTGCATGTTGCTTGCTACAAATAACTAGTAGCAATAACCGGTTGTACGTTCCTGGAGTTCGAGCGGCCAGCCCATGAACAACAAATCGAGCTGTTCGTGAACATGCAAGAACTAGCCGCCCAAACTAAGCCTATAGTACTTCATTGTCATCTAAATCTAGTAACAAAACATGTCCTCTGTGAGGGCGCTCCATGCAGGTCCTCAGTTGGGATCAGTGTTTTGCAATCTCAACACAAAGGATTGCCTACTGTTCTTTGTGAGAATTTTGTCAAAGGCTTTTGACTGTATAGGTACATTCTTGGGCAATCTAAAATGTCATATTTTTTTAACCCTGGGTCTTTGTTACTGAACTGAAACTTCCTCTGTGAAGTTCAAGTACAGTGTAGTTAACTGCACCACAGTTAAATCCTGCCAACAAAAATGGTCCTCTAAGAGCCAAACTGATGTCCAGACAGACCTGACTACGTGTGTCTGAGAAGGCTACAACCAAATCCAGTACATGATTTGAATTTTTGTAATCTAGATTTAAAGTTTGGTGGAAATTCCTTAGACTAAGAATAAGTTTAGCAGTTTGTACTTACTTGCAGAGCTGATGTGTTGTCAGTTTGGGTTATTTTGATATAAATCGTGCCCATCTCCTTGGCCTGGTTCATCCTGCGTGCATTTGAAAGCGGAATTTAACTTTAATAGTTTTGTTCAAAATGCATATACATGTATACACAGTGTAAATTGTGATTAGACTGTTTTTGTATTGCTACTTTTAAAGTTAAATTAGGAATTTTCCTTAAGGAGAACACCCATTTCCAATTAGACCTTTTTAAAGAACATTTTTCTGGATAGGTGTCAAAATTCTATTATTATTATTGCTGGTTTATTTAAATCAAACTGCCAATAGCAGCCCAAGGGCTGAATTGCGGAGCACTGTTACATCGGAATTTAAAAAGGGCTACATAGATAAAAAAAACATTAAACAGTATACATGGATAAGCTTAAATTTCAATTTACATAATGATATAAAAGACATTTAAAGCAAAGAAGAAAACACCAAAAGATGATTGTGTAGTGGACTTTACATAACAAAAGTACACGTTTGTTAAAAATGACAGGGGTTACTAGACAATACATAGGAGACGGATGACGAGACTTAAATAGACGAATTTATAAGTTTTGTGAAATAAAGGAGCTGGCTGTTGCTGAAGCATTTAGTTTTGCAGGTGAATTCTTGAAGAATTGTATTTGATCTGAAGTGCATCCTGTGATAACTTTGGGATTTATTAAGCGACGCATTAAATCTATCAGAATCAAAAGTATTTAGAGCAAATTTAGTACACAGATCAATTTTTTCTACTAACAAGTGTTTTAAGTCCAAGGACATTGAAGGCCTGGTCATAATAAGTGTACGATCGGTCAAGTATGATGCGACACACCTTTGTCTGGATTGATTCCAAGTTACCAGATGGAGAACATGTAATTCCAGAGTGCCACAAGGGAGCAGAGTATTCTAAAACAGGTCTGATGTGTCCTTTATATTATATATGATAACGAGTTCAGCATGAATTAGGCCGCACATTTTTAAGTTCCTTAACATGGAGAGCTTTCTCTTGACTTTGCCGTCGATGTCGGTTAGATGACTATCCCATTTCAAGTTATGCTGCAATGTAACACCCAGTAGCTTCACCCTCTGAACTTGATCAAGAGGAACTCAAGCTATATGAAATTGTGTGTTTGAAAGTTCCTGTCTACCGAAGTACATCTGCATGAAGTGACATTTGGATGAGTTAAGGGAAAGCCCATTCTCAACAGCCCATTTACTCAGGGTCATAGGCCTCAATTTGTTCAGGGTGGGTAACATTTGTTTCGGAGTTGGCACAACATTTGCCTGTTTCCACTGGAGTGGGATAATGCCCTGGGAAAACGACATATTCAGGATATCAGTAATAGGGGTGCTTAATTCATAAGCAAACTCCTTGACAATTTTTGCAGGCAAATTGTCAGGTCCACCTGATTTCGATACAGAAATTTTCTTAAGAGCACTAAAAACTTCTCAGGGTTGAACTTGGGGTAGTGGCTCGTGGGATGGCAAATAGGCTGGCAAATTGTCAAAATTAAGTGGATCGTGAGATTGCGACATGGACTTCATTATCAAAGTTGTCACTCGACTGCTTGGGGTGAAACCCTGAAGTACATGTAGGTTGGATTTGGGGGAGGGATCAGGGGTGGGGCCAAAGAGGGCCCAAATATATAGCTTGACCCCCGAAAAGACCATAATAGCTTACTTGAAAAACAAATTAATAAATTGCTGCCCCCTCCCCCAGATAATTCAGTTCTGGATCTGCCCTTGGTTGGATTCACACAGATTTTGTCTCAATCTTCTAGAAGTATATGTTCATGTACATCAAGCAATAATTATGAAGTGAAAACCTTATCATAGCCTTCTCGGGCTACTCCAAGATGAATTTTTCTAAACATTATTTATTACAGGGTAAGCTAACGGTTTCCCGTTGTCTTTACTCTAATGCATTTCTATTTATTTACACCGTATACATGTAATTCTTAGACTGCTGGAGCACCCACTGCTGTGCCCTCATGCTCGAACCTTGCCGATGGTACACCCCAGTTCTATGATGAGCAAAATCAGCAATGTCATCCTTGTGAAAGGTGTGATCCGGGTGAAGGTTTATCTGAGGTACGTGTAATAGGAAAGTATGTGAACATGTAGAGATGGTGGGACAACACAATTGGCTTGTTGTCGTTCTGCAAAGGTTTTTGGGGGATGAAAAATTATGTTGAAAAATTGATGTTGTCAAGTTTTTCCCACAGCCAACAGCAGCCACACCCTAACAGCTCATTTCACATCATGCTGATGCCGATGTGTACATGTACTCAAACAACAGTAATTCCTTCCTGTACATGAACAACAGGTGTGTGGTGATGGCCTAGGTAAGAATGCTCAGTGTCTGCCGTGCAAGGAAGGCACCTTTTCACCTGTCTCCCGCGCCCATGTGTGTGACTCCTGCCGCCTCTGCGACAACACCCAAAATGATAAGATACCTTGCACTCGCACTACAGACCGGGAATGTGGCCCCTGCAAGCCTGGGTGAGTCTTGGATATTACGTGTGACTAAGAGTGTTGGGGGTCTATCAGTGATAAAGATGCAAAGGGTAGACTTTTGGAAGGTACTGGATAGTACAGGAATAGGAGTATGGTTGGAAAAGTTCAGCTAAAGTTCATTGGACACAATTATACAAATTATTGTCCAAAGCTTAAACTTAATGAGGTATTTGTGCAGCAACAGTTGTGATAGACAGCTTCACTATTCAAAAAGAGGTAAGGTGGTTTTAAAGTACCCTTTTTCAGTGATGTCTAAAATACTAACTGGTATTGTTAACCGCTGACCACAGTGCTTCCTCAAAAAGTCATTTTTCATTGATTCTCCACCATGCAAAGCATTATTTGTCTTTCATTATTAACACCTAAGACAGATGATAAAACACTGGCTAGCTGGTCTTAAGCGCTTTTCCGGTATCACATGAACTTTAGACTCCTACAGTATGAAATTTGTTCTTTTTTCCCTTATTGCATTGGCTGAAATTTAAAATCTTCACGTGTAATTGCCCAATGAGTCTGCATTCTAGGAGTCCCAAATTCACACTACACCAGCTCATCTCGTTCTGTGTCACCTCACACAGTATGCGCCACGTGGAGATTGTTTACTAAGGGTGGGACATTGACCTGTTTAAATGTTTCAACGAAACAACTTCCAAATCCATATAAACAGAACCGCCCCTTTTAGATGTTTGACGTTTTGATTGATGCCATCTGGTGTTCAACTTTATTGTAAACGATGCCTGTAAAATGTATTCTGATTTTCAGAACACACATTTAAACAGTATGGCATGTATGGGAATGTTTTCTAAACCTTTTTTCAAATTAAACATAAATTCCCACGTGTGATATGTATACATGTAACATTGCTGTAACAAAATCAGTGGAACTATACAATTTTTAAACACGCGCTTTGATGTTCTGACTCAAAAGGTATTTATGAATGCTTATAAACGTGCTTGGCTGGTCGTAAATGTTTGGATCAAGACGCTGATTATGAACAGCGTCCATTCTCTTGATTCAGTCTTGAATAATGATTAAAGACTGGCCAAGCATATAATTATTCCCTTCATGTGTATGTGGTTTAACTAATAGTCAATTCATAGTTGTAATAAAATGAAACAGATTTGAGAGATTGTGGTAGTTTGCTGCAGGAATCGGAACGATAACGTTTGTTTGTTTTTCATTGCAAATCTTTATCTTCTGGTCCAACTTCAATAGATATTTTCGTCATGATGAGCGCAATGATCACTGTGTGAGTTGTGCTGATGAGCGCCACATCTACCTCTATCCAGACTGTCTCAGGTCAACATCTCCACCAGCCGGGGAGGACCCTCACAACAGAGGTCTTCGTAACCTGACATCTTCATCACCTAGTCCTATAGGAAGTCCTCTGAGAAGCCCTTTCACCATTGTCCTCATAGTGATACTTGTAATTGTCGTTGTGGTGGTGGTGGTCATAGTTGTGCTTACTGTAAAGTTTTGTCCCCCAAAATGTGTCCACAACAATGCAACAACAAGAGGGTCGCCAACATTGGAAAACAACCGCACAAGAGGCTCAAACAACTCTGACCCCCAACCAGAGAATACACGCTTAATAACACCAGGTAATTGAAAAAAGGAGGGAGGGGGGAAACACCCCACAACAACAACAACATTTACAGCCTTCTGTACCTCTTGCCACTCTAACCCCTTCACGTCGGGATGCAGAAAAGACGCCGTAAAAATTGAGATCCCTCAGCCCGCTTTTCAGCTCGAGCGAACACGGTGAAAAAAGGCATACCCTGGCTCTTGTACATATGGTGACTCCCAACCAGAGAATTCACGCTTAATAACACCAGGTAATTGAAAAAAGGAGGGGGGAAACATCCCACAACAACATTTACAGCGTTCTGTACCTCTTGCCACTTTAACCCCTTCATGTCGGGATGCGGAAAAGACACCGTAAAAATTGAGATCCAATTTAGAGCTTCACAGTAGTCCCCAATTTGAAAAGAGGCAACGGGAATGTGGAAGCGTGACTAGAGCCGCATGCCACCGAACAGTGAGCCTTTTCACCGTGTAAATCAAAGCGTGCAGAGCAAGCATGGCCACAAACCGAGAATTTGCAGTTTGGCAGGTGGCCTTTGTGGCCAAGCCAGGCTGGAATTCTCAGAGTCGGCTTTCAGAAAAAAAAAATGCCGTCAAGGGGTTAAAAGGAAGAATTTTTCCTTGAGTAGAGAGGCAGCTGCGTGTGTTGTTTCATTTCTCATTGTAGAATTTTACATACTTTATACTGCAAAGATGGTTTGTTATTGAAGGGAATTTGTTTTCACCAAAGACGATTACAAATGTTCTGGAATTATTGCCAGCTCCTGATCCCTCCCAGACCACACCAACCGGTGAAAGAACACAAAGAGCCATACCATTTGAAGAACCACCCACTGATGATGACAACGAGGCTGTTCCAAGCGTGCCGAGTTCCGTTTGTGATGAAGGACAGACAGACAACGATGGAAGTGATGATCGGAGGGGTTCCAACCAGTCATCAGCGAGTAATACCACACGGGACAGCTCCACACTGCCTGGTGGAGACCCCCAGGTACCCTTGCAAAAGTTAAGGCTGTTTCAAATCAACTGACTGGGGCTAGGAGGAGCTCATGTCTGAGCCAAGTGTCTACATCTGCTAGCTGGTGGCTTCCACTTGTGTGTCTTGAGTACTCTTTTTCATTAGCCTGGAATGATTACCAGACAGAGTGACAGAAATGCATGTCACTCTTGGCATTAGATGTCACATCAGTCTTTCTTGTATAACATCATGCATGCACCCCCCCCAACAGTGTATAGGATTACACAAGGGATGGCAGCTGCTAAAGTTCTAAGATTCTTTTGTCACCCTTAATTTCATGTAGAAAAAAAAGAGAAACATCATTAAGACAGAGGTGTGACAAAATAATTGTTGACTGCTGTGATGTGGTATATGACATTTTGAACACTCTCAGGGTTGCTTTGCATCCTCCAGGTGTTCAAACACCATATCCCACATTGCAGAAGTCAGTAATTGTCCACAGTATTTCCAGCTGCAGCAACTTTAAGATGAGACTCGCAATTGTGGTAACAACCGTGAATACATACTTTTTTCATGGTCTGTATTAACAACTTGCAAACACCATTATGCTAAGGTCAGTTGTCCTGCAAATTCCTTGTAAATGCATGTGAAACAAATCATTTTGTGTTTAATGTACTCTCCTCTTCACAATGATCTTATCAATCTGTGTTCAAGTTCATCTCAAGACCAATCACAGGTCTCATCAAAAGACTAGTCTCAAGAAGCAGGATGAGCAATGACAAAGAAACAAAGAAATGACCTAAGTTCATTTGCATAACATGTGACTTGGCTTAAGACTGGATGACTTGTGATGGACTTGTGGGGACTGGTCATAAATTTGATAACAGACATAAACAGTGGATCCAAAATACCTCCATAAACATGTACATTGCATGAGACTCTTTGCTGAAAAATAGGAAGTGATATTTAAAACAATGTTGTTCAGAAAAATACTTTATGCAGTAGTTTAAAGAAAGCGAACTTTGACTTTGTTTTATTTTGCAGGATAAGGAAGCCAAACGAAGCCAATTTCTGGAAAGGTTTCAGCAAGCTAAGAAGTACACCAAAGGTACACTATTTCTTGCTCTTTGCACCATATAATCTTTGGGAAAATGCCTTTCATTATTTAACCCCTCTATAAATCCCCATCATCACTGAATAGGAGCGTTTCACAATTTTATGCCTCCAAGTGTTTGTAACACATTGACAAAATCTGTCAACCCAGTGCGGGATTGGAAAGGGTCGACCCAGTTTTCGCGCACTGTGATTGGTCAATGCGTTGCAAACTCATGGAGGCACACTATAGTGAATCGCCCGTATCATTAATGGTAGTTACCAAATGGTAGCTATTTAATAGAACATTCTACTCCTCAATTTGGCACTATTGTTGGTGTTGTATGCTGCGCTTCACACAAAGTGCCAAGCAATACTGATAAATGCAAAATACCGTTCCTTTTTCTTATGGATAAAGCAATTTCGAAGTCTGTAAGTGATGCTGTAAATAAATCAAATAAGCTAGCAAAAATCAGAGGACCCACAGGGAAAGTTTTATTAAACTGATTCAGAATTTAATAATTTCTTGTTGCAATGTTACGTTAGTTTTACAAGTTAAAAATTACGCATGGGGAGTACATTGGAATGTTGTTTAGAGGAAATAATAAATATTTCACATTCGTACAATGGAACAGTCATTATTAAAATGGATAGAGGTTTAAAACAGAATCATGTAAACAAAATTTTCGGGCCATATTGTATACAAAAAAGGACGTCCATGTATGGCATTTTGGCTGTAATTAACAAATATGAATGTAACCTCTTCATTTCACAGATGTTACCATTTCACAGATGCACAGGGCAGATAAAGAGTTACTTAGGGACCACATGCATGAAGATCCACAGCGGCTCCACATCTCTACAAGATTTAACTTTGTCCGTTTTGCTGAGCTTTTCGACATTCCAGAAATGGAGGTGCGGAAAATGCATTCAGCCCTGGATGTTTTAGATTACCTCGCAGCACACAGGGAGGTTGAATTGACCGTGCCAGAGTTATGTCAGATACTGTATGACAGTCATAAGTGTTGTCATATTGTGCGAGACCTTGTTAATGAAATTATCGATCGAGTTGAACAAAAATTCTCTTGATGTTTGAGATGATATTTTCCCAATTACTTAATTGGTAGACTGTGCAAAAGATATGTGTAACTTGGTGTATATTATTAGTACTTGTGATATTATTAGTACTTGTGATATTATTAGTACTTGTGATATTATTAGTACTTGTGATATTATTAGTACTTGTGATACATCTGCTCCGGAGCCTGAGAGTAAACGATCGCACCATGAACTTCTAGAGCCCTTGCATGGTCTTGCTTACGAGCATTTTCGTAGTTAATTTTATAGTTAAAGAGATAGACTGCTTGATTTTTATATTTTTTTACTTTTCATATGATTTATTGTTTCCCCTAAGGCTGAGGTCATCCGATGATTTCTGCTATTGATATAGCAGAGGGGTTCTACATTTTAGTTGAGTTTTTGGCCCGTAAATGTTTTAAAACCTTCAGAGTGATAGCAAATGAGGGAAATCCCCTTCTTTGATCTTAATCTGGAGCCTTTTCCAATGGCTTCTAACTGTCATTGACACCTGAACTATCTCAAAGAATTGTGGTACATATAGCAGAGGATATGACCACAAGTCACAGAAATTAATGTTCAGTCTTATGGGCTGTACACATTATGGTGTCTCCAGTACCTGTACTGCAGTGTAAGATCCATCCTTGCAGAGTATGCAATATCCAGGTTTGTAGTAACTGACTGTGCATAAAGTGTTCATGTGTCTAATTCACACTTGCCTTAATGCCGTGCGACTGCCATAAGTGAAAGATCAGTTTTTGCACAGACTTAACTTTAATGTGCTAGAAACAATTCTTTAGAGAGTATATTTCCCTTTTGGTTTTCTTAAGCAGTCATTAATTAAAAGTGAAGACCTTCCTACACATAATCGAATTTAAGGGTTTCAGAAGCATGCCACAATGAATGAACTTCAGTCTTTATTTTAATTTCAGTGACAATTCAACCGTTGAATCTAGGGAATATCATTGCTTGTACATGCTGCTCCAACACTGCACAAATGTGATAGTAACTTAGTAAGTAGATAGTTTGAAGAGTAACCAAATATCTAAAGCATTTCAAATGAGTTGTTGATAAGCTTGTATAAAGGATATAATTGCTTTGGTGTACCATTTAATGGTGTAATCAAAATATGTTTGTTTTAGAAGTATGGCTAGTTGATATCAGATTAAATGTTAATGTTGCCCTGTTGTGCCATGAATATCACCAGGAATTCTGACAGGTTCATGAAATGTTTAGGGAAGGACATCTGAAATCATAGCAGTCTTACTCTTAGTGTGTTCATTATGTGTTCACTAATTGTGAATCACTGCCATTATGCAATAATCAGTTTCTAAACTTGGCAGCTTGGATTCACAAACATCTTTGCCATGATAGTCTGCGATTGTTTAAATAATTCAGTGTCTGAACTTTTGTACAGTTGGTCATATCATGATAGTGTTTTGAAAGGGTGAGAAATACATTTTCATGTAATTGTTTTAACTCTCTTTGGAATGTTTTACAAAGTCCATATTTGCTTGATGTTTTGCCAAATGACGGTCAAAAATAGCAGTTACCTGCACTGCTGTTTGAATTCATGTGGGTTAGAATTTACACAAATTAATAAACACCTAAGGTAAATTGAAAGCCAGCCGTCCAAAATGTTTGAACCACTTTTAAAAACAAGTAAACAGAAAAGAAATCAAAATGAACAAGAGAAATGGGACTAACTGAAATGAGATTGTTGATAAACTTTCGTCCACTGGGTGCAAGAATTCTAGCCGGGGACCAACAGCAGCATTTTTGCAAGCTAAGTAAGGACGTACATGTACATGTGTACAGTAGTATACATTAGTTGAATTTTTGCTTCAGTCATGTACTGTAGAGTTGACTTGGTTATATGTACCTTATCCCTACATAGCTTTTGCGGCTGATTGGTTCAACGTTTAGGAATATGACTCTAGCAGGGAATTCTATGCCTTTTATGCTACTTGTTTCTTACCCAGAAACATTAATATGGACAGCCAATGTTATTCACACAATATACAGTACTATATACTTCCATTTCAGGAAAACTGCACTCTGCATGTTTAACAAAGGATGTTTTGTACTCACTTTTAAATCAGTACTGAAATAATGTGTTCTGATGGTTTCATATTCTTCTATGAATCATGTATATATTGTGTATATTTACTTCCATCAGTTTGTACATTTTCTACGGCTTAATACAGCAATAAAATTGCAATTTACTCAGATTCGGCTGCAAGAGATCAAGTGTTCCATTTGTTGCAAGTTAATTACAACTTTTTCAACGGATAAGGAAATAATATTCAATAATATTCAATACTAAACTAAAGTGAAGTCTCGACTGCCGTAATTCCTACTCTGAAGTCCACTCTGAAATCAATTGCACAGCCAACCTGTTGACCCGTATTTCATATTCTCTACTGCAATTATTGCATCGGTTCCCACACTATGAAATTCTTGCTGTACAGTGTTTATGCACAGGGCAAAACAGATTCTGACGTATATGTCCGTGTATTGTTCGGTATCTTTTGTGGTGCACTCACGCATACGTAATCAACCACGGGACGAAGCGATCCCGATCGACCAAGCACTTTCCAAATCGGGATCAATCACCATCGAGCGCGCGCACACTGCAATCGCTCGTCAAATTTGCGCGAATTCAGAATTATTGCTGCGAATCACATCCTTCGTTCTTCATATATTTGAACTAGGTTTAACCGAAGAAGGAATATTTTGGCATTTGATTACGAGTGGTTCCGTCGATGTGAGGATTTTGCTACCACTTAATAAGACTACATCAACAGGTTGCGAGAATGAGGACGGTGGGGAGCAAATCCGCCATACCCGGATTATGCCTGATGGTTTGGCTGCTGATGGCAAGAGTAGGGGACGCAACATCACAGGAGCAAGGTAAGACTGACTGGTACCATACATGTACCATGCATGTACCAAGTCATTTTACACACACTTCACATTTAAATATAGTGTTTTATGACACATCCAAAGTAGAAAAGCCTAGTAAATATAATTCAACTCTCTCATTAGTTTGTTTTCGTTCTTTTGTTTCAAATCGTTGATGAAAAACAATAAACAGACACATTGAAAATCAAACTTTTCCTTTAGACCGGTCCACAGTCTATAGTTTTGTTAATCACAGGATACTGGAAATTTAGGGTTCCCGAATACAATACTTCATTGAACAGTATAAAAGATGTATTAAAGACTGCAAAATTTCTTTCTGAATCAAAGTACCGGGTGACGAGTGGATAAATCTCGCGTTTTCCATTTCTACTTCAAGAAATGCTTCCTCTGATACTGTGAAATCCAAATAAAACGAAAGTGAAACCAAAGTAACAAGAGTATTGCAGAGTTAACAGTTGACAGTCTTAAAGAGTAATATACATGTATTCCATGAGGCACAAAATACATCCACGTACATAGTTACAAGATGGGAGATACTGACTTTTGGTTGACTTTAAAAATGAAACAACGTGGAAGCAACATATTTCTGCTACTGATTTAAAAGAAATATCTCAACAGTCGTCACAAACGAAAAGGATGATTATGACTTGAGCTATTTCCCCGTGTGTGGGTACATACTTAGGGCTGCTCACGTTCACTGCCTTTTGTTCAACGTGAATGGGTGTAAGGGGCCGGAACCAGTATGACTAATGTTGACTTATTGATTGACGTAGTGGGGTTTCACTGTTCGCTAGTACCAGGGTATGCCTTACCCATACGCCAACAAGCACATGGAACACCTTGAACATGAGGCGGACGGACCACATCAATTGGGGAACATTGTCATTGTGTACCAATGGATCTGTGGTGAAATACTGGCTACAAACTTGTCTTGTGGTATTTTCGAAAACGACATTATCGGTACTTGACTGTGCGGACTTTGCCAAACTTTCACGAGTACAAGCAGTAATAGCCAAAAGTAACAGAAGGAACGGCATGTTCATAACAACTTTCGATAAACCAAAAGAAAAAAAGTATTTTAAAATAAAACAGAATGAGATCAGGCCACAATGTTGACATTAATTTTTATAAAATAAACACAAATGGATATTGCCATCTAACGACGGAATCCACGAACATCGCGTTTACAATTAACTTAATTACGAGCAGATATTCGACTTAAAAAGGTGCTAGTACTTAAAAAACAAAAAAATCTGTGTTTTCGTGAGCCGACCTTCGGTCAGGATTAACTGTTCCAGGGATATTGCATCTATGTTCAACTTTCTCTGTGTATAATTAATGCTAGGACCATCGGGCTTTTATTGATTTTGTTTGTCTTGCGCATTGTTGCAACTTGTGCAAAACAGGGAACGCCCAATGCTCTCGAGCATGCGCGTACAATTCGCATTGAGGATGAAAATTTATATACATGTACATGTGTAACGGAAATTGGTTTCGAAATGCTATGGATTCAAAGTAATTCACGCCTGAAACACATTTTTATCAGCATTTAAATTTAGTTTAAAGTCGGAATTTTAAGTCTACAGAGACTCAACCTATCATCGATTCTAATTAAGGATTTATGATTTAAAAATTATATCACTGTTACTCAACCGACCATAAAATCTCTTCTTAAGATTGTTTAAATGGTCCAGTGAAGATTAAATAATGAATATCCAAATATTTACCTTGCTAAAAGCCTGAATGCTTATCATTGTAGAGATACAGCCTTGTGGATGCTGACCGATCAATTATAAATGGCATTGAACTACAAAGGCTCATTATACCATAAATTATTTCAAAACGGATAGTATCGATTTATCCATATGTGCATTAATGCCCGAGAACTATACCAAATCGGCACCCATAAACCTGGCTTATCAGGAAATCCCCAAACTACACATCAAACTATGGTGATTTGTTTACTATCACTGTGCTTTACCGGTATATTTTGAACCTCTGTAACTACGTTTTCTCCCATGATTACAGACCAAAGTAATGTAGTCTTCAAACATTTCTTAGTATTAGAAAGCAGCTCTCTTTCTAGGGAAATTTTTCCGATTAAAAAAAGAATTATATTCTCAAAGCGATTTTAGGATTTTGAGAATAGCTTTCAAAAATAGCACACAGACATTTACAAATTTGTCGACAAATCAAACTAACTTCACCTCGTCGTGGCTAATGTCTTCCTTGCCGATCAAGTAACTTGAAAAAGACCCTAGTTATCTACATGTTAGTTTGTTTAATAATGCAATTTTCGACCGGATCTGGTTGGAAGGTCTCCCTTGTGATTTCGGCGAGGTTATACTTCTGGATGATAAATATCCACCATTTTAATCAAACACTTTGCCGTATAGAAATACACCACAAAGTACACTGTATAAAAGTGGAACATTTCTGGCATTGGTACAATGTCGTATTTGTAAAGCGATGCCCTCTTCATCTTGAATTGAAATAAATCATTTAAAAATAACAACCCCACCAGAAGTGTGGCACGGAGATGAATTCTGCATAGGCCCTACATTTTATGGCTGAAGTGATTCGACTACTGTCGTTAATGCTCTCATGAGAAAAACAAATGACACCACACTTGGCAATGTTTTCATTTCCGAGAAGATATAGGGCAATGCCTGTTTATTCAAAAAAATAAATAAATAAAAAATAAAAATATCGCTTTGCTCACCGTATAAACGAACGAGCCGTCTACTAACCAATTTTGGATAAATATCTTTTCTTGGGCAAACACTAGTTTTATGTAATGGTATACAGTAACTTTGCATACAGTTTACACAGCAGATCAATGAAAATGGCCTTGAAAGGTGCGCTCCAGACAAAGCCGAGACGAAGCATGTCGCTGCAGGTTGAATTTCAACACTGATGCGCGCCCACGTTTAGATGCTTTACATGAAAAAAAATCCGCCTTTGACTAAAAATGTAGGCTACATGTAGCCTACATTTTAGTCAAAGGCGAAAGCCTACATTTTAGTCAAAGGGGGATTTTAGTCTTCATTATACTATGAGCCTACACAAAATGCTATTGAGGTTACTGCTCTGGAGATGTTTTGCAAAAAGCGTTTGCACGACGATTTAGCGACGGATTGTCTTGTTTGAAAGTCATGACTGGAGAGCATGTAGACAGAAAAAACCTTGTTCGTCCAATGTTGAGCCATAATCGTCCTCAGCGCAGAGCTATAATTACAGGCCACTGCAATAATAAACGACAGATAGTGACATCTGGAATGCCACTTACTGCTCGTTATTGCTTCCATCCACCCGCGAATGAATAAGCCGCCAATGGGGTTACAAATTGCCCAGTTTGTAAAGGCGCGGGATATTTTAAAGCGTGTTAAGAACTGCAAAACCGGGTTTACATTTTGCGCCATCTTCAAAAACAAACAATAGCCTATGTGCTTTTCATTTTTCTACTGGTTAAATTTAAATGTGTCAGCAATAAAGCAAAGTCAATAGAACTTTCATCCAAACACGTCAATAATTGACCCCTCCCCAAAAGGTTTCAATTCGTAGTATCTTACCCTAGGGGTGGGTAGGTTGTTACACAATGTGGAGTAAACCGCAACACTCGATGAATTTGAAACTACATTTATTTACATGCAGGCACGTAGGAACCGGAGGGGCTGGGGGTAGCCCCCCCCCCAAATATGGTGAGGGCCCCGGGCTCCCTAAAAAGTCGTGTATTTTGCATTCTAGGAGTGGACATTATCTGTAGAAATGTGAGATAATTTCACTCAGTTGACATTGGAAAAAAAGGAAATTTTAGAGAGATTTTATTTTCTGCCCTCCCCCCGGTAGAATCATCTTCCTATTTGCCTGACTTGTACATGACGTCCACGTACCAAAACACATGTGGGTCATTCTATAATTTCGGGGTTCAAAGGTGTGACATTTTTGTGTCCCTGTAACACTCAGCATGTGTTATTTAGAAATACCACTGAAATTAAAACTATTTCTAGTTGTTTGGCAGGTAATTTGCATTAATTCATCACTCTTGGAAATTAGAAAGCAGATGTAACGGGGACACGATAAAAATTGGACTCTAATTCATAAAACGACCCATACGTTTTCTGTTTTTATACCTATCACGATGAAGAGAGAGAAAGGGAGAGAGAACATGTTTCCTTTATTTCCCTTTCGTTTTCTTTCAAAGTAGAGGATAACTTCTCAGTCAAGACTGGCTTTCAGTATCTCATTAATAGGCCCACTATTTTCATAAAAGTCCTCATGTTTTGTGTGCATAGGTTTGCGGCTCATTTGCTTGTTTGCTCGCTTGTAATTTGCTTGATGTTTTCTTGTTGGGGGTGGCTGCTAAATTCAAGTACAAGTATTTCTGAATATCTTCTTTTCATTTCTCATCTTTTCGGTCTCCATTCCTATTATCCATGTATCTCAATTACGACGAAGCAGATCCCACTTTATTAACAGTGACCTCTGAGCTCAAAAGTCTGCACAACTAACAAACTGTCACATCAAAAAATCCCAGTGAATCCTGTCAATGGGGACAAAATAAAAGTTTGTCTTCCTCTGACAAAATGCCCCTGTACCAACCCTACAGCATCCTTATGCTTTTCAGAGTTTTAATACCGATTCCTACAACTCAAAGGATGCAGCAGTAGGCCCTATATTCTTTAGGACCACCAATGAGGAATTACACACAAGATATACCGGAAAATAGTGGCATGAAATAAAGCTGTCTCAGCAGGGGTATAGGCTAATGCATGCATACCTCTCTTTTAATGTCTCCAGATCTTTTCTTCCCGTACGGCCCTGACGAGGGAGACGTCGAGCTACCAATCGAAGACGACACAGGCATAGAATTACAAATCTCAATAAGTTACTTTCCTTTCTTCGATCAGAATCACAGATCGCTATACGTGAGTATTCTATGAAGTTGTTAAATTATTGCTTTTTAAAACTCGTGGGATTTGAAACTCAACGATGAAAAATGTGCATTTGTGAAGCATTAATCTTAAGCAAAAGTAATACATGATGTAATACAATAAATTCCTCAGATGAACAAGTAAATTTCATAAGTTGATAGGCGTGACGAGGAAAACTTTAACTTAACTGCATCATAATCGTTACAAGATCAAGCTTTAACTTGCAGAATTAAAATGGCCGACGCACAGAGGGTACAATATTCGAAGCAAGATTACATAGCAACCTCACGTCCATTGAAACATTCAGAAACGACTCGAATATTGACGCTGTGTCGTTTTTATTATTCAGTCGCAGGAAAGGGAGATTTTCGGCTTGAAATAACCTCTTTATATTCAGGGGAACAGGAAAGTGACTTGCGAAAATTGAATGCAAATTTCACCTTCAGAAGTTAACAGTCAGCACGTTCGACATCCTGCTGAGCTGTGAAATAGTTTTGCTATTGTTCGACATAAATGACAGACTATGCAGTATGGACTGAATATGCAAGGTCATTTCACATCAGAGGCCTATAAACTAAACATGATAGACCACGGTATTGCACCGACTTTAGGAATTTAACAGATAAACTACGATTTCAACTTTAGCAAAAGCTGGATTGGCTTGAGAAATCAACAAACAGTATTTTCATAATACATGTATAACGTACATAGGACTTTATGCACATGTGAAATTTCGTTACAAATCTGAGGATCACTGATCGTTTTACGTACGCAGGTTATGTTCGAGAAACATTGTGGATGCAAGCCAGTCTGATGAGATTTGCCCCAGCTTTATCGGGTTTTTAAAAATGAGCAGTCTGACCTATATGAGCTTACAACAGAGTCAGAATCCCTGTCCAAAACAAGCGTAATTTCATATCCAGAGATATATATTTAATTACGATGAGATCTTTCCCTCAGGTAAACACAAATGGCGTCGTTTCGTTCCTCGAAAATGTTGTGCAATACACGCCGGACAGTTTCCCCCTGGGCAACAACCGGCGAATTATCGCCCCGTACTGGGCCGACGTAGACGTAACGAACGGGGGCCACGTCTGGTACCGCCAGACCGAGGATCCGACTCTCCTGAGGCGGGCTACGGACGAAGTGGCCCGCGTCTTCGCCGTGGATTTCAGGTTCAATCCGTTCAAGGCCGAGTGGCTGCTGATCGTCACTTGGGACAGGGTGGCCTTCTATAATTCCCGTGCAGGCATTCACGGAAATGTAAGTTTCTAGCAGTCGATGTTCAGAAAAGCTATGATCATGTAGTTTGTCAACTGATAATAATGTAGTACCGACGTAATGGCATCACACCCCACTCGCACTTGATGCAAATGAAAAGGGCAGAATTTTAACCTGTGGTTTCTTGTCCAACGCAAGTGAAGTAAATTCAATCACAAAAGTTTGGAATGGCTTGCTTTTTCAATACAGAGAGAGAACACCTTTCAGGCCATCTTGATCACAGACAGCGTGTACTCCTTTACCATCTTCAATTATGGGGAGCTGCAGTGGACCACAGGCTCAGCAAGTTTCGGGGACAAGCAGACGGGGCTGGCAGGTGACAACGAGCGGGCCGTCCCAGCTCAGGTAAACACTTAGACCTGTTCCACTCAATGACAGTGCCAATCTTGACAATGGTTTCACTGCATGCATTGCTGAATGAATGGTGCAGGAAGGTGGTTTTGAAAGAATGAGTGTTCAGTAGAAGTGGACATTTACTAGGATTTGTTACCGGTACTGTGCCAGAGCGAGAATACCTTCAGTGTAACTGAGCAAAATATCGTTGTCATGCATGTAGACAATTCTTTTTAACAAAGCAGTTCAACAAACTTGAAAAAATGCACATGTATACGGCATAGTAGCTTACAGTACATAGCATGGTACCTTATAATTATAAGATAACAATCTTTCATATACACATGTATGCTGAAATTATGCAGGTTGTCATAAGTAAATACTTTTACATTAGTGAAAATTACATGCAATATCTATGCTGAATTTGTCCAGGTTGGTTTCAATGCGGGCGATGGCCTGAATTTCTACTCAGTCCCCAACTCGCAGACGGACGAGATCCTCAAAATCAACACCACCACCAACATCCGGAAGCCGGGCAGGTGGATGTTCAGAATTGACGGCAAGGAGATCGAAGCTGCGGGCTGTGAAAACGACCTGGACGGTAGGTAGCCTTCATGGTGCACGCTTCCTTCCTGTTTTCACTCCACCTTTTTTGTTTTTCTACATTTTAAAGACTTAAATCTGGCGTCAACCCCTAAGAAAACTCAACAGAATTTGTAATCGTCTGTCAATGCTTGGCCTGTGACAAAATTAAGCAACCACAAACAAACAAAAAACCACCAGTGGTAGCTCTACCTCGTGAGGCTCCGCATTTGTGAAACTCAAATCTCACATAACAGTACGCTAAGCTCAGAGATCTATTTTATGGCAAATTCGTTGATGGTACATTGTATTTAATTTCATTTTGTAGTTCGTCCGTCAAACTGGCAGTTGTTTGAAAATATGGGTAAAATAAATGTCAATCACCGATTAAACAAGACTCAGTCCATTGGAAAGAATGCATGGCGCCGCTGCCGTGTTGTCAAGTATGTTTGAATCTTTTTTGTCTGAATCTGTATACCTCACCGTTTTTCCTTAAAAAGCATTGAAATCCTTCGCCTAGCACTGTCAAAATTTTAAATAATATCAATCTTCGCATCAGGTAACTTGCGAATATCACCGGCCCAGGTCATCATGCTTGGGGGTGACGTCCTATCCATATCTGGGCCCTGCTTCGATGTGAGCAACGACGTCTTCTGCCGAATCCAAGGCTATGAGATCCAAGCCAGCTACGACTTCACCAAGGACCCGTTCACTGTCAGGTGTGCCACCCCCTTGTTCATGGCTCTTGGAGAGTCACCCGTGTATTTGTCAAAGGACGGGGGCCAGACTTACAACTACACTGGATACATTACTGTCGGTATGTAGTTTTTGAAAGAGGATTTTCTAAAAAAAAAATTGTAAAAATGTTCGTCCAGATCTATCGCGTCATTCTTTTTGCGCGCGATTGAACCCCAGTTCTCACTAAAAATTCGACTGCGACAAAATTCTAATACTTACAGTGTGGAAAATCTGTGTATATTTCCAAAACCTCGATGCCGTCGAAGATGGACTGATTGTAATTATTGGTCATGAGATTTTAATGGGAACATTCGAGGACACAGATGTATATTAATTAATGTGGCAAGGACTGCTCCCATTGAGATATTCTGAAGCACTTACTAAGATGTCGTTTCCCTCCACCGGAAACCAGTTGGGATGGACAGAATACCCCCACGTGTTGTTCCAACCCAAGACAACGATGTGCTCCGAGTCAACTGGGAAACAGACGGCTACCCTTTCACCAACTCTTTGAATGAGGACGACGTGCGCGTCGACGTGTTTCTCTACTCCTACACGGAGGATCCCACGACCAGTGAGGTCCGGCTAAAACCGGTTCTGAAAATCGCCGACAACCGCAAACTGTCCAACGGGTTCGATTCACTAATCAAACCGCAGCTGGGGGAGCCGGTTGATGTGGGGATTTACCGAGTGGTCGAGCACGGCGCAGTCGACATCTCCCAGCCAGGAATCAGGTGAACTACACAGAAACTATAAGTTTATTTGTTCCCCTAAGACTTGTCTGGAGTCCAATCTTCAAGCTTTTCATATGTAGAAGGTTTGAGTACTCGACGGTAGCCCAGATTTACACGCACATTATAAAGATGGGTAAACGCACAGAATAAATCCTGGGTATTGGATGAACGAATGTGATGAATTTTACGAGTCATTCTTAAAATTGTATTTCCAGTGTGGTCATGGGCCTTCCCAGCAAAGATCCATCCCAGGCCCCGATTCCGTCCATGTGGAGCATGCCTTTCAATGCCAATCCAGAGAACCAGGCCGACTCGGACAGTTGGTGCCGCGCCTGGGCCGGCACGGAGACACCGCTCGACCTCACAGGGGACAACCTGCCGCCTTGTCCCTGTACTCTCCGGCAGGCCAGGGCCGACGTGGGCACCTTCGAGCCATACCCATGGTGCAATCAGGGCGGTACTGGAAATGATAATTGTCCGTATAGGACTACCGTGGTTCACTGCGTCCGGGCGAGAAGGGGCAGGTACAAAATGTGTTATGATTTTCCCTTCTTTTATTGTAATTTTTGCGGAGATATTCTTTTACTGCCGTGCAAAGAATTTCGTGTTGGTCCCTTGGTGATAAATGGCAGAACCGTTCACTGGGCTTCTTCAAATCCGAAATGTGAATTGTGTTTTCACGACTGTTGATCTATTACTGGCATTCAGGTTTCAGATTCATCCTTCTATAGGCCTGCATAACTTGTCATTCTTTTCACGGAACGTTTGCAGCGCTCTAGGAAGAGGGCAGCTCTGTTGCTATGACGACACGGACAACATCGTCTTACTGGAGGACAATTACGAAGGAGGTTCCTCCCAGAGCCACTTCAACGGAGGGCACACTCCCATCGGCTATCCGGGCAATATCCCCTATCTGTCTAATTTCCTCGGAGACAGAGTGCCATGGGAGCAGTGCTGTCCGCGTACCGGCTACAACCCATCACTGTGTAATATATACACCAGTAGGAGGCCCTCTGACGACTGCAAAAACTACTTGCCTCCAAAACCTGGTGAGTGTCAATGCTGTTAACAGTCATTTACACATCCTTATTAAGCTTCCTTCAGTTCCTTCACATTATCACCCAATTATACTATTCTACGTTCTTCGGCAGCTGCGGTATTTGGCGAGCCACATTTCATCACGTTCGACGGTTCAAGTTACATCTTCAACGGTTATGGCGAATTCACGTTAGTCTCCGCTCCAGAAGTCTCTCTTACCATGCAAGGACGTATGGCAAAGATTTTGGATACCGGTAAGCTTAAAAACGAGAAATCATTTTTCCAGTCTCAGTCACTGTCCTTTTTGCTTTTTTTTTAAAAAGTGGATTCATAGTTGGTGCTGAAATAGAAACTTGGATGTGTGAAATAATAATGCAAATATCCTGTTGTTTATTTTCTGCTTGGCAGCAGTTATCAATTAATGAACTATCGTATACATTTATCTTTTTGTAGTTCAAGCAACTGGCCTGACCGTAGTCGCTATGAAAGTGGGTGATTCGGATACTATCCAGGTTGAGATAAACGACAGGCGGAAGTTGGACGTATGGGTTCGTCGGGAGGCACGGGCAGCGTGGCAACGGCTTGGGTTCGAGCAGAGCAGCTGGTGGACCGCAAAACCTAGAGGTAAGTCAAGGGCTGCAGCTATAGTCGGAGTTGTGTGGCAATCGCAAAGGCCAGGCTTTAGCCGCGAAGTATACTTCACATCGCACGCGGTCAAATATATTTTCAAAGAGCAGTTCATGATGACGTTGCTGCGAAATGTGAGCACGGTTATAATGAGGTCCGATTTGTGAGGGGTGGGGGGCAAGGTGCATACAAAGGAGAAAAAGATATCAAGTTTGGGGCGCCACGCCACCATGTCCTCCTATTTAAGCAACTGACACGGGTATAACATGGTCACAACCTGCGAAAAAAAAAACACCCTTAAGTTGTTGTCTGAACTCCGATAACAGGTGCAACCGTTGAGCTGATCGGTGCCGAGGAGAGCCAGGACGTGCGGGTGATCTTCGACCAAGGCACAGCCTTCGAAGCCAAGGCACCCGCCGGAGCCTCCGCCATGGCTATCAAAATCCTCGCGGCACCTTCGCTGAAAGACGGCACGACGGGCCTCTTGGGCAAGTGGAACGATGACCCTAGCGATGACCTGAAAGCGCCAAATGGGGCCATATTCTCTGCAGATTCACTGACGAATCTTCATGAATTCTTTGGCGTAAAATGTAAGGATATAGTTGTTAAAGCTAACATGAGGTGATGTTGATTTCAGTATCATATGAAAAATATTGGAGACAACTGTTTTCTACTTTTCCCTTATGGCGTCAAATTAGAAACTATGCTTCCTTTTCCTCTCAACCCCTACGATGAGAGTTGAGATAAAAATGATTCATTACTGGTCAGGCTGCTCATAGCAGTTGTAACATGCCCGGTAAGCTTTATTGTTCGATTTTAATTCTTGGTCTAAAAAGACAAATTTTGCTATTGAAGATTCTATTAGGCTAATCAGTTGTGTCGCGTCGGTGTGGTCTGTTTTTCGACAGGGTTCATATCCCAGAACGACAGTCTGTTCCGCTACGACATCAGTGTCAACGTCAGCAACATCAACCAACCCGACTTCCAGGCCGTGTACACCCTTGACTCAACCCTCACAGAAGAACAGCTGAACACCGTGTGCAGAGACAGCGAAGTGTGTCGCTATGACTACCAGAAGACATCATCCTCTGAGATGGGGACGGGAGCCAAAGATGCCGAGGAGGGATACGAGGGGACGAGAGGTGACACTACACCGGGTAAGAGCAAAACCTGAGACAAAAATTGGTAGAAAATGTGTCCCACGACGTATTCGAGTTGGTCAGTCTTAAATGCTCTGACCATCTCATGGAAGTCTTTCGTGAACAGCTCAAAGAACGAAGTTTCTGTCTTGCACGGCATTGGGTATTTCGATTAGGGGAAACACATGTTGGGGGTAGATACACCTCTTGAAAATGAGCAGAATGTGGCCTTTCCCAGACAATGTTGCAAGTAATCTGGACCATGATTCTCTGCCCTTGTGCTCACAGTGGTCAGCTGCGGTTTCCTGGAAGCACCGCAGGGCGGCAGAAAAAGCGGTACAGTGTACCTAGAAGGCTTCACCGTGAAATTCAGCTGCATCGAGGGCTATGAAATGATGGGGTCGGCCTCAAGGCAGTGTGTCCAGGGGGTGTGGCAGGGAAATGTCACTGTCTGTAGTAAGTATTATTATCGCAGTGTTTTGTTGCACAAACAGGTTTCTGTCTGACCTTTAGCCACGTAACCCCACAGTTCGACTAAGTCGGAAACTTGAGTAAAAATGGAGGACTTGATATCAAAACCCAATCGATAAGAAATTATGGAAGACAGAAGAGACATCTCAGGAACATTAAGCAAGTAACTTTTCTGTACCAATCTACACTGAAAATACAGGTGTAAGTAAACGACGTGCCATTTCCAAAACTCAATAGCTGTGTTAATGCATAGCTGTGATTTTTTTGGCTTTGCAGCCTCCGCTAAAGTTTTGCTCCAGGCAACATAGGGTGGGTCAAACATCTGAGGACAAGGTGCTATTTGTTCTATAGACAAAAAGAGCATACTGCTTGAAACCTGGAGCTAATCAGCTCTCACAACTCCAAGAACTTGAATGAAAGATACTGCTAAACCTTGTATGTGCGACTATGAAGAAATTAGTTTGGACGCTAATTAAAGAGGTTCATATGGAAAGAAGACAGAATTGATGCATCACGAAATGTTTACTTCTTCCAATCCTAATGCAGCTCCTCCTGCAGCGTCCATGCGGGATCTCATAATCATCATCATCGTCGCGGCTGTGCTGGGAGGAATACTCCTCCTTGCGATCTGCTTCCTTTGTATCATCTGCTGCTTCAGAAGGAAGAGAAAGATGGCCAGGAAAGAGGACCATGAACTTGGGTGAGAAGTGTCTCGAGATACTTGAGGTTCTACTAAGACGTTTGAGGCTGCTTATGACGCGGTTCAGAATTTCAATGACAGAAAGTTCATAAGATTAAATATACTTTATATTCGATTTCTACAGAACAATATCGACCGTTGAAGGTTTCCAAAACGGTGCCCTAGTGACCACGCCCTTGGCTGATGACCGCACCCCTTCATCTAACTCCTCCATCATCGAAGATCCCAATTATGAACATTCCCTCCCAAGACGCAACCATCATGACACAGCTTTCCCGTTCCCCGACGTGAATCCCGGCTACATGGACATGGCTCCAAGCCGGCCTCCCCGCGACCGGCAGATGGCCACGCCTGTGGACGGTCCTGGCTATCGCGGCTCGACTATCGCAAGCGGAGGTCCTGGGTACAGGTCGGCAGAGGAGGCTGTCGCCGGGCCTAGTCACGCCGGGAGTTCCCAGGCATCAGCAAGGCACATTCCTGGCGGCCCATCCCTTTCGAAAAAGCCCAAAACCAGGGCACAGGAGAATCCTTACGAAGATCCTCTCCAAGCGAGAGGGAAAAAGGGAAAAGCTAAGGACATGAACGGGTCAATCATCAAAGATCCAAAGTGAGTCCTTGGGGTAAAGCATTGCTCTGAACATCAAGAAGTTATAATAATTATTAAATTCATCCTTTTACCATGAAAGGTTATTATGATCTGGGAGCATATTTCCCAATAGCAAACATCACTGTTTTAATAACGGGAAAAGAAACAAGCTGACTCTTTTACTTTACTTGTATGTATCCTTTATCACTGTGGGAAGTTGTTAACAAAACACGGCATAACTAAACACTCCTACCAATTTTCTTGATTTGTTTCCCTGCAGCACTCTGCAGTACAATTCTGATGAAAGCGAAGACGACATAGCGATAATCAAAAGTAAGTAAACCTATGCATGATCTGCGACATCATCAAGCATTTTATTACACCAGAAAGAAATGCGAATTGAATCGCCAATACAAGGTGATACCAAGTATAAGGCTCATATTAGGCATCTGGTAGTCTTCGCATTTCCGCAGAGGTAAAAGCTAAGGTAAAAATGGGCTACACCACAGCGTCCTACAAGTGGCAGGTGAGGGGACATACGATATACTTTGGCTTGGGAACACATCGATGTGTTCTTCTGTTGTTACGGACTAATTCTTGTTTTTCACTTTTTCCAACAGGACGAATACGTGAGGAGGTGGAGCAGGAGGAACAGGAAGATGGATATTAGTAGACAAAAATTCCGATGTATCATGTGACATACTTGGCTTTCATTGGATTTTGGGAGACAAGAGAACCAGGTTCCTATACCCTTCCTTTCTGAGGCCTAGGTACTCGTCAACAAGTGGGCCTATCCCTAACCAGTAGATGGGAGGAGTGCGCCAAAACACGACCTCGTTCCCATGGGTATGATCTTACTGCGCGGGTGAGTGACGGAACGCACACGCAACCCGTGGGAACGATGCCTAAAGGTTTTGGGCCGGGCACGGGATCTAGCCCTAGCCAAATGGAGATCAATGATTCGAGCCTTGGCCTACTCCGCACCATACGCGTACAAACAAGTGACCACACAGGCTGTTCCTGCATCGTGGGACGTCGTAGCAATGAAACTATACAGCGCCATCTCTCATTCATGGATAGAGCTTTCAAGGAAGGATAGATTCATCTGCCTTTTTGTACTCGTGCGCCGAATACCCGTGTGCTAGTTCAGTTCTTTAAAATGGAAATGGCACGACATAAACCAAATAGCACAATTACACAGTTCACCAGTTTGTGTGCTGCAAAATTGAATGTTATCAACACTAATATATATATATATATATATATATACTAATCAGACTTTTTTCTCTTACCTTTATTGGCTCTTGGTGCCGGGCTGACTTGTCCGGGGGTATCCTGTTTTCTCTAATCCTCAATTTATTACGGAGGTGTAGACTCAGATTTAGACGGCCAATAAAACTTCATACACTAGCTTCCCAGTCTGAAATTGAAAATAGAGGGAATTTCGCTTTGTCAACTAAAAAGAGCCGGGAAGGACACAATATATTTTTATATGTATAAGTTAATTGAATGGTTTTTTGTGACTTATAGAAAACCTAAGAACAGTCTTTGATACTTGAGATATTAGCCGTTTTACATTGGTAGATCTCCAAGTACTTAATTGTTACACGACCAGCCTATTGCTTAAGATATACATGTACATGTAGTATGAAAAGACAAACATCGCCTCAATGGGATCATCTGTACGCCGTAACAAAGAGTACGGTGAAAGATGGTTTTTCCGAACAAAATTATAAGATGGGCCAGTCAAGCGTCGAACGAAGGTGGCTTAAAAATGAGGCCGTTATAATTTGATAGAGAATAGTAAGACTAAGTTTACTTTCAAGGAGGGGACAACACTCGTTCCCCTTAACCCCTCCTGGCTTTTTCGCGATATGTGTTACGGGATTTCTTTGAAGTATAATCTTGATTTGAGGGGTTTGAGCTATTTATCTTTCTTGAATTGTGTAGATTATCTGAACATGTACTTAATAACGCTTAATTCAATAATATTCTCTTTCCAAAAATATCTATGCAATTTTATGCAATGAGCACTAATATTTTTAACCCTAACAGTCCTCAGTCCTCCAACAGGTGAAGGATTGAGGAATGTTAGGGTTAAATGATGTGGTGGACATACATGTATATTTTAGACGTTGAAGGGTAGTGAGTCTGAAAATTTGTAAATCTTGCTCTGCACCTTTGCGCCCAGAAGTAAACCTAATTACATCTAGGGTTTTATCTCCTATATTTATTAACTATTGTAAACTTGACGATCGAAGATTTAAGGGATTTCTTTCACATCAATTAACTCTCAGAATAAGTCGAATCACTCCACGTAAGGTAAAATTCATTACATGTATTCCAAAAACAATAGCAAAAGGTTTGTTTATAGGCAAATCATCGCCAATTCCTGCTGGTCCGGGAACGTGCAAACAGCAAACAGCTCATTTTGGGAGGAAAATCATTCTGACAAAAAGAATACAGTACTGAATATGACACTGCAACAAAGCAGTGTTAGTGTATCTAGCTTATAAGAATGTAGAGGACATAATACAGTGGTCTGGAACTAAGTTAGACTAAGGAAATACAGGGTCATTTTCCACATCTCGGCTTCTTTTCTGGGATCTGTTTTATGTTTCACGCTGGAAATTATTTTCAGATTCTTTTACGGTTAGAGAGCAAAATGCAAAATATTCTACAACATACAGGTCCCAAGTGTACAGCAGAAAATGAAGCTGGAATGGACTGGAGCAGACGATCTCAACCCCGAATATCAAACTGACAAAAGTCAAGCTCGAAATTGAATCCCCTAGCGAATTCCTGGTTTTGAAAAGATGGATACGATAGACGAGGTCAAATAGACAGAAGGTAGATAAAATTTTTAAAAGCTTTTCGTAAAATAATCTTTATTTTTTTTCCGGCTGGCCCAGAAACGGCAGTGCAGTTTTATGGCTTCTCTGAGAAGGTACAGTTTTCCCTGTGAGTTGAGTAGGGTATATATCATAACAGATGTATGTACATTTGAAGTACATTAATCGACATAAAACGCAGAGATAGTAAAATAAAAAATTCAATGGACAGTATACATTTCTTTATTGTTATTTGAAACAATATGCAGGTATCTAAAGTGACCCGCTGTACAGCCCCGTATATGCAAATTAGTTTTTACAATCTTAAAACATATCGCACTGAAGGACACGTATACGACCGGAGACATTGAGATTTGCAACTTATAACTGGGTTTTGAATATAAAGTGGCCATCCTAAAGGGCTCCATATTCAAATCAAGTTTTAGTTGTTCTTGTAATCCTAATTTTGAATATTAGTTGAACGTTTGGGTAGAAGCTTGTTCAGGTTGGAGCTAGAGCATTATGGGGTGGCGAGCAAACTCAGGCACTTTCTGGGAAAATGGCCCTTTTTTCGTCTTGTCTCAATTATATTGTAAAAAGAGCGTGATGGTCAGGTGGAAAGTCTAATGGGGCTTTCCATTGAAACAAATTAACAAAAAAGCAGCAACACCAACAAAAACCGCAAAATATCATCCCCCCGTGCAGAACCCGGCCCCCCATCCGTGTGAGCTGTCACTGATTGGCACGCAGGTGTGTTTGTCGGTTACTGGATCGTACATCCATAGATACCTAACCTTTCGTAAAATGTGAAGTTCAAAAGGACTGCTTTTACACGGACTCCGTGCTGGCGAGATTTCTAGTGAACAGACCTACTTACTACCCGTGTGAATCATTGGCCAAAATGTACTGTGAGCGCAATTCTCAATATGAAAATGTATACCATATGGTGTCTAGCCAAACGATTCTTGACGTACATGTACATAATTTATGTTTCAGACAGAAACACTGCTGTATGTATAAGGTATTTCTCGAGGTCCTCTTTGCAAAGTACAGTTGCACTGAAAGAAATATATCACGCGTTGCACTGCCATGCACAAACGCTTCATTTGCTTCTCGGCCGTAAAATCTTAAAACGAAATACCAACTAATTTGTACAAGATTTTTCATCATCGGTGAATATTGCGGGCGGTTAAAATACAGTGCCGTTCAGGGACTGGTGCATTTTACTATATAGATCACGTGAAATGACAGCTGTGTCATAAATTAGAGGCTCATAAAAAAAAAAATCTGGACTGTGGTTGGTCTGCTTCTGCTCATATTATTCAAATGACCTTTTGTTGGTAGTACGTGTGTAACTGACTGTATCGTGTGATGCATAATGATCTCGCCATCGCCAGGGTAGGCTTAAGTCCAGACGCGAGCATTACGGCGAGTATTGAGGGAGTGACGCGTCCACAGTCAACAGAAGGGAAACAGCGGGTCAGCCCATCGCCGGTTGAGACAATGGTGAGATTTTTTCAACCACGTCCCTGATAAGATATAGAGCATGCATCAGATAATCTTATTTCTTCAGTTTGATTTAACTGTTGATTTTTCATTCCAGCTCAGCGCTAGGTTTGGGAGAAAATGTTGCACGCATCACGTCTGTTGACCATGATAGTGTTAAGTGTTTGAGTCGTGCGTGATCATTGAACGCTTCCGTTTGCGGCCTCAACTTAACAGCATCGACCCCAAACTTGACCAGTTGCTTTAACTTAACAGTTTGTCACAGCGGCCATCAGCATGTTAGAATATATAGCTTCTCCTTCCATTTGAAGTCTTAATGAGAAGAGAGATGGGAAAAAAACGAGCAGACGACGTCTCTGCAAGATTGTGCCAGTTGACATTTTTTGTGCTTAAATTTAACTCGAGCCGGCCTTAGTTCCATCATTTCAGCATACACCCGTTTTAGGTATATCGCACGCCCCGTTTCACTGCAACAATGGTGTTAACATTTTCAAATACTTTCTTGGTATCAGTTTGTAAAAATTGGTCAAATGCTCAACCCGTTGTAAATATATTTATTTTACATGCCATACATAGGTAAAAAATGTAGGACTTGTTTTAATTTGTGCAAAAAGCACTTTTATTTTGTTTTTGATCTAGCTCTTATGTAATTAATCAAGCAATGAACTCAAGCTTGTTTAGAACTGACTTTATTGAGAACATTTTTACTAGTTTGGTTTCACTGCATAATGACCGACATTTCTGTATAAAATATATGTGCAATTGTAGAGATAAAAGGTACTTGTTCAGTGACACGTCACCATGTTAAACGCTGACGTAGACATTCTTAATAAAATTAAATCATGATTATAAATCCTCTCATGTAACTCATGCACTGAATCCAAACAGCTGATTTAAATAGAAGCAAGTGGCCTGAATTGAAAAAAAAATTCTTCCAACCCTGTGCACAACCTGGAAACAAATTACAAATCGGTCTAAAATAAAAACTTGAAACATACTCGCCTTTTTCAAAATCGAAATACGTAAATAAATAAAAATGTTGATTGAAATCAGTGATTAAAAAGTCATTTGATTTAAATCGTGATCTAAATCAAGGTGATTTAAATCTGCCAACCCTTACTGCTAATCTCCATTTAGGTCTTCGTACGCAGGAGTATGGGACTTCAAGGCTTTCCACTCAAAACTGACACAAAATAAACTTACAAAAAATTTGAACATTTATGACTGCTCATCAAGTTTTGTGAGCCGTATCGGAACTGTCTATACACTCATGCCTGTTTTTATTGCGCATGTTTGGTCTAAACTGTTACGGTTTCCTTTGTTTTTTGAAAACAATTTCACTAATTTTCAGCAATGAAGGGAACAAAAATTTGACGAATCTCATCAGGATACACTAGGCCTATGTGGTACATTTTAGTCTCAATCTATTTCATTTAAATAAACCATTTTGTGGTCTCCTGTGTAAAATAATCCACAAATTGCTCAGATTTCCATTCTTTAGTTTTACTTCATTTTTTCCTCTTTCACGTGAGGTGGCGAAAAGGCTGGGGTGATCACTTGCAGTGGCGAAGCGGGCCACCCTACATTTCATTAAGCAGGGGTAACCCTGAGTCACAACTATTTATCCCGTCAACAATGGGTCCTTGTTCTATGCCTAACCCTAATATCACTCTTCCTTTTTGATCAGGCTGACGCCGAGAAGGGTCTCGTCGGCGCCGATGCTAACGCTGAAGCGCCCACTTACGGGTCGGCCGATACCTCGGCCACGGGCAAGCCACCGCCCTTCGATGAGGTACCCGGGGAAGGTATATTTTAGTCACTTTTCTTTCAAACGCAATGCGAAAAGCAGTGTTAATCAAATATCCTTGGTATCAATGATACACAAAATTAGCAATCCATAAAACTCACACTTGTCCGGTATTGTTTGAGCCGGGAACAATGCAGCGTACTTAAGCTCAGTATAGAGACAGTGAGTGAAGGCGACATATAATTATGAGGCAAATTGCAGTTTAAATTTTTTTAAATTAATGTTAACGATCTTTGTTTGGGAGATTTATAATTATGTGCACATGTGCGACTACTTTGGCCATCTGCAAATTTGACAGAATGTTACACCCAGATCTGATCAGCGTTGCATGTCGATGTGATTAGCAAGCAGTTTATGGTACCAAGATAACAGAGCAATCACTGTCTCACCATAGCTCAGTCGAGACCTGGCTTCGCCTGAGTTGTGCTGTTATTATTATTCCTCTATTTTGGGCGAATCAGGATTTCACGTTTTTTAAGGGAAGTAACAGTAAAATTGACTGAACTGCAATCATTTCGGAGTGCTAAGTGATTTTATTCCTGTTGGCATGACTGGTCAACTGCGAAAAACAACGGCAATCCATTGACCCTGCGATTTCTATGATACAAATTTTTCTACCTATGAATGCATGTTGTCATTATAATATCCCACCGTCATGATTGTTGCGTGAATTATTTTAGTCTAGGATTCCAGAATGCTTTCAAATCCTCCTTTTCCTTAACTTTTCCTGGTTAGCTTGTACATTACCACTTAAGAAATTATAAAGACGTATCACGCTTGAAACTCATTTATCTCTCTTGAGAGGAACATCAAAGCAAAAACACTCATTTGGTCTAGTTCACGCAATCATTTTATCATTATCTAGATAAAATGGTACAGCATGATAAGAAGACAAATATTGACTTATGTTCATTTACTACGAGCATTACAACTTTTAACAATTTAATCTTGGTTTAAAGTCGCAATGATTTGATAAATAAAATTGACATTTCCTTGGAAAAAGGTCAACAAGGTTTCACTGACTGACTACAGAGCATTAGAAATACATTTAAGAGGTTATTAATGATGGTGTCGAAAATTATGCGCGCGGAATAAGTAATCACGCGTGCAGACGCCGTTCCAGATGTTGGCGAATCACACTGGTAATGACAACGGCTCATTAACTATAACGCAAATCCATCGACAACATGTTTTGTCATTACAAGTTGGGGCCACTGTAACTTGAGCCATGTCACTGCTTCTGTCTGACAATTGAGCAGTGAAAAATTAATATCGGCGATCTCTAATGGTTCGCCATTGTGTTGATGCTCAACAAGGGACAACGAACGTATCTGGCTTTCACTTTAAAGATAAATGAGAAAGACCATATGGGCCCCGACCTGCATGCCGTGTTCATCAAGCATGGCGGTTCCCATTTCCTAGATGATTATCCAGAGAAGAAAGCTGAGTGCTGCAACTGATTAGAATTTGTTCTCTATTACATTATTGTGTTCAGAATGTGCAGACGACGTTCTTAAGTCACGTAGTCGCATTTTAGCCCAAAATGTAAACAAGGGGTTGATTTTCGAATTCCTAGGTTGACCTTTGTGTTTAGAAAGCAACTACTCACGACCAGTGTTTTTATCCATGAAACTGATAAGGCATCGTTCGTAACGCTGCTGCCGTTATTGCTCAGTATGATTTATCGCTTCTCATGTTAAAATGTTTAAAGAAACGTTTCGGAGTCTCTCATGCAGGAGCAAAGAAATGGCGCACTATGTCTTTTTAAGACAAAGGGTATTGATTAAATAATGTACGTAAGTTTATGATGGAGGCCCATGATGTACTTATTAAGTGATGATAATAAAGGGAATTGTCTCTCTTCGGTAGTATGAATCGGTGCCCTCGAATGGTGGGGTGCGTGGCTGTTCCATGACAACCTACTGCTCAACATTTCCTGACCCTAACTACCAACACATGCGTTGGGGTGATCGATCAGCCCATCTCCCCTCTCAAAAGTGTCGAGTATAGTCCCCCCCCCACACAGATGTATACATGTACATCTGTCACAGTTGATCAACGGATTGTAATCGGATTTCAATTCTTTGCTGTTGCTCACGTCTCACTCTCCCATAGAGCCTCCCTCCTACTCCTCGGTGATGCAGGAGTTGAGGGATGCCAAGAAGACTTCAAGTGGCACTGTGGATTTCATCACCAAGGTCTTGACCATTCTCATCAACACACGTGAGTAACGTTACAGTGGAAGTGGCGGACAGGCCCGTTTCCCACTGCCCAGAGCAGACGTACAGGGAAAGAAAACGGATGACATGGCTTCCTAGGGGGCATACAATAAACTTATGCATAGGTTTCCAAATATTTTCCAAACTGTTGTCTCCAGTGAGTATTCAATTACCGGTGCCCTACTAAGCATTGTGGCATTAGCATGTTTAGCATTATGCTTTGTTGCTTAGCATTTCGGAAAGGCTTGGAAAGAGGACGGCTCAAAATCAGTTTATCCTGACTGCAAAATATCTTTGACACAGTATTATTATGTCCATTGACTTAAATACTTGTGTGTAATGCAATGCAAAGAGGTCGGATGTTTTCTGTTTCCATGACGACGAATCATTTTTAAAGAGTGGGTTTCCATCGTGCGACAAAAGGGACTAATATTCTCCTCTCTCTCTTTAAATCACAGTTTTATTTACGATCTTGATGGGAGTTGCGCTCATAATTCCGATCGCAATGGTCGTCATGGGTATGTTTTATCATCACTTCTCTGGCCAGTGTACCATTAAAGTTCAGTCTAGTTCACTCAAACTGCTCAAGATACTTCTTAAAATAGGTGTTCTAAAACTGCTTACCGAATACTGTTCAAAACCTTCCCAGGAAAATGTCACATTTTCAAAAATGGAATCATTGTTCTAATGTACAAAATCATGATCCCCCTATCAGTTGCCTTGGCCAGTTTTACGGCCTAAGGAGCCTACTTATAGCCAAGAGCACTTCAGCCTTTTCACTCCAAGAAAGAGGTTTTACGCTTCACTCTAACCAAGTGTATAATTGACTTTTTGTACGAGTTGCTTTTTGTAACTCAAGATCAAAACGTTTCGCTCACCTGTCTTTCATCGACCTTCTCCCGAGACAGGTGCTGTCCACATCAACCACTGTCCCGTGCAAAAGCTCATCCCCATCTTTCTCATCGTCTCTGGTTCCGTGTACATCGTCAAGACCATCCTGGATCTGGTCGTCCGCTACCGGCGGCGCAAGGAGGGCGGCGCTGCCGAGAGTTCCTACCTGAAGGAGAACGCCGTCAGTCGGCTCTTCGCTTGCATCTTGCTCGTCTTCTTCATCCTGGGTAATGATTTAAGGGTGTCAGAATCACTGAGAAGCTGATAACGAGTGGGATGGAGAGTGGAGGCATGAGCCCCCGCTCTGGTTCCGAGGATGTGACTGGGGTGTGGAAAATTGGTTTTTCGATCAGACGGCAAAACAAGGGATATCAGTTCAAAGTTGTATCCAGACGTACAAACTTCACAAACAGCAAAACGCTAATGGTCCCAGCCTTAGTTTGTGTCTCTATTGCCGATGGGTTATTTAATTTCTGTTAGAGGACCACAAAGGATGACCAGTGAGCCCCTCCCTCTGAATGGAAATCAACTGGTTTCTCGCAAGACTCTCTTCTGACGGTGAATGCACAAAGACCTACGCACAAAGTAATGTTGATTATTTAAGCTGTAAGGTAGAAAAAGTCTGGCGTCTAAACGGCAAGTTTAAACGCAGATCTCAAGTTGTCCTTTTCTTTTTACTCCATTCAGGTTTAATAATTTTCTGAACAAAATCCCACTAAAAACCCAGCAATGCTTTTAAAAATAGTTACCTTTTCCTAAAAACACTCACGGACAATTAATCATCTACCCGTTTGCATGCAGGTAATGTCTGGGTGTACGCCAACTTCCGCCCAGATGACGACCCCTCCAGCCCACGCTACTGCTACCCGCCCCTCTACTACTTTGCCTTCTGGATCATCACTTTGACCTACATCTTTTTCTTTCTGAGCTGCTGCTGCGCCTGCTGCACCGTCTCCCTGCTCTTTTTAAGTCTGGCCACATAAAGCTTGTAAAAGGTTTACTTGGACGCGGCAGACTGGAGGCACACTTGCATGCGAAAAAAAATCTTGGTGCTTAAAAATAGGATAGTGTCTGAGAGTTTAAAGTGCAATGTACGCAGCATCTGAAGTTAAAAATCACATTCTTTATTCTGTTTTGTATGTTCACGTCTTTTTTTCATTTCGGAAGGTGCATACTGGTCCTCTTGACCTCCAACCTTAAAAAGTGTTGTAATCAGTTGTTTGGGTCCCGTTTTGACCTTTTCACACCAGCATTAATTAAGCAAGGCAGACGAGGAAGATCTCAACAGAACCGATTATACGCAACTCAGTTTGGGTGGGCAGACATCGTTTGCTGCATGCTTAGATGATTTGCAAGTGTTGCAAGACACTTTTCGGCACATTTCTCAAAAGAAATGTGGGAACTGTGTACATATTGAAATCAATGCGCAGATTTAGTGGAATACATGCGTGAACATGAACGGCAACTTTCAGTACATATAACCTGTGCTGTGTTTTTGTGAGTCAGTCATTCGTTTATAGTCTTCATGATATTTGTGTTGCTTTTTCATTGAGAATTGTAATTTGGTAATTCAATCTAATTTGGTAGATGCATGATTTAGAGTAAATTATATTAAAATATATTTAATGGAGAATGAGTACCTCTTTTAAATGTAGTCTGTCATAAATGTGCTTGCATGCTTAAGTCAACAACTAATTAATTTCAAACTGAAAAGGCATAATCGTCAACCCTTTTCCCGTGAAAAGCAGAGAAGCAGCATTTCATATATTCTCTTTACATCAGATATTTTTTTATGGCAATGGTCACTTAGGATATGAAAACGTTGACAACTTGAAAAAATACATGTACATATGACTGAGCTTCATGAAAGGCCAATCATTTGCACTTTGGCGATCAAATGGAAACCAGCAGTGTAAAACTATGCTTGATCAAGAGAGATTATTTTCAAATTTATGTCCAATGAAACAGCAGATAGCAGAATAGTCAAGATTTTTATTAGTTGGATTACAAACCAGCCAACTCTAAATATACTGTACAATTAGAGAAATAATTATAAATGGAAGTTTTTCCCGACGCATGATTTTTTAGTAATTTGAAAATAGAACTAAATTTAATTAACTTTTTTTCTGACGCTGCGTTTTCAGTCCACTGAACAAAAAAATTTTTTAATTTTTCTCAATTATACCAATATGCACTTACTTTCAAAATGCTTTTTAGGTTAGTTACATGTAAAAAAAGAAGAATTTTAAAATTTCATTTGTATTGTTTTTTCCCACCTCCTACTTTGCTAAATTTGATTCTACATTCGTAATCCCACAAAAAAGTTGGCCTTTCTGTGTGGAACTGGCACACACGTCCTAAGTTACACTTGAGGAAGCAAGAACTCTACTGAATAAAACACTGACGATAACAATACAATCAGATATCCATATATATTATTTCCATCTCATTTTGAAACTATAAATGAGTTTAAATTCACTCTAACATGTAAAACGATACCAAAAATGAAGCGAACCTATAATGACTTCCTTGATGACAAGAGTAAAAAATTTGTCAGGCGCAGACTGCCTTCTGGAAGAGGGCGCCCTACTTTCCGCAACGCAATTCGGACCAAAGATTATATAGCGCCGCGTAGCGGCGCAAGGTGGATAATTCGGCCATTAAGGTGTCATCACCTTAGGCGCCATTCGAGTGTGAACGTTAATGCTTGTGCGTGGCTGGCGCGGGCGCCAGCGCCTGCGCATTAACACACACTGCGCAGGCGTAGTCTAACCAGAATGGCGCCTATGTGATAACAACGTTTTACGCGTATTCATGGTGAAGTTCCCCATCTTGCGCCGCTACGCGGCGCTATATGATCTTTGATTCGGTCAACAAAAACAGCACTATGGCAGATTTCGATGCGATCGAGTACGCCGAGGATCCCGATTTCAACGGCGAATACGCAGAAAGTACGGTCGTCAGTCATGTTCCAGATCCAGTGATGGTCAGAGGGTCAGGCCATGTAACAATGTAAGTTGGTAATATTGCTTATCCGGTTGGTTTTGGCATGATAATTGGCGATCGCTTTGGCACCTTCGTAAGGTATGGGCCCAATTTCCGGACAGATAGGCTAGTTGTCTATCGGATATGGCGGATATCGCATTTCCCTTTTGAAGAGATATGTTTTCAATAGCGAGAGAACACAGCACACACGACATTAGCCAGACGGAAATAAAGCACAGTAACACAAGTCTAGATAACCTAGCATAGAGGGTTTGCATGGCTGCCATCTTGTGCATTGCCATTATTGGTTCTTTTGTTCCACGGGCATGACAGGGTACTTCTCGAACTGTAATTTATATCCACCAGAGATCAGTTTTCGAGAAATGTTGGTCAAGTCCTCTAGTTCTTAGTCTTCCTTGTCTAAATAATTAAAGAATAATTAAATTTTTTAACTTTTCAAATTTTCACTGGGGAAGTTTATTATTTTTGGGGGGTGGATAATTTATTTCATTTCTTTTTACTTTTCCATTTTCCACGAGGGGAAATTTATTTTTGGGGGGAGTAATTAATTTTGGGGAAAGGCTAATTTATTCCATTTCTTTTTTAGTTTTCTATTTTTTTCTGGGGTGATTTGTTTTCTTTTTGGAGGGGGGAAATTTATTTCATTTCTTTTTTTTAATTGAAATCTATTTTTTTGTGAATGAATGAGTACGAGTCTTCTGTCTTTCTATCTTGTTTGGCATTCTCTTCTTCGTATGATGTACCTAAAAATGACGACCTGGCCAGGGGACGACTTGACTAGGGTTTCCATTTGGGGGAGGACTTGACCTGGGGACGACTTGACCTGTTTCCGTTTTTGAGGGAATAAGGCTTTTTCATTAATTTAAAAAATGCAAGATATCAACTTATGTACTAATCACCTTCCCTCAGTCACAGGCAATGTGAAAACAACAATCAAAACGTGAAAACCTTCACAGCTTTTGCTCCATGGAGCTATCTCCGATGCTCTCATGAACACACCACCCATCAATGACCATGACATATATTCAAGGTTTGTATGGGCGGTATGGTGCCCAAGTGAAGCCTTATGTAAAACAAATATTTGCAGCGGCATGGTGCCTCTTGTCTGACTTTCATCTCATCCTATACCGTGGGGAGTCATTTTTTCATAAAACAACTTCTTTTTACCTCGCAAAATACTGTTAGGATTTTAAATTGCAGGTGTTCCTTTTCTTTTAACTCCAAAAGCTTTCCACTGTTTTACTATTTGTTTCAACTGTAAACCTGTGTTTATGTTTTCATTGAACAGGAAACCATTGAAAGTGATAAACTGACGAATGTTTTCAGTTGAACACACAATTTTATTTCTAACAAACAACATGTGTAGTGCTTACCATGAAGATTATGTGCTTATAATTCTCCCTGGAAATATGACAAAAGAATGAATCTGTATTCATAAACTTTACTCCGCTGTGGACTGGAGGCATGGGAGACCGTGACAAGGACAATAAAATGTATCCCTTGCCCGTAGATGGGTGACACTGCAACAGTACTTGATGTGTGTCCAGTGCAGGCAGTTTTCAAACATGCCCTGGCCCCATGACGTTAGGTAGATGGAGTTGGCAAGTTCAGTGGGTCAAAAACACAGCACTTGTGACTGTCATCAACATCTACGTCGCTGTTGTCATCATCAATTGGCATTGGTGGTGCTGTAGCCGAAGCAATGTGTTCCCAGTTTCCCATGCATGACAACGACTTGGACCAGGCTCAGACGGAGAAGCTGTGCAGAGATTGGTTGGTTTTGTTTTCCCTTTGCATGATGGTTTGTTACCAGCCCCATACTCTGAGATCTTATTTCTTGTGATATCTTCTGTGACAAGCTTGCCCGACACAACCGAGCTCAGGCATCGCCTCTTTTTTGGGATCTTTCAATGAAGAGAGAAAAACTTTGGCTTATTAACAGTGATTAAAATTAAAAAACTGACAATTTAGTGATTAATCACAAAGACAGCGACATGTATCTTTTTCTATTGTCTTATTGAGCCTTCTCTCTCCTTAAACAGATCTGGTCTTGAATCAGGAAGGTTGGCAGATGCATGATCAGCTTGGGGGCCAACCACCTGGGAGACAGCACCTGCTTTTTCTCTTGTTTCCGGTTTAGAAGTGGCACACTTGTTGAGAGCTTTGGCTGGTGCATACATGGCATGATCAACTACACCACCGTTCAATGGGTAGATTCCAGCTTTCTTGAAGGAGCTCCTCAAGTTCTTGGGTAAAACGGCCTTTGCATATGCATTGCATGCAATCTCATAGATTGAGTATTGGTCGATCCTGTCGTGGAGTTCACCCACATGTGTCAATGGCACATATGCTCTCAAATGATCCAAAACATGCCAAATCAAGTGGCTGCAAGACATGACTTGTGTGGGCAGGTAAGGCAAACAGCAAAATATTTTGGTCTCTTGCCCAGTCAATCAGAGTTAGGTTTATGTGAGATTGATGGCCATCATAGAGAAGGAATATCGGCTGGTCTTTTGATCGGCTCGTTGTGACTTATTTCAAGAAGTGTGATGAGAGGTATGTCATGAAAATGGAAGTATTGGACCAGCCACTGTCACTAATGGTCCCACCTGTACCAGCTAAGCAACCATTGAGTCCTGTCTCATACGTTGTCCTGGGAATACAAAGTATGGCAATAGTTGCTGTCCAAGAGCATTTCCTGCTCTGATGATGGTAACCGTCATTCGTTCGCCAGTTGTCATGGCAAGTGGGTTGGATGATGAGGCTGAACCAATAATGAAAGGTGGGGAATGGTCTTGTTTGACACCCTTCTCATCTATATTGAAAATGCACTCTGGTGCATCCATCAGTTTGTATTTTGTCATCACCTCTTCAAGCTCAGTGAAGTATGTCTTCACCACTTCTTCAGAGGCTGCCTTTGCTCTGTACAGATCAAGGCTTTGTGGCTTCTTCACACTCAGCTCAGGCCATCTTGACATAAAGCTACGGAACCACTTGAGGCTAAGTGGATGATCTTCATCCCTTCTATTAAGACCGACTGCATAAATAGTGGCTATGTCAATGACTTCAGCCCTGCTGTATCTATAGCCTAGCAGAGCCATCTTCTTCAGGTGACTGACCAGGTTGTTCTCCTCCTCGAAGCTGAACAGAGGAGCCGGTCCCAACCTGGTGACTTCTTGATCAACTTTCGCCTGAATGCGATCCCACAATTTGGTTTCAGGGACACCAAACCTTCCTGCAGCACTGCAAACTGACTCATTCTCATCAACAAACTTGCCAGAACACTTTAGTTACCACTGATGGTGAATAGTACCTGTAGGAACTTGCCCTAAACTTCAGCACTGGACTTGTACACGTGTTCTGCAAGATAAGAAAATGATATGTATTTTTGCTGTTCGGGTTTCAAGTGATTGGTTGCCATAAGCGATGAATATTTATCGTACTTTTTTTTTTCAAAGTATTGATACTTTTATTTTGTAGGCCTTCACTGTAAAAAACTTATATTCATTTTATTATAATAACTTTGTCTAATCAACGAAAGCAAAAACTATAGTGCATTACTTTTCTTTGAAATGTAAGTATCAATCTAGGCCTTAGACATTTTACATGTATGTGCATGCAGTTTTTAGAATTTCATGGAAAATATAAACTTATTGCAATACATTAATTCATCCTGTGTGTGATGGCACGTCCATTTTTTTCAGGCAGTAAGAAAATGACATTACAAATATGTCTTCTCTAAGCCTCCATACTTTTCCCCACATGCTCAGTTGTCAACTTAATCACTTGACTTCAATCATACACGAATAAAGTTTTTGAAACAAACAAACAAACAAACAAACAAATATTAATTCCCCCGCAAGGAAAGATGTTTTTGCACCTTGAAAACTAGGCCTAAATACATCAACTTTAGATATTTACAAATGCAACTTATTTGTAGAGCCTTAACTTTCCACATAATTCGATCAGCGTGGAGAAGAGAACTTCTTACTGTTGTGGAAGTACATGTAATGACAGGGTATGCACAAAGTAGGTTTCCTTGGCTGTGGAACAAAAGACATGTTTACCATATTTACTGCCCTATAAGGATGGCTGCCATGTAAAGCCTGTAAGATCGGTAACCATATAGTCACCAGGCCCCTCATTTCGCTACTTACTTGTGAAATCCAATCAGACTTGGCTATAGGGACCCAGCAACTACATGGTCAAGTTATACAGTGTCAAAACTTGTTAAACATGAAATGAGAAACCTCTACATGTACATGTAAATGTCACTCACTGACTGAATTATGAAGTTAAGGTCTGCTTATTAGTTACTGACCATAGTCAGAGATAGTAAAATTTAAAGTTTTGAATTTGTTTACATGTATGTTTAGGGCACTGCCTATTCATCCATTAAATTGTAACTTGTAAATCTGCATCTTCTTCCTTTCTTTGGCAGATTTGGTTTGAGTAATAAATTCAATGTAGATTTTCCACAAGAACTTGCAGCAAAGGTAAGTAAAATTACTCATTTTAATAAAAGGCAGAAGGTGGCATTTTTGACACCAACTCTGTCATATCATTGTATATGATGAGCACTTCTAAGCCTGACGCTGTGATCCATTTTGATCATTTTCTCAATGTTAAACTTCCCAAGTGGAAGCAGTGTCAGATTTTGTTCATTTAAACAGTTTATTTGAGGTTATTCTAGTTTGATTTATAGCCATCGCCTTGGCTACCATTCTGATTAAATTTGTTGGTTAATAAAAAAAAATATAGGTGTCAATTCGGTCACAGTGCATGCATATATTTAATGATTAAAACTCAAGAAGACTGAAGGTGTGGTTGTGGTTTTCAGCTAAATATATAAGATACATTATCATTTGTTTTAATATTATTTTTTTTTTTAGATCCTGGGATCAGATTTTGTTCTGATCACTATTATCCCTCTCGTTAAAAATACAACCACTGACAAAAAATTGATTTACTCATAGTAATCAACAAATTGCATCACAATTTGCCTTCTGTTCTCGTGTTGTGATGTACTAAATGAATTCAAATTTGTAAAACTCACAGTTTGCATATTACAAAGCTGAAACTTGACTCTTTCCAGAACAGGTACAGTATCACTTTTTCTCTAACTGCCAGGTCAAAAGTTATCGGCAGGTTAAGGTTAGATTTGAGATGGCTTTAACACAGAAATGATATAAGATTTAGAGGTCATGATTTGTCTAATTCCATCTACCCTATGAAGGCTTTTCTCAGATTGCTTCACATTTAATGCCTGGACTCAGTGTAAATGTTAATAGAGTGTTTTACCTGTACTGTTTCATTTATAGGTTGCGCCAGAGGAATTCAAAGGTACTGTGGAACGCATCAATGCCGTTCTCCACAAGACGATGCCCATGACGCTCAAGTGGTTGGTGTGTGGTTGTTTATGTTGCTGCTGCACGTTGGGGTGCTCCCTCTGGCCTGTCGTCTGTCTGACAAAAAGGGTGCGACAGCTTGATAAACTAATATTAATTTTAATGCTTATATGCATGTAGTACTTTCCATTATACCAACAATCTCAAAGCACTTTACAAATATTGCCCCTTTCATCAGGCCAGACCATCTGGTGCCCAGTTTCAGTGTGCATGTGGCTTCTTTCATCGGGTACCCCTTTACACCCTTGGCTGAGAGAGACAAATAGGATAAAATGATGCACCCAAGATTGGAATGTGTAATGCTGGATTTGGACCCAGACCCTATGGTCAGGAGACACAACATTAATCACAAGACTTTGAGCTTCACAAGCAATGGATAGTTTTATTTTTATAATTTTTTCAAGGTTAGGGACTGCGCAGTGTTTGGTTCTTTAAAAACTCTAGGGATTATGCACCCACTTGTTTAACAGTGCCAGGAAGTATTTCACAAAAATACTGCATACCTGTCATATATATGTACAGTGTTTTACTTGGAGTTTGGTTGATGCCATTTGAAATTACTCTTGTAGCTGCAAAGACCTTGTACTAGTGTAACTTGTTATTAACTTGTGTGCTTCTGTGTGCATTGGACTGAAACTTGATTATTGCCTTTACAGACGAGACACATGGTGCAGAAGGCGTTGGACTGGGAGAACTGCAAGATGTACCACAAACTGGGCCTGCACTGGTCCTTAGCCAAAGAGAAATGTGAATCAAGTAACATGATGGAATATGTGAGTACATGTATTACGTACTTTCCAAATCGTGATGTATCTTAACCCTTACCATTCTGAAATCCAACAAGATTTTCCACGATTTCAGTTGTCCCTAGGGGTAAGGGTAAACATTGGTATGGCAGCCTTCACTAGCAAAAGAAGTTGATGTGATAAATGGAAACGTAGAAGCGCATGCTGTAGTCCTCATCTAGACATATTTTAAAAGAAACAATGCTTTGGAATGTAAACTGCACGTACTAAACCCAGTGACTTCAAATCCTCTTAATCTCTGATTTTTTTTTTTTTTACAAAATGCTTCATGACTTGTGAGGTAAATACTGTACTACTGGATTGATTGTGTACCATTTGTATCTGATTTGTTCAAGAGTAAAATGACTTTCAAGCATGGTCTAAGGTTGGTAAATCTTGCCCTCTTGCGTGAAAAAAAAGCTTTCAACATCCCCCATGTTGATCGACAATATCGGGCAGAAATCCCTCAAGAGGTAATGAATCTGAAAATCTCACTAAAAGCATTGTAAGTGTCATGAAGACAAGCAATAAATTGTTCATTTTTCATATTTTCAAGACATCCCAATTAATTACCATTACTTCGTCTTTCCTTTTTATCTATAGGTTTTAAAGATTGAGTTTATACCAAAGGTTTCCATCCTCAAGCCAGATTGATATATTTATGAATGATGTCTACATTTATGTGAACTCACTCATCGCTCTTCAGTCTCCGATTTTTCTGTCCTCCACCATTTACATCATTGGTAACTGTTGTTTTATTTAAGGGTTATTTATTTTTCCCTTTTTCGCGGATCAGTTTCACTCCTTTGGAGACCTGGGATTTCATGTATTTAAGTAAGTGTACATGTACGTTTGTGATGGAAGAAATACAACATGGTTTAAATTCATGTGTACAGTTTCTTGTAAAATACATTTTGGTCACTCAGCCATTCATTAACCCTCCCCCCGAGGCCCTTTCACAAGGAACCATCCTGAATCCTCCAAAATCCTCCAATTTTGAACATGAAAAAATTGCATTCAGCCCAATCCTTCAAAATTTCTTGAAAATGTCATTTGGAGGTGTGCCTAACTGCCGGAATCCGTTAAAATCCTCCACTTTGCAGAAAAGGATTTGGGAGGGTTAGGGTTAATCCAGTACAGTTTTGGTGTAGAGACTGGTTCATACTACTGGTGCATGCGAAAATGAAGCAAAGTTGACTTTACAGCAAAATGTTCTCTGAGTTGAAATGTATGAAACGTTTGCGAATTTATAGTGTGAATATTTGATCTGACGTCACAAATTTGTGTTGATGTTTGCTCTCGTGCCCAAGTTTGAGCAAGCCTTTATTCAGCAAAGTTAGCTCTCTGAATAGCAAAATAGAAAATTGTATGTACATGTATTTCCACCTTACAACTGTTATTCATGATGAGGTTATCAAATGTGACCCACCCTAAAGTAAATTATGTGCAAGAACTACTTCAGACACAATAGTGCGCACAATAGTGCGCCACCAAGAGTTTCAACATGTTGACCAATCATAATGCGCGAAATCTGTCAACCGAATGTGCGTTTGGAAAGGGTCGACAAATTTTGCGCATTGTGATTGGCCAACACATTGCAAACTCTTGGTGGCACACTGTTGTGAATCGCCCGTATTGGAATGAAAAGAGTAAACCATAAATGGCCATTTTGATCGGAGTGAATAGTCACCAAAACAACGGCCCTTTTTTCTATTTTTAATTTGAGCTACCAGTAGAGCAGAATTACTGGAAAGAAGTGGCCTTGAGACTCATTTTGATTGATAACAGCTTCTTTCTCAGTATCCGAAAGTGCTGTGTTGTGTGATATCCCTTTTTAAACTGAACAACAGGGGGGGGCTGTATTACCGAGCTGATTTTGTTGGCTTATGCACACTGTTCACTGTCTATGTAATCTATAGGTACATTTCCCTTTTCTTCACTTTTGTGGATGCATCATGCTCATAATGTAGATCCCATTGAGATTAAACAGATGTGCATTTTAGACATACGGTACAGCTATATACAAAAACTAGAGTGCTAACTTATGTATAAAGTGATGCCTGCGGGGCGCATCCATGTTTATGCACAAACCTATGGAAAACTCGAAATTTTGTCTGGCTTTTGGATTTGTATATCTGCGCCTGTATTCTAAGACGATATGTCAAGAAGGTCGATATGCACAAAAAGTAATGCGCAAGCAGTAAGAGAATTTTGCTCAGTTTCATTTTGCTCTGTATCCGCAGTGCAAATGCGTGCGCAATTTTATATTCATGCTATCTGATTTTGAATTTTCTGCAAGCGCACACATGGATGCAAAATGTCTGCACCCAGGATGACGTCAAATTTTTCGGTGCTGAGAGTGAGAAGTTAGTGCTCTAGTAACTTAATATAGCCGTTTGGTTTAGACTAAACACGTTATTTAGGCCAAAAAAGTCTGCATGCACATACATGGGAAGTGACTAGATACTAACCCGTGAAACCTGGTCTGCTATTTTTCTCAAGACTCTTAGAGGGTTCATGCTTGGACTCTGTTTCTGCATCAATTGAAAAAGGAAATCCCAAACACAATGATAAAATTGGAAAATGAATAGCATAAATGTCTTAAATGGTGTATTGCATTGTCCCCTCTTCATGAATCATTTGTCACCCCAGCTACTGAAAAAAAGTAGCGCACCAGGTTTCACGGGCTAGTATTAAGTTGCTTCCACATACATGCATATGTAATAATAACTTAGCATAATTGTTGCTGTACCTCAGGAATTTTGATTGGCTTTTTCTGATATTAGTTTTTTAGTTTACTGGTTCAGTTTTAACTCTGTGCATGTATTTGGTTTGCCTTTAAAAACCACTTGTGAACTCCAGGATACCATAATATTCACCATTCCTTTTTAGGTGGCGTGCAGTCCAAAAAAGCGTAACTGGAGGAATTTTAATCCTAGAAAACCTGCTTTATCAGTGTTTATACGCAACCTTTAGTTGGTCATTGTCTCTAAGTGCTAATAAATTTCTCCCGTGAACCTTTTTGAATCCTCCAAAATATACTACTTTGAGAAGACAAGTGATATGTTCTTGCTATTAAAATTTCCAAGGGACATCAAGCCCTTCGTGTGTGAATTGGCTTGGCTCTGCCTTCCTCAACTCTCCTAAATCCAGTGTTAAAGTTGAGACTTTGCTCAAATGCTTTAGAGGTCAGATTCGACTCAAGTCCGGCATGTATGAGGAAATATCTTGATATTAGACTGTGATCTTGGAATAGTTTGAACATGGTCCTGAAAGGCCTCTGTGGGTCTGTAAGTTCAGTGTTCACTCAAAAATATGTACACTGCTATTATTCCATCACATAATAATTGCACTCGCTAATCTGATTATTCCATTATTTCATCTCCGAAACTTTAGCAAATAACAAGCAATGAAGTAAGAAAGGTATCAGAAAAGTTTCAATGTCCCAAAACCAGCTTGTGGTATTTTTGAAGGATTTGAGAAGGTCTGACTTGCTTTATCAAAATTACAGAATATATACATGCAGATTCCTCCCCGATTTTGTTGAAATCTTCAAGCATCCAGAATTATTATTCATAGTGAGTTTACATGTACTGCTTAAGTGTTAACTATTGTATAAAAAGTGGATCATATTATTTATTTTAACTGTAATCTTCTGATGAAGGAGTCAGAAGTGCTGTACAAAAGTGAGATATTATAAGTGGCATATTTTTAAACGGAGAAGTCAAATTGCTATCACTGTTTTGATGATTGGTGTAAACATATATTTGGGTCATACAACATGAAATTCTGAATGAATGTACAGTATAGTGCAGTATCAAATATGTATAAACTGGGTGTACTACTGCATAGTTGTACTTTGATTAAAATATATATTTACATAACTGATAGCTTTACAATTTTTTTTCCCAGGACAAATTCTGATAACCCCAAGTGTCAAATCCCTTCAAACATGTATACTGCCATCTTTATTGAGGGGCTTCATAACACAGTTTGAGGGTTTTCAACATTTTCATTTGCTGCAGCATTACAATAATAGTGATATTCTCACATTTTTTATTACTGGAAAGTTTCCACTTGAAGCTTGAGCTAAACTATCAGGCTGCTTCTACTGGCAGGTAACACAACACCACACGTTGTAGTCAACCCCTCACAAATCCATCCAGCCTCAAGTAAAAAATAAAGCTTTTCAAGTGAACTACGATAAAACCATTCTTAGGACTTTGTTTACATTTTTAAGTGATCTGACATATCATTATTGTGGTAGCCTTGATAACACCATTATTCGTAGTTAATCGATTGTTTCACGGTTGGTAATTAGGTAACATAAGATTTCTGTTAAATTGAAAGGGTCTATGTTACCTGTGAATCAAACTGCAACCAAGGCTTGCTCATTTGTTTCTCTGTGTCTGCTATTTATCAAAATCCATTATTTCCACCATCACCTCCTGTTTAAACCAAGCAACCAAGTGACAGCATTGTGTATTGCACATGTACGTCCTCAGAATACACTGATTATGCAGAGCTTAACCTGTTTACTTTGAGAATAAAAAAAGAATTTGAAAATGCCAAACTAACTTTTTTTATTGGGCTGTGATTTTTGGTGTGAAACTAATAACATTGATTCTATACAGAGTTTACCTAAAATAAAATGACCCAGTGGAAATGACTGGGATAGCGTCCTTCCTTTGATGTTGTAAGGACCTACATGTGGGCCTACTTATCTTTGGAACTCACCTTAACCACAGATTTTGAGCAAAAGCAAAGATGTTGATTTTACCATTGTTAAAGCCTGTCTCTTTTTCAATTTCCCTAACTATGACATGCTGACATGACACATTTTTTTACCTTGTGTGCCTTTGTAAATCAAGTTTTATCTTGAATTTAACACTCGGTGAAATTTCACTACACTTAAGATACTCCTGTTTGGAAACTTTCAGTTATACCTGTTACCAAGTCTACTGACATACGCTTTTGCATAATTTTCCACTTTTATTGTGTTTACACATGTCTGTACATGAGGTTGCATGTACATGTATTTTGAAGTGTGCCATGAATTCATGTGCTAAACGTAAGAAAAAATTCCAAAACATGTAAATGGTACTGCAAATAAATATCACGTTCATAAGAAATTGTCTGCTTCAAAGTTTTTTTCATGTCCACATGAATAATTTGGTGAATGTTCAAGTACGTTGTAACTTAGAGAACACACTATCGACTCTGTGCCCAAATTCTAAACACTATATTTGTTATTATTATTATGTTTATATTTCTGCCCAAATTTCATCATCAAACTTTCACAGCAAACAATTTAGATTATTCCAGTAATACTACCACTGGTCTCAGTACTTTGCAAAACGAATTTGAAACCTGTCAAGTTAAGTTAGAAGTTTGCCAACAATTAATGAGATGAGAAAAGTCTAGGAAAATTACAACTTTCTTTGTTACAATTAAGTCAGGGGACTTGGTTATAAAAGCGGTGGGTGATAGGCAAAGCAGTTTCTTCAGTTCGCCCAAGCTTCATTGTGGCTTGCCCTTGCTTCGCTGCATTGATGGTCCTTTTCGTATTTGAGATAATAATAGTTGCTAACTGGCTCTTGCGGCGAAACAAAGCATTAACATGGCACGTCTTTGTGACCTTTCACTGCGTACGTCGAGAACCTGCAGTGCATGGCGCGCATTTTCAAAAACTTTCTGTTAGCACAATGGTTTATCCCCACTGAGTTGTTGCGCTATTTTTGTTGTTCCGAATTACTGACCCAAACCCGCAGTAAATCAAATGGATACATGGTATAAAAGAAACATTTAAGCTTTTTATACTTACAGTATATTTTACGAGTTCAGTGGAGCACGTAACCCATGAAAGGTCGGTGGACATGTACGAGCAGACGAGCTTACTTCACGCGTGTATCGCATGCACGTCTTTTTTGCCAGACGACAAGAGATGTGACGTCATGCGCAGATCGGTTGAAAGAATGACGTCATGCACGAACAGTCGCGCACATGGCGAGGACTGATGCCAAAATGTCAGAAAATGTCAGACAACAGCAGATTGTCATACATGATTGTAGATGCGACACAAGAAGTCGGTTGACGGTTTCCAATTTCTTGGCATACCAAGGGTAGATCCCATTTCTACTTTCAGGATCACTGAAGGGTTTCCTGTTCAGGTGTTTTTCCCTCGCAGATAAAACAATTCACAGATAATCTTTTTACTAATAAAACAGACAACAATAATACATAGTTTCAAACGGTATTATAGATAACCCTTGGCACACCAAACATTCTGACCAAGAACAGTTTGAAAAATTTCGATTATTTTGATTATCCTCAATTAAAAAAATGATAAAACAAAACAATAAAAAGAACAAAACACTTCTGCAAAATGAACATCGTAGGATATCCACGTAATACGTAATCCACGTGAAAGACAAATAATATTTGAAAACACACATCAATACATTTTACAAGTTTAATGTACATTAAATATCTCTTTCTTGTCCCATCTTTCTGAGTGACATCAACTACATAATCCTTGCTCGACATCAACTACTAGTGCCTTTATTATTTTACACCAGCACCTGGTTTGTAATTAAATGTGTTGATAATCTGAGTTTGAGTTATTCTAGGTTTAAAATTTGTTTGCTGAATCAAGTATGGTACACATAATATATATAGTCCTGTCATTTACAAAAAAGGATGAAAGGCAAACAAAAACTCTACACGAACAGGGGAAAAGGGGGCATCTCGAGAATGGTCCCATTTTTTTCAAGAAAAAAATCTCAGAGTTAAGATTAAATTTTGGATTCTCTTAGATCCCCACATTTTACAAGATAAAATCAGTGAGCAGAAATCATCAACAGCTTTGAATTAAAACTGCATGGGAAACACATGGTTTTAAACCGTTTTTTGCTCCAAAATAACCTTAAGGTTTGCTAAATATATGCCTATCTGAGTAAAATGTACAATTAAGAAAACTGTCATACATAACGTCAAATTTAATTTTGATTAAAAATGTATATATTGCCATCACAAAAGTACGTAATAAACATCTTATATAAAACTGGACACTGTCTGTAGATACACAAAGGTAATCTTAAAATAAGGATATTGTCATCTCCAATTTTTTAAAATCCATATTATTTAAGCTTTAACAAAACATAACATTGAGACATGAATACTGGTCCAACCGAAAGCTCATTAGTTGAATATTTAAAACAAGCCTACCCTACAACTGTAACTAAGGAATTGTAGGTATTTTGATATTGATCATTTTAGCTGCCATCTTGATTCGCTTTGACAATGTTACATCTTCTAAGCTCAAATTCAAGCTAGTGTCTAAAATAGTCTAGTGTGGTGATCAACGCAATAGCAATTTCTGGCTTACCCAGAGAGTGCTAGACAAATCCAGCTGCCAATCTTTTTCATTGTCGTTTATAAATAATAAATAGTTAAACAGCAAAAATGCACAAAAGTTACATTGACCAATGAACACTCCAAAAGTTGCAGTCACATCCTTGCAAGTCAACCCAGTCTTCCAAACAAGAAATTCCCTTGTCATCTCTCTCTGTCATCACTCACTCTCCATCCCGTATTGCTTGTGACTAATCTTGTGATATGACTTGTGACTGAGTAGTGATCAACGAGACTACAGCAGTGGAACACATAAGCATTGAGGGAGATTCAAAACAAGCTTGATGCAGGAAAAAGAAGGGGGTTGATATTTTATTGAAAATATCCCATGCCAGTCCAGCTAACAAGAAGGTTCAAAAAAAGTGTCTGTGAAGAGTTAATACATCCGGGAGATGAACAAATTAATTACAGAACAGCTTTCATCAAAATCTTATTTCAAACTTGCCCTCAATGCAGTTTTCTGTTCACTTCTTTAGAAGCAGTTACAAGGAACTAAATTTACCACAATTATAAAAAGCAATATATGCGCATACATACATGCAAAATATGAGTAGTTCAGAAAGTGCTGCAACAACCATGAAGTTTTTTTAAGCACTGACTTTTCAAAGCCAAAAATATTATATTAGGAAGGAAACACTACTGCTTACCTTAGCTTTAATGGTCCCAGTCATGAGATAAGATCAAATCTTTTGAGCCAAAAAGGATATTGAATTACATACAATTTTACGCCTCTTAATGTTGCCTGAGATATCTGTTATGAAGCATATTTGCAAAAGACTGTCCAGTGTCAACTGTGCTAATAACATATCTACGGCCAAAACATTTTGTTTAAATGCCTAAAATCAAAAATTTCTAGAAAAGTGTAACTTGCGAAAGGACCAGACCACATTAAACCAAAAAAATTTAAAGACATTTATGAATCAATTTTGAAATTTTATGAGACTTACATGTAAGATAAAAAAAAGTTGTGTGTGAATTTCCAATCGAATATGAAACCACCTGAAGACACTGGCTAAGTTTACTTTTTTCCATTTAATGATGAACCCAAAACTTGGACTGAATGGAGTTCAACCTCCCTTTCAACAGACATGATTGCAAGCATAGGGCTGGATAACACTGTGATGTACTGATATTCTGGTTTGAAACCTGGCTCCGTAAAATTTTCTTCCTTCGGCCGAGAATAAGATTTTAAATCATGTAACACACAGCTTTGTTTAATTTCTTCTCTTTAAGGTAACCTTATGAGGTTCCCCTCAACATTTGCCAATGTCACCGGCGCAAGACACAATGCAGATTTGTTGCTACAGTTTCAAACTGCCCCAACTTAACAGTGAAATCTCCTCGTGTCCACTCCCTTTATACGCTTAAACGTTGAATATCAGAAGGGTACTGTGTATAAAATATGACCACCTCATGACACACAAACAACCTTTCATTTACAAGTAATGTTAATACTAAAGAATACTGTTCTGCGTGTGTCCAATCACGGTGGATAAAATATGTTAACAGTGTTAAATGCTAACAAAATGAATAAATGTATACTTTTTTTCAGTGCAAGCAACTTAAGTATTCAAATAAAATTACCGCGACCGGCACGGAGACTTCTACCAATAATCTCAGGCTTACAAAAACCAACAGCATCCTCAGTATATTTGCAGTCAGTGTAAAATTGAAGCAGGATAACACAATCAGAGGACAACATGTACAACTCAACACAGCTTATCAAGTTCATATTACACTCAGTCTTTCAAGTATCACGCATCAGTTATCTGACGGCTTCTTTTTCCTCGAGTCTCCTTATGCTCTCTTTACAATAACAGTCTTAAATCTGTGACATGTTTACAGTACATAGAACTTGTCAGGTATCGGACCTGGATACATCTTTTGGTATTTGAGACTGTGTGTCTAAAGATTCATGCAAGACAAGAATAAGAAGCGTTACTGTGGTAGTACCAAGCTCATGTGCAGATCAGGCATGCATATTTAATGACTTTTCAACCCACAGAGAATAGGTAATTGGACAATTCTAAATAAGGTTTGGAACACAAGTGTGAAAAAGCTGCCACCGTAACAAGGGCATTTTTTCCCCATTAGTCTGCCTTTATGTGACTCATACTGTTGTAGTCTACTGCTTTCAAGAGAATGATCTCACAATATTCAAAGTGATCAAGAAAGCAATTGCTTTTCTTGGTAGCATAAATCAATGACTAATGAGTAAAGTCTGTTCTATTATTTCGGTCTACAATGAAGTACACAGGACAGATAAATCAGGGAATACCAAGTGTGAAATGAGCGATATTTACAATTTTCAAAGACAATTTATTATCTCTGTGGTCCAACACCCAATGAGTGGGGGAAAAAATCAGATCTGCCTGTGATTCCACCTTTTTTCACAATTTCTTTATAGCATGTAGTATTATGTCCCTAACTTCTTATCTAAAATAAACATTCATGCCACTGAAAGCGTGTGAATACCACAAATTTGTAAAGTCCATGTACTGTCACTTTTCCCCGTCCAGTGATAAACAAGAATGAAACAATTGCACCATTTGAAAGGCCAGGGATGTTTTGTTCCAGTTACTGTTGGCGTCCTTCCGTCTCTAGTAGCCTGCATATCCGATAGTAGTGCAAAGACATCATCAGACACTGGTTGAGTACACAAAACAATCTCCTTAATCTCTAGTCACTCTTTACACTGTCATCCTCATACCCTGCATTTGCCACTCAAACTTGCCAGAGTAGAAGGTGGTTGGTACTGTCTTCTTTCCCAGCAGCCTCGTTTGGCGTCGTCGCACTGAAATCTTCATATCCGTCCCCTCCGCTTATGACCATCATGTTGGAAACAATTGCGGCGGCAGATGAAGCCCTGCGCTGTTGCTGTTCCATTTCCGGTGGGTGTAACTCTCGGGATCGCTCGAGCACCTGCTCGCTGATCTTCCTCTGAACTGGAGCTGGTTTCCCCGATGGAATGTCGACAGCAGTCAAGAATCGTACGTGTCCTGTGTGGCCCTGGCCGGAGCCGTTTGGGAAGGATATGTCCCGGGCCAAAGAGGTGGTGGTGGTGGTAATCTTGGGGTGGGGGAGGGTTAGGACCACACCTGCACTGGTGCCCACCCAGAGCAGCTCTTTGCATATAAGGAGTGCCGTGATGCGGAGGCAAGCCGCCTTGTGCTGTCTTATGATGGCGTCAGAACCTGACAAGGCAAAACCAAGGAGCAAACCATCGCAGAAGTTCATAGAAGAGGTTTGAAAATTGTTGAAATTGATCCAATGCAGAGATTTCAAAATGTTGAAAATGTTTTGTGAATGGGCTTTTAGGTTTCCCTATTTCTCTTTAAATTTTACAGCTTGAAGTCGAAGAAGGCTGTGGTTTTATTTGCTGCTTCTTTATGCTTTTTCTAACAAAGTCTTGAATAGCTCTTAGTACACAGCATTTGTAATGTAACGAGAAGGAAGGGAATCCCCTACACATTAATTTATTTAGCCATGTTTACTGTGAAACAAGACTACTTACACAAAGGGGAGAGATGAGGTTCTTAAGTCAACACAAACAAAAACAGAGGCTTTCAGCAATTATGAGAAATTTGCTGCATTGTACGGTGTTATTTGTGGCAAAATAATTTGGGATATCTTCAAGCAATGTGCAATAATTTACATTCAAATCTGTCATTGAAAGAAGACAATTCAGACAAATACTCCAAGATGTACCTGCCAGCATCTTGTACACTGTCTGTGTCACGTCCACATCGCACAAGTTCTCGTAGGTGCTGGCGTGATAGAGCCTAACAACAGCTGTGGCTTGCAGGGTTACCCAAACACCCAAGCCGCTACTTACGATGCAGTGGACGGTCTTCTGGGTGTCATTGCTGACTGAAAATTGATGCTGCCGCACAAAGACATACAAAAAAAGTTAACCGGTGGTTACAGTGTTGGACTTAGGTCCTGTAGTATTTTACACTTTACAACAGTTTTACTACTTAAAGTATCTCCATATACCCACGGAAACATACAGATACACGCTACTTCAACACATGGCCTGATGAATGGGTGTGATTTGTGTGTTATGCATAAAGATGTTTGTTTCAAGCTTATAAAGTGATGGTACTTTTTATAGACATTACCTCAACATTGAGCGTATTGGGATCGACCACAAGGATGTTGTTCTGGCATCCACACCACAGCTTGCTACAGACCGATACCATTTTGCTGATAGGGGTGGTGCTACTACCGAGGGTGACTGTTAGAGGGTTCTTTGTGTCCCAGGCATGACCTGCACATCAATAAAACAATGGCAAATATCAATTGAAGATCTAAAAATCATTAAGATAGGGAACCTGACGTTTCTGAATATTTCTGGTATTGACATAAAAGTCACACGTTTTGAATGAGCAAAGTCTGCTTTGGTTAATTGTTCCAATTATTTACATAACTGACGCCGCACGTGTAAGTCTGACACATAACCTACATCTGCCAATTGAGTTCAGCTCTGCCAGGTTATCTGTACATGAAATTTTAGCAATGCAGCCATAATGTCCCAGAAAAAAATATCACAAAGAAGATTCTTCATGGAATATATTAACTCCATGAAATGTTATCTGTAACTTTTACTTTATCATTCAATTTCTTTGTCTTAAAGCTACATATGAAACACTGCGCTTTTGGAAATTATAACAGGTTGAGGTTTTTAGTTAAGGTTCAACTTTCATCCCTGAATGAATAAATGATTAGCATAAAAGTGGATGAAGCCATGGTTAATGTAGTAAGGTCTTCAGGAGGCCAGACCAACTTTGGTTGAAAACCTACCTGGTTCTCTCCTGTACACAGTAAGGTCCCCGTTCGCTAGGGACACAAAAACCTTGTTGTCAAGGTAAAGGATGCACTGGACGGCAGCTGGGTGTCGGACCTTGGTGCGACTCTTCCGGGTGCGGATGTTGTCCGTGCACTGGTAAATGTGGATGCTGTTGCAGAAACAAATGGAAATTTGTGAATTATATAACTTGAGCACGAATCTGTAAAACTTGTTTCTCAAAGTTACTTTCTGCATGTAGTCAGCCCTAGGTCAAATGTCTTGAACATTTCAGACAACAAAATGATTGGCAAAATAAAGATGAGGAAAATACTTGCGCAACTTCAACAAATGTCACTGACTTAAATTTTATGGCTGGAAACAAAACGAGTATCAACTCAAATTTAACACATTTCTTATTTGTGTCAACAGACCTACATGTATTCACAACAACAATTCAGAAGGGATGCACAGTTTTTCCAGCACGGTTTTTTGTTTTCTAAATTTGGAATTCTTGATTTTTCCACTTGGCACAGCAAGCCTAGTGAGATTACTAGCCGCTATAAATAGAGATTGCATGGCAAAGAGGAAATGATATTCTCACCATCCATCCTCTGTGCCCAGCCACATGGTGGGCTGCAGTACTTCCAGATCCTCTCTGGCTGATATCTCCTCCAGATTATTGCCTGATGATATCCTCTCCAAGTCTTCTTCTGTGACGTAAAAAGTTAGACAGCAATCAGATTTCGTTTGGTCGTAAAGTCTGATCAAAAATCAAAATACAGAGCTTTCAAACAGATTTTGCAGTTCTTTGTGACTCTTCAACACAGAATATGTAAACAATAATAAACATTTCTTTTCTATACCCCTGAATTACTGAGAGGTCATTTGCACTGATAATATAAAAAATACAGAAACAAAGTGGATGCACCCAATTACATACAAATAAATGGGTTTAAGCAAAATTCTCAAGTGTCCTGAGTAGTGTTCCAACAGAATATAATTACAAAATCATGTGCCAGTAACACACAGTGGTATGGCTTAAAAGTTTGGCAGTGTATAATTGGGCATCCTTGAAGACCTTCAGTGAGAGAGGAGTCGTCTCACTGGTTTGTATTCTTGAACTACATGCGGTGTGCAATGTTACTTTAATCAGACTTGGAAATTTACCCAAGACCTTACAACAAGTCGGTGTAAATCATAAGGCACTGACAAATCAACTTGCTGGGTGTTAGGTGTGTTAACCACTTCGCGCCGGTGGCAGTTATCAATGTTGATGATGCTGGGACGGGATAATTATCATATTTTTCTGGTTTCAAAATTCTTCAAAAATTCTTCATTTACTGGACACTTACACTCACACGAAGGGCTGTCTGGTTTCTACTCTAATCTGACAGACAACATCTATTGACACTGGAGTATTTCAGCCACGCCTGCTGCCTTGTAAAACGCGCCCAGATTTTGCGGTGTTACGTAATTTTCTTTTGTTCACAAAACTGGTACAGTGCCCTGCTGACCTCTTTTCAAAAGGGGCCAGATTAACGTGCAGCGGTACTGTGTGGCTCATCGCTGCAGTGGTGGAGTGCTTTTGTCCCCGGTGGTAATCCACTCGCGCTAAATCCCCAAAACTGTGGTATACTGTTTCAAAACAAAGCTGGATTATCCCCACTATTGAGAGTGAAAAAATGTTGGTAATGCCCAGCAACCTGGTCTTTTGTTACGAGTACGGTCTTTTGTTACAAGGCCCCAGTTCCCTTTGTCCGATTTCGGAGACCCTGGCTGCGCGTATAAAGAATACCTGTCCAGTACCGGAAACCCCAGTGGCAAGTGGTTAACTTGGAAATGAGGCAAACAGCACAATATGTAATTGCTGCAATGATGACATACGTCAGGCATTCAGTGTTGTGAATAGAAGTGTTGCCAGTAAACGATTGATACCCAGAGAAAATAAGCCACACTGACCGGAACTGGCTTCTTCCATGGGCACATCGTCCACCTGCAGTCGGATCTCCGGGGCCAATCCTGACCCCGGTGACATCACCATTTCCTCCTCCTCTTCACTATCGTCTGAGTCAAACGGCATGATGTCACTGGCCTGCTGGTTCACAGCGTGGCTGCTGGCCGGCATGAGGCAGCGGCCATTGTTGGCTATTGTTGCCTCACCTAGGAACTGCAGCGGCCGGGATTGGCCGGTGTCCAGAGGCACCTTGGGAACTCGTAGGTGTACCCTGCTGCTGTTAGGTTTGTGGGAAGTGGACACAGAAATTAGGAAATGGACTAGGATGAACACCCAACAAAGAACAAGTTTGTCTAAAATTGATTTCTCACGGTACATCAAAAAATCTTCTACGACAATTCCTTTTTGTTAGAGATTACCACACTCAATTTGCAATTTTACTTAACGGACATGTGCTGGTTGTGTTACCAAAGATTCCTACCGACAGTTGTAATGCAAAAATGATGGGCTAGTTCTACAAGCATAAAGATAATGAGGCTTTGGTGAACAATTCTGTGACTGGTACACCAAAGCCAAGAAGCACACTTCTTAGGATTGTCCTAAGTGAACAGCACAGATAATTACAACTGTGTGAGCAAGACTGACAACCCTAACCTAAGTACATCAAAAACTTAAATACAAGAAAAGACAAGTAAAGTGAAGAAAGGGGACTTTTAAAGGATTTCTTCAGCATCTGAAAAAAGATGCAAGACTTGTGGAACTCACCGCATGGAATGGGTGTCCTGTGCACCGGGCACAGGGGCAATACACAGGATGCGTGCTGAGCACACTGATATACAGAAGGCCACTGTGGGTTCAGGGGTTAGACTAAGTAGGCACACCTGCAAGGGCAGAGAGAACGACACTGGAGTAAGCACCTTTTAGTCAACTTTCAACTTGATGTGCTTGTGCTAACCTTACATACCTAGCGTGAACTTGTGAACATAAGAGGTCCACACGATGCAGGACAGGAAGACGTTCTGTGGACTTACACACGTCCACAGGACGCTTCCCCTTCTCTGAAAGAGAAGTTTAGAGGCATTTTGGGGTAGGGGTCATCCGTCGTAAAAGGAACAGTCAAGGAAATCTTGTACAAAAGCCAGCTGAAAATCTTGTTCCCAGTTCAAGAACAATAGGTATTTTCACTGAGTTTTTTTAACTGCATGAAAATAAAGGAATGTCCACAGTAGGTATGTAAGGTAAGTGTGTATGAGTGTGATTGTGTATACATGCATGTGAAAGTGAAGCCAGTTTGAGGACACAAAACACTCAGAGCAGAATTTACCAGAAAAGACATTTGTTCAGCTTTTGTGAATTGGCAGCACAAATACTCACTGCAAAACCAAAAAATCTGCATTTGCATGCCTAAGCCTAAAACTGACCATAGCAAGTGGACTCGACTTAATTATTCAGATTTAGAATTAATAAGTGACATCAAGGTGATGTAACAAGAAAATAGTAAATTTTAATTTCAACCTTTGACACTACTACCAAGGATAACAGAGAAAGAAAATTGCTTGAAAAAAGTTAAGATGTTTTTTACACATTCTGTACGCAGTAAGTGCAAAATAAGTGCATTGACAGGCCAATGTCATTAGTCAGAAATGACTGATTACTCATTCAACTTATTTTGCATTGAATTGGAGGGTTTTCAAACTGAACAACCAAAGAGTGAGATCACATGTACTATAATTGCCACAATAGTCTCAGTGTGGCTACCGGTGTAGCTTCAGAGAAGTGTACTATGCACACACTTCTGTAAACCCTCTTGCAATCCTGTAGTTCGTTACCACCACTGCAATATGCATCCATAGGTATTCTACAAGCTTTCAAGAAGTGAACAGTTCTGTTTCTGGAGTGAGCAAGGGCTTTATCTGCAATTTTTGCACTGCTCACCTGGCCTACATAGCCGTCACTATTGCACACCCAGACGTCTCGTAGTGAGTTGCTCATGGTTCCCAAGCTGGGGGCTGCACAGGAGAACTGCATGCCACTCCGCGTCTTCATGATGGGGATAGGGTACAGGAACACTGGAGGGAAGTGATCCTTGGACCGCGCAGCTGTGAATAGAAAAATGAAACAAGAGTACTTGACAAATTAAGTTTCTTGAAACAGAAGAAACAAACATAGCCAAAGTACCATGGGAACCCTCATTTTTAGCAACCTTTGAAAACATGCATGCATGTACAGCATTGGTAATGCAAAGGGCACTTACCTAATTTCTTCTTGGCTTCGGCAAAGTCATTCTCAAATGTTTGCCGTGCCTCCTGTCCCTGGAAGAGAAGTACAAAGCTCTCGATGCCCTCACTGGAAATGAGAAGAGTTCAAAGGTCAAGCAAAGGCAGGTAAGGCAGGTGTCTTATGTTGTACAAGTACAATGAAGATGCGCTTATGCCAACAAGTAAATAACCAGAGCATTAACCAGCAGCACACTGATGGCTGCAATGAGAAGAGCTGCTTGACAACCAGACACCCCAAGGACTGACAAACCCTCGACGACGCAGAGACGGCAAATGGCAGACGTGGGGGCAGACAACTACAGACAAGATGATGGCTGGGGAGGGAATTACCAGAGGGCAGCGAGAAGCTTCCTGACTGTTGTGGAAAGCCTCACTCGGATCTCACTATGTTTGCACGTTCCAGCACCCTATCGCCGATTGACTGAAGGCAACAACAAAGCATAACGCTCTCCCGGGTACAAATGAAATACAATGAAAGGCACGTAACTAGCCAGTGGCAACTTTAAAATTGAACATCAAATAGACACTTAAGAAAATAAACTCCAGACTGCATAATATGGATGGTTTCTCACAGGGTACTGTATTGATTTTTCAAACACCGCATCACTGGGTTTGTCTTTGAGACAGACAGCAAGTCAGGTGGAAGGACTAACAATCAGCTGTACGTACTGTGTTGTAGCGGTGAGCTCTAGTTTACTGAGGACAGCTGTGGGTAGTGCAGGGAGTGCTTGCATCTCGGCAAGTCGCTTGCTGACTGTCTCTGTGAGCTCCTTCAAAACTTCATCAAGACTCTGCCAATGGAGTCAGACTCATTAAAAAGCTCCTCAATTATTTGAAAACAGTTACAATTTAAGATACACTTCTGGTCAGAAAAGCTTTGTGGTGGATTATTACTATCTGTAAGTTACATGTAATGTTACTAACATTTAGCAGTAAACTATGATTTACATTATATAGTTACTATGGGTAAATTAAACTGAGGTAAGCCTGTATTCAAAAGTGAAGAAGTCATGACCTGAAAGTCTAAGACAAGGAAATCTGAGACTGAGATCAAGATATTGAGGACAGTTTCCCAGACCAATTTCTTCAGGACTGAGATGGATAATGAAACTTCATGGTCCCAGAATGCGGTCCAGTCTCAAGACCTACAATACCGGCATTCACCAACCTGGTGGGGTGAGGAGAGTGTCTCCGTCAGCCCACTGATGCGGCCCAGGATGGACAGGTCCTCCTCCAGCTTGCTCAGGTCCCGCTCCTGGTTGGCCTGCTGGGTGCTGGCGGGCGACTTGACAATCTCCACATCGTCCACAGCCAACTTCCAGGCCAGCTTGTACTTGCAGGCTTCCATGGGCAGAGTGACTGGCGACAGACTGTGAAATAAAGGAGTGAGATGACATTGGTGCCTTGTGTGTTAAAAAGGTTCACAATGAGTGGGCAAAATGCAAGTATCAACAAGCAAGGAAGCCAGGAAAGACCTGAAAGTCAAAGACAGATGATGAGATGGGAGTTAAAATGTATTGTACGTGTAAAAGTATACCATAATGTTGATTGCATAAAAAAAATTATGCCTACAGCTTTGGGTGAATTGGATTTTCATTTTTTTTTTATTATATGGAAGACTTTCAAGTCACAACAGTTTCATTCATCCTACAACTCATTCTCTAGCATTGATATTAGGATCATAGATTTGCTGAGACAGAAGGGACAAGCAAGATTATAATTTGGAGTGAACAAAGAGTAAGCATGAATAAATATAATGACATATGGCAAGTGGTTAATTCAATGTGATTGTGTCCTATCACATTGAGCCAGCCAGACTTGATTAAACATTCAATCCAAGTTTCTCCGCCTTACATAAACTGCTGAAACCACAAAGGAAACAAAATATAACAAAAAATTAAGGTCAAAGAAGACTCCCCAGTTCCCAAACAAAATTGTAGAATTTTTCAGGCACTGAAGGATTTACGTATCTATGAAGGAGAAACAAAGTGATTGGCTAGTGCCTGAAATCAGTAAAGCTAACCTCAAAGAAACAGCCCATGCAAACATGGTGCCAATGACCTGCAAGTCTTTCAGGTCGGCGAGATCAAGCTTTGATTTCAACCAACTGTGGGTTAACTCCAGTTGTACCAGCTGTGCCCAATCACGCAGGGTCCATTACATTATTATGGGGGGGGGAGACAGGATCAGATATGTGCAGGTCTTGCTAGTAGGGGGTACACCACAACTGTGATTTAATTCTCACACATCAATCAATTCTCATTTTAAACAATTTCTTTAGATCATTGAAAAATATGTCTGGATGCAGGAATGTGATCTTGCCCAAAATCAATATCTCTATTATTTGAGAGGGCAACTCGTGTTCAGGTGGACATGGTTAATCTAATATAACTATTCATTACATGTAAATCTACTCCAGTTCAGTTTTCAAAGACCCAGAGAAGAACCAGTATGTAACGAAGAAAAGGGAAAAAATGAGCAAATTAACCAAGCACAGAAGGCAAGCAACTAAATTGAGGACTGAAAGATTTACGACGAACTCTCTGTTCCAAATTGGACCACAAATGCCCCCCATGAAGATGTCGCAAAGTGTCTGCCTTTCCCCTACCTTTAAAGTTGTTCATTTTGCAATGTAATTGAACTTATTATTTCTTTTTAACTTTTTGTTTACAAATTATGCCCATGAATGGAAGTTGAAAAGCTGTCAAATGAGATGATGGCTTCTTTAGACATGCAAGAGAGAAGAAAATCTATCCAAAATTTTTGGACAAAAAAAGGAAACAGAGCCTCCTTCCTTTCTTCAAAACTACAGGATGAGAAAGTCTTTTTTCACACAGCCTCACTTTAGTTCAGAGTTTCTGAAGTGGGTCTGTTGCTTGACTTATGCATTTCCTCAACAGTATAAACTTGTATAGTACTCAGTGTTGTTACATGCATCGGGTAGTTGGGTACTTGCACACAGAAGAGTTCAGAAGCTTTGTGACATCTTCTGGATTTATGGGTTTAACACAGGAAATAATTTCTCAGTCAGTGCTTACAACAATCCAAATTCATTCCATATTAGGCACATATGCATTAATGAAATATTCATTGTGCGTTTCTCTTACTAAAGATAAAGCCCAACAAATACCACTCAGCCAACAATAACAGTTAATATCCAGTAGCTTTGACGTAGTTGAGTAGATGTACGTCAGCCACTTCCCCAGTGTGGAATTCAAATGATACCTTTCCAAATATAAAGTGGGCCTTGTGGGAAAACTTGTTATATATCTGCACAAATGCCCCTTGTTTAGGATTTGTGCAACAGTAATTCTTGGTTATTCATAAGATGCTGTGAGCCACACACATCCATCAGTCAGACTTTGGCAATTTCCTGACAAGCAATGATTATTTACCCTGTCGATGTCTAAGAAACATGGGAGACGAGGCCTGGAAATGCCAATTCATAATACACATACGGCTAGTCTATGCACAGACATGGGATATGTGACGTTCAGAAAACTTTAGCATCAGAAAGACCATGGCAACAGTTTCCATGACGATATTTACAACTGTAATAAAACTTGTGTCAACCTTTGACCCTAGAGACAGCTATTTTTGGACATGACATTTGTTCAATTGCAGACGCATGGAAAGAAAATCACCCATCAAAATTTATCAGAGGAAACATTGCAATTGCACACACTCTGGGTAAGGAAGGGGGCTTAAGGCTTGAGAAAAAAAAGGATCAAAATCACTCTGGCAACAGTCTCCACGACAACTCAGCCACCAACGATATAAAACCTGCGCTAACCTCTAGCCCCCCCCCCAACACGAAGACAGCACCTGGGCTATTTACATTCACTCATATTTGCTCACGTGCACGCCGCATCTGCAGTGCAGGCCAACAGAACAGCCAAACAGAATCAGGTCTGCATGTTTGATGATTGAGGAGCTGGTATGGAAGGGAAAGCCTGTGTTGATCAAATTACAAATTAAAGTAAAAACCCTTTCATTTGCTACCCAGCAGAGACAAGATTTTTTTTCCCTTTTCCCGTGACTGATTGCTGATGCTTGCTTATTCAATTGGAAATTAACATTTTGGCAAAGTGCAGACACCCATTTTTCTCCATTCAGTGAGAGAATATTACTGGATGTGTAGGCAGTCTTTATAACAAAAGTTTTGTAACAACACAAAAATAAACAAATTTCTTTTGCTAATGAAAATTCACATAGATAAGCTACAATTTATGGTTTGCATTTTACGATTAGCAATGCACTCAAATATTTGCTGGGGACAAGACAATAAGGAAATAGGCTGTACTGTGCATGTGGATAATATCCAGTATCGTGTTTCTGGACGTAGTACCAAACTGCATCTTTGAAGAGAATTCCATGTTGAAAATATCTTTAAAACCTTTGCACCCGTTTGCAATCCATACACCTAGTTTCTGCTGTATTTTCAAGGATTCTAGACTGGACAGTCCCACTTCTGATAACTTCTGTTAAATGTTAACTTCAATGATTTGGAGTCACCACTGTGAGCCCAAAGCACAAGATGTCATTACTTTTCAACGGCGATGAGTTGAGCTTGATTCTGGACAATTCTAGGAAATTCCAGGCAGTATGAAATAAGAAGTTAGAGCTCAAAAATGTAATTTTGTGATTGAGACTGAGACCTTACATCTGCCTTGGCTGTGTAATTAGAAAATATTTCGTTGGAAAGAGAGAGAGAGAGAGAGAAATGAACTTAGAGGTATGACTTTCTGGAACCTTCCAGCAGACAGCATGTACATACCTGACTAAGAGGGTACACGTGAGTGAAAAGAAGCTCTCTATTGATCTGCCATCAAACTGTGGCCACATGGGCCTGGAGCAAGTCAATGCTAATTGCTATCTGGATGCAGGCTGCCTGGGGTCAAGTATGTAGGACAAGGAAAGTGGAGGGGATGGGCAGAGGAAGCCCATTAGAGTCCTCAAGATGCTCCTTGAGAGGGATGTAACCATGTGGAGAAAGGGGATGCTTGCCAGATCAGACTGTTATCATTACTTGAAAGGCATACAAAGATATTCCAATGTAAATGGCAGGCCAGTCATCCGTGCTAGGGGTGAGACTATGCACAAGCCACTAAGGAACTTTTCCTTTCTAATGTGAAGTGGATAAGTCTTGAAGGTTTGCATGGTGAAGAGGTACAATAGAAAGTAGGTTTGCGGTAGCACCATGAACGTATCTCTTTTGTGAGTATTTTGTAATATGAAGTGGTCGCATAGCAGACAGTCCCTTACTACAACAGATCATATTTTACATCCATTTGGGGGATTGCATCATGTACAAGTAGTTGTGAGCTACATGTAAGTCAGCCCCACTTGTTAGCAAGATTGCCCGAGCACAGTGCTTACCTACCCAGATTTCACATTAAATCAAAAGAAAAGTTGTGCTTACACAACAAATACTCTTCCTGTCTAGTACTATTGAAGTGGGTTTCTTGGCTATTACATGTCATTCTATGCAAGTGTCTTATGCTACGCCAGTGCCGCCTCCCTTTCAACCTATATTTATCTGTTAGAGAGTCAGCATACGAACTTTCAGACCACCATCTGTAGCGAGTCACTCAATTCTCGCTGCTACACAAGTTTATCTCACCTTCAAAATGAAACATAACTGGACTAGCATGTAGGACAGCTGGCTTGCATCCTGAACAGGAGTTTAATGGCTATGGCTGTCAATGCTGTAATTAACAGCCATTTTGAATGCGGCTTACTTCTTGTTCTTGAAACAAAAGGGCTCTTTTTTTCACTGGCATTCTACCTCTTTAATCCAATCTTTAAATGGGACTCAATGTCACAGGATTCACTATCAACTTCCAGAAGTTAGGTTCCGCTGTTGCAATGAAAGGAAAGCTAATGGTCATTTCTGAGTGCAAATGGGCCTACACATGTGCACAATTAATGGAACTTAAGGTCATTTTAATTCTTAATTCTGGTACAGGTTACCTTTTAACAAAGGTAAAATGGCTGAGGATTACAAATGAAATCAATCTCTCACAGGAGTGATTACCTGTAGTACATCAGCCTAGAAAAACTATGCTCCCTAATTTGATAATGCCACTCAGGGACAATGTTTATTGATTTGTTTTTACACTGACCTCACAAGAAGCATTTGATGCAAGTTTGTTAGTCTTAAAATCCTGGGCACAGGATACAGATACAGTTTTGGCAGAAGAAGAAAAACAAAAGATCGCTTTGCTGATTTCCAGGATTAGATGTGATGTTCGACATATACATGTACGCAGTTTATACTTCACTTCAACAACAATTCTGTCACAAAAATGCCTTCTCTCAATTGCTGACAGAAATGGGTATATCAGACCTTTCTCGTGAAATAATGTCCCTTGGAAGGAAAAGATAACAAAAGACTCGAACCAATTTGCCTGGATATAAATTGCCCGAACCAACAGTTTATAGTCCAAAGTTCCTGCCTATAAATTGATGGTACAACAGAATTGATGGCATAATATTTCACGGTCTGGAATCTGTACGATAAACAATCGGCCTCCTAAAGGCAGTGGGCGGCAGTTGTTGTTGAGCGGGTCCTCGCATGCAGAGGTGCACCTTTTAATTAGTCACGGTAGATATTCTTTGTTGTTAAAAAACTGGGACAGATTCTCGGAATACACAAATAAGGGAAAACATGGCATTATTTGGAGATGTCTGCAGACTGAATGATTTGTCTTTTACAAACTTTGAGATGCACGGATGTATGTCAGGTCAACCAATTTCAATGTCAGTCGAGCGACAAATGGGATCTGAGGCTCCGCAATATACAAGATACAATCTATAGAACAGGTTAGTGTGGCGCCATGCAAAATAATCAGGTTTGGCTTTCTGGCAAGAACTAGTGGATTCCGCTCCGTTTTCGGTCAGTGCACAATAAAAACATCAATGGACCATTTGAGCCACAAAGATATCTCCAGGCCTGTCAGGTTGCGTCAAATTCCACAGAACGACTTTTGAAACTGTAAACATTTTGAACAACCAATTCCCTCAATCATGTATACTTCATTAATCAGTGTGTTTAAAAATCTTTCCCCATTTGATTATAAGAGGATTTTTCAGACATTTCTTCCAGAACAGCATCTGCAGACGAGAGCATCAACATTAAATACTGTATTGAAATCTTCATGTATGTAAAAAATGGGCTAACAATTGAGGAAATGAAAGGAAAATGCAATCATTCATTCATTCAATTCAGTACAACCTTCCCACTATGACCTTCCATGTACTTACTTAAACCACTCCTTTTCTCAAAGAAATCAGAAACAAACCAATTTGGGAAAAAAAAATTCCATCTCCTTCAACGAGATCAGAACGTGTGATCCATTTTAACTAATACATATTCAAAGATTACTCACGCAGAGATGGATGGTCGCCTGATGCCACCAGATCTTCGTTTGACGGTTGCGCACAGAATAAGGTCAGAGAAGAGAAACACACATCTATCCTTCCGTGCACCTTTTTGCTGGAAGAAACCATGATTATGATAAAAAAAGAATTCCACAAAGAGTTTCCAACTCATTCAATTTTTGAGTCTTGGGTTCAGTGTAAATTGTCAAATTTGTTTTCAAATCCAAAGCCAAAACATTATATTAATGTATGGTTTGACAAAAAAGTGTCCATCTTTAAACTGAAACACTAATGCAAAACATCAACTCAGCATGCTACTGCTGGGATCTCCATGCTGGGACAGTAAATATAGTTAACGCATACTCATGAAAAGTTAAGAGTGAGGGGAACCATGTATGCATGTAATGGTTTTTAAGTGTGAGGGGAAGTACATAGGGGAGCAGGGTGGGATAACGCACGTGTACTCATTTGAATCGGTAGGGCTAGAATCTGTAGTATCTGCAGTCAGTACAGGATCTGTAGGGCCGGGTGGGAAGGTCAGGGTTTGAATAGCTTGAAGGCATGCCTTAGTTTGTCTGGGTGAGTTTGTGTGTATGTGGGAGGAGGGAGGTGATGGGATGGAGTGCATACATATAGGATGGAAGGTAGTAAACATAAACTAGTTTATTGTGTATGAAGTGGAGTTTCCACAGGGTAGGACAGGAGGGGGGAGCCTGGCAGGGTGGGGGACAGAGAATGACAAATCATGCAGAATGACCACTTACAACAGCAACGCGTACCATTTCAGTGACCCCGTATTGTCGGATAAACCTGCGCTGTGGAGAGACCAGCTCCACGTGGCCGTCTATCATGGCCTCCAGGTCTCGCAGTGCCTGCTCATCCCGCACTTTGATGTCCGCCTTGTTCTTGCTCTCATCAATGGCGGTAGCCAGGGTCTTGACGGTGTTGAGGGCCTGCTGCAGGCTCTCCTGGTCTGGATGGTCCTCTGGTGTGTTGTCAATCAACTCCTGTGGACGAATAGAAGAAGGAAAAAAAACGTGGCTAATATGACATATTTGAATCGGGGGAAAAAATGCCAGCAGCAGCATAAATCCTGCTCATGAACCAGCAGTGCATTTTCGGGGGAAAAAATTGACACCCAAATGCCGTGGAACGGTGTTCATTTGGGGCTTAAACTGAAAAGCCCTAAATGTATCACGCTTTGGATGTTGTTGTTTTGGGGATAGAACACTTTTCCGTTAATAATTGAATCCATATACATGTAGCATACTTTCTACAGTTGTCTAGGTCTGCAATATTGACTTACAAGAAAACAGAAGGGAATAATCATTTGACCAAATTTGCTGTCAGGTTCTTGAAAAACAAGAGAACGATGTCACTGCTTACTCCCAAATGCTGTGAGTACCTTGGAATGGGTACTGCAAAATGGAAACGTATTTTCTTCACTCCCTTCTAGTTCTGGAATGTCGCAATTTCAGAGAAGCCCCATACTATGTTTTATCATGCTCTGAAATAAATGTTTATTTGAAGGAATGTAAGGTACATGTAGTAGTTTTGGGTTCTTTATTTGCGTTTGTTTGACGTTGGTGGTTTTTCCCTTTCTGTATAATTGCATAATGATTTTAATTTTAATCAATATTGTAAATTCACATGCAATTTAGCCTTTGGGCCACAATTCATGAATCAATAAACCACCGTAGCTATCTATGTATTGTTCAAATGTCTATCTGTAAGGTGCATTCACCCTTACTTGCCCTGCCCAAGACAACCCTGTTTGTGAGTCCCTATACCACCTTAATCCACCCAAACATTGTGAGGTTTAACAGGTTTAAGCAGAAATGAATACAACATAACACAATGTCGTACAATGTAATACAAGTGTGCAATGGGTTAAACAGCAGTTACAGAATGCTCAAGAGGCTGCATCAAGTTTGTCTATCTGTAAGGATTATATGGTTCAGCACACTATGGCTGTGCAGCGGAGTGTTCATGCAGCCACTGATCCAAACATCAGGGCTGTCCAATCAAATTCTTCATGCCAAACCACCCGGCCTGGCTCTTTTTACAAATTAAACCGTGCGCCAGGGCAGGCATTTCCTGGCTCGTTAGATATTTGAATTTGCCGTGTAACTTGCTCTGAAGCACTGTTTGCTTTGGGCTGGCAGAGGCAAACAGCGACGTGCTTTCCCTCCTGACAGAGCAGGGTTTTGATGGAATGGCCGGGATACCAGCTAGCAGAGATGCACTGCCCTATTTTGACTCCACGAATCATCAATGTCGGGCCGGACTCCTGACAGTGGGAAGGGATAACAGGGCAGCGTTGCATTACATCGATGATATGATAGAAGATCTCAGTTCCTCAGTACATGTGGACTTAGGTTCCATCATTCTAGAAAGACAGACCCTGAAACCTATCTGCTCTCCCTGGCAAGTTGCCACGATGGCGTATAGTACAGCATGAGCAATCCCCCGTCATTCAAGCATTGAGGCTGATCCCGCTATTCATAACATTGGTGTTTATCTAACTTAAGACAGGCAGATCCTGTGATTTGATTTTTATAATGTGAAAGGGGGACACCGAACGCTCGGCTTATAAAGGACGGCATTGCCGATGAGGTCCTTTGAAAAAAAACAGGGGAAAAAATGCACGCACAAAAACACAAAGCAAGCACAATTTTCTTCTTCTGATCAGGGATAACAGTTCAATTTGTCTGGTATAATTACTTTCAGTGAAATCAAGGCGAGAGCATCTCATCGTAATATGTCACTTGGTCAATAGCTAGGCAATGCGAGGAACTGGAAGAATAGCAACTAGAATCACACACACACACAAATGGACCATCTCCCTAACACAATCCAGGCATATGCACGGTCACTGAAAAGACTGACTCGGCAAACAAAACGTCATGTGAATTGGACAACCAACTTTCATTCTCGCTTGCTCTTTTTTTGTCACAGAATTCTTGGTTCATAAAGCTGATGTGAATTTATCAACGTTTAAAGGTTGTAGTAAGATGTATTTAAGATGCACCACAAAAATTTAAATCTGCTTTTGAAACTCTGACATCCAACAATGAGCGAATATACCGTTCCAACCCTACATGGGCATATCAGGATTTATGACTTGTACACAAGTCTATAAGAATGATAGTCACTAAATCTGCCAATTGCAAAATGTTCATGCAATTAAACAGGAGACGGGAATTCATACAAAAGTCCGAGCTGAACAACATACTGTAACACATCCGAATGATTAATTCAATATGGGCGATTCACAATAGTGCGCTCCCAAGAGTCTGCAACGCACTGGCCAATCACAATGCGCAAAATTCGGCGACCTTTTCCAAATGCGCATTGGGTCAACAGATTTCGCGCATTGTGATTGACCAGCGTGTTGCAGACTCTTGTAGGCGCACTATTGTGAATCACCCGTATAGTGTTGCTGCAATATGTCATACTTGCATGTGTATGGTAGATTGTACAGGCCCGTAGGCTGGGGGGGGGTCGAACGAACCCCCCACTCACCTCCAAGTTCCTTGTTTGTTTGTTTTTTTATAAATATATAATTGTAATATAATAATTTTTGGAATATAAGCCGCAATTTATACATTGATTCTCAGGCGGAAAATGTCTCTGCGGTTTATAATGAACTATGGTCGGTTTATACGGCTACATTAAAGAATGAAATCAGTCACTACATGCTGCGTCATGCCTGCAGCGCAGCCAAACCCAGGCCGCCGCTGCGTGTCGCGGCCGGCCAGCCACGCGTACCAGCGGCGCAACACGTGAGTAGAGCCGTAAAAGACAAAAACGAACAGACGTACCACACAATTTGTGAGGTGTGAACGGTATTACGGTGCATTTACAAGTCTATTCAGTCTTTCTGGACTGGTTTCCTTCATTTCCAACACGTGAGTAGAGCCAATGTAAACGGTAACAAATGAAAACATGACAGCCTTGTCCCTGTGCTCGCAGTCCAGAAAGACTGAATAGACTTGTAAATGCACCGTAATACCGTTCACACCTCACAAATTGTGTGGTACGTCTGTTCGTTTTTGTCTTTTACGGTTGTGTAATCCATGTTGTTTATCATTTTACTGGTCTTAAAAAGAATTGCTACATGGCCCACCCAGCAAGGACACTAAAACAATTTCGAGGACTCTAGAAAGTTTAGGTTTAATGAAAACACTGGTTCACATGCTGCTTCACGTTACAATTGAAGAATGCGCTCCGGAGAGTGGCGCGGACCCTATGGGCACTTCGAATTTTTGCTTCGAACGTCTGTGTATGAAGCAATATTTTACCTCCAGTTTCACAAAAGGTGAAATTTATTCAGACTCCAAATATTCTGATTCATAAATGTCGATTTCAAATAACCGCTACAAAGTTCCGATGACATATTAATTTGGTCCAATTTTCCAATTTTTTTTCCCAAGTGCAAAATGAAATGCACCTCAAAATATTTTTTTTACCATTTTGACTTAGGTGAGTGGAGGTAATAATGATTTACTAGAATTACTCACTTTTTTAGAACTTCTGAAATTTTTTGCGGGATTTTCTGAGATTTTTAAAAATAATTATGGTCGGATCATTCACTCGTCACCAAGCGCCAGATTCAAGGAGCTGAGCGAAGAGCAAATTCATATACTAGGCCAATATACAATACGCCGAGAATATTGAAAACTGAAGTAGGGAGCAAATGCAAGTCTATACATGCATCCTTCGGATCGCGACAAACATGGGACTTATTTGATTTTGTGTTCCAAAGCACACTATGATAGACCTTTGTATAAAAACATGTGTTCACAGTACCAAAAATTCCACTTATGGGTTTGACGAACCCCCCCCTGGTCTGGCAATGGGCCTGTTGTATGTTTTAAAGTTGACAGTGTTGAAACATAAGGGCGTCCACTCACACTTAAGAATACTGAGCTGATTTATGAAACTTGCATATACAGCTTGATACACATATCACAAAGACTAGCAAAAAAGGCGACAAAATTTTTCTCCAGACTGAAACCACACCACAAACATATCCAATGAGTGCTTCTGATGACGTAGGCATAGGGCAGGAGTGAATACCACGGCATAATAACACAATTACAATAATGTCAAAACCCTCTCGTCTTTAATGGAGGATTAAACTGTTTCTGTGTCAAGACATTAACTGTAGACCAAGGGAGGATCATGTACAGCGCTCGATGACGTCTACCTCACACAATCTGAAAAGTCAAGAGTGATCAGCCCCAGATACTGACGTTAAAGTGGCTCGCTCAAATGCATTTTTTTCCCGTCTTGGAGAAGTTCAACACAAATGAGCCCAGTGTAATGTCAATTCCCTTGCTTTTGAACAACCCAGCTAAATTTAGCAAACACTTTTAGATAGTAAGGGCCACTGAATGGACATTACCCTTTCTGTGATAAATTGATGGGTTACTGAATGATTTTGGCATTGTACCACAGCGTTAAAGAATAAAGTAATAACATTTTGGTAAAGCTCATTTCCCAGATGTTAGTTATTTTAGACAACACAGTTTTGTCACTTCCCTTTTTCTGCACTTTTTCACCATAAGTTGGGAGAGCTGACATTTACAACTTTTCAGAAAACGTACACAAGTTGATACCAAACCATTTCATATTGTATTTAATACAAAATTGGGGAATTACAATAAGATGTAAGTCTGATGCTTCGTTCTTTTCTTGTTTTCCCCAAAAGACATGAAAACATCCTCATCTGTGTTCAGTCAGATCCAAGCATATCAATATGAACCAAAAATAGTGCTTATTTTTTAGTTTGTTTCCTTCTGCATCTCTGATCCCAGACTATAAATTGGGAACAACAGTGAGCAATATTTATCCGGTTGAGGAGGGAAGGGTACACTACATCCTGCAGCATAAACATCTCACCTTGAGAAGCAGTTCATATCTTGGTATTCTCTGGATTGGCTGGATGATTAAGTCATCCAGATTCAGTCTCTCCTTGTGTTCTTTTGTGCGATCCTACAAAGAAGTGTGAATACCAAAATCAAAGCGTCTTTGAACCCATTTACAGCTAAAAACAGATCAAATGTGTAGTCAAATTCAATCACATAGAAATGCAATCCAACATCACAAAACTGCAGAATTCTACTCAAGTAAATTTTGATGACTTTTTACACACAGAGCCGGGGTGCCTGGTTTCGGACAAAAGAGCTGGTCTGTGTAACAAAAGACTGTACTCAGAACAAAGGACCTGCAGGTAATCTAGGTAATCAAGGTAATCTGGCACTGTTTTGGAACAGTATACCACTGTTTTGGGCATAGCGCGCCCGCAGATTAGAACCGTGGACAAAAGTGCTCCAGGGCCCCATTGATGAGCAACACAGCACCTCTGCTCACTAATCCAGCTGCGTATGGAAAGACGCAACTGGCATTCACCGGAACAAAGGAAATTATGCAACACCTCACAATTCTGGGCTCTCTTTTACAGGGCTGAAGGCCTGGGCTGAATACTCGGGCATCAATGAAGGTTGCCTGTCAGATTAGAGTAGCCACCAGACAGTCGTTCGTGTGGGGTGTAAACGTCCAGTAAATGAACACATGAATTTGTGAAGAATTTTGAAAACGGAAAATCTTGAAAAGGTCCCATCATCTCATCCCGCTCAAAAAAATCCACCCGGCAGGAAGTGGTTGAAACATAATTTAAAGCAACTCTTGTGTTTCTGATCAGTATATTTATGAATTTGAGCATGAGTAGAAAAGACTCAAGTGGGAATAAAAGAGTAACTATAATGTAACTTACGAGTATCATTCACATCAAGTCCTCGCCAACAAAGTCAAATATGATATTAGCAGTCCTTGGAAACATATTATTTCTTGGCCACACATCGTCAAAATTTAAAATCCCTGAAGGGCTCTTAATAACAAGTAATAACAGAAAGTTGCTAAGAAGTCAAAGCTCAACTCCTTGTTTCTTTTAAACCTTGCTCAGATTACTTCGGGTGCAAACTGTTTGAGTAGGTCTTTCTAACATCATGTTCTCAGGAAAGGGACAAGCACTTTGGACAAATATCTTGAAAGAGTTTACTTCTGCAAAAGATTGGAATGCCTACCTCCAGGAACTTGAAGAAGGCCGGTTTGCTTGAGGCCTTGCTGATGAGCTCTTTGGCACGGTTGAAGTTGTTGGTGAATGCAGTGTATGTGTCTAGCACAGGCTGCTTGGCCATCTGCAAGAGAATGATACCAACATGTTAAGGAAAGGAGACACTGACTGGTAATGTGCTCTGGCAGAGATATTCAAATACAGTTGTACAACATAGAATGCCAACAAGGAGTCAATGACCTCAACTGCAAAAACAGATGTGGGAGGAATGAATGGTAAATGACGGTTGTGGATTTTCTTCTTAGATATGCTCCTGGGCTACAAAACATTGTTTTGACCATCTCAGAGGTTCAAGGACAAAGTTGTCTGTTGTATAAAGGCTTCATACTAGGTAATGGGACCATGAGTATTCTGAGCAGAAAAACTAGTGAGAAACACAACTCTTGAATTCACCCAATGGCTGCAAAACTGCCGTGCCTATGACTAGTTTTAGTTTCTGGTAAGCTGGGTATTTGAAGAAAAGCTACAGCTAGAGACACAAAACCTGCGTCAGACAATATACGGCTATTGCTCATCTGAATAGGCTGGTACTGGCTGAGATGGACCCATCTGTCTGTGATTTCAGAAACAGGCAATCAGGGAACACATCCAGGGATGAACTAGCATTCAATTGTCAATTTGTCATGATGATAATAATGTATGAATGATGAACCTTTCTCTATCTCATTAACTTGATCAAAACACATTAAAAACCTCCTTGATTAGACCAGGAAACTTTCGGTTTTGTTGACAAGGGGCCCCTGTTTACATCTATACTGATAAACCAAACACACTAATGCTATCATATTTATCACACACTGCGGACACCTTTATGACTTAAGTCAGTGGTGACACATGACAGAATATTTAATCACACCCTGAGGATTTCGCACCTTATCAATAAATGCCAAATGTTAAAACTATCCATCAAAATTGCGCTGAGGAGGAAATCTTGTTTCTCGAAAGAAAAAGGGGATGACTTTGAAATTTTGAACTGAAAAGTTCATAGGCAAAAGCCAACAAAAACAATTTAGCAAAATTAGAGAAAACCTATTTGAGTTTTTCTTTTTACTTTTTTTAATACTAGACAATTGAAGTTCTTTTTTAAGTACACATTTTCACAAAATCGGCCATGTTGTTTTTTTTCAGCTCCTTTTCCAAAAGGATGAAAATGAATTTATTATTTTGGTTTTGCATCTAAATTCTTCAAGTGGATTCACTGGTACACTTTATGAGGTGAAATGCAAAATACCGTCACAGGTGTTGCTGAGAACAGCATTCACTGAACCACTGCGTCTATTTATCCTGCCTCTGCATTGTGCATTTTATGAGCATTTGTGCAAGCTTACCATTAGTGATTGCATAGAAATAATTATTTTTAAAGTCTGAATTGACTAAAAACACAAACATGGCTACAAGTCCGCATTAATGCCTGTACTGCTGGGCAGTAACCTCATCAGGAAACTTGGAAAAGAGTAGGTGAAAAATAAAGGATTGAACAAGATGATTTTTTTTATCTTGCAATTAGCAAACAGCACAGCTAATTATCATTGTCCCCAAAATGCAAATCCGCACACTGAAGTCAGTTTTAGACATCCACACTTACATATTTAATTGAAAGCCATGTCATGTGAATAATGATCTGTCTATCTCTCATTGAAACAGAATTTTTATTCTTGGTGGCCCCTGGAGTACCACAGATGCCTTTTGATTTGCACATATATACACCAGGCCACGTACTTGTTCCCAGGATACTGGTTACTACGACAGGAAGAGAGCCATAAACCAAGAAATTATCACAGCTGTATTTCTTTACTTCTGGAGGGGGGAGGGTAGGGAGGGAAATAGAATCTTGGATACAATATCCTAGCAACCATGGATTAGCTGACAGAGACCTGATACCATTGTGATTAGCTGGATGCAGGTGTGAGAAGCAGAACAGGCAGGGATGGGGGGGGAAGCAACTACAACTACAGAAAAGCACAGTGATTCAAAGGATAGACAGCAATGAATTGGGTGCAGGAATTGTTTGGAAATCCACAGGTCGATAAAACTGTGTCTTAACTTGGGCATTTATTTTGTTTAAGCATCACACTGTTGTTAACACTCTATCAGACGAAGAAAAAAAATTAACGAGCAACTAGATATTTAGCTTCATAGACTGCACTCTTCATGTTGACAACAGTTATAGAAAATACGTTAACAAATCAAAGAAATTGCAGAACTTGCCAGTTAAACTACTGTTCATATGGCATTCCAGGTTGAAATAAGCATTCATCTCTTGTAACTATTTCATGCTTGTTTTGTTATTCTTTGAGAAATGGGTGGGTAGGGTTTAATATTGCTGGAGGAAATAAGGAATGGGGGGATCTCTTGAGTTCCTTTTTGATAGCTGCTATTTAGTAGAGATGATCTGCAATAAGGAGAAATGTTCTACAAGTTTCTCAAGGAAGAAAACGAAGTTATTACAATCCCACAAACTGAAAAAAACAACAAAGATCACATGAGAAAATAAAACTAATTAATAACATTCTCCTGAAGATGAACAGAGCAAGCTGTTTGAAACTTCAACCCCCCCCCGTTCTTATCAGAACCACACCTGCTCACAGAAGATATAGATCACGTGGTGTCTCCCCAAACCACATTAATATTGCTACATGAATCTTCACCATGTATACTTTCGAATCTTACAAAATAAACTCTATAATAAGGCTCTAAAAAATTTCCCCCCGCTATCCCTGGAGAGCATTGATCTCGCAAACACAACATGTGCTGTGCACGCACGCAGTACACTGATAATCACATTCTGAAATCTGCTGCGGCTCGATGCCCATAATACCTAGACAGGAACTTTGCCCTTGGGGTCCTTGTGAGTCTGACACTTGCGCGTATGCAAGCACCTTTTTCTTTCTCTTTATCCCCCGCCCCTTTTTCCCTGCAGTTACTTGCACTGGAAGCAAACGCATTGATGGCTGAATGTACTGGCTGAGTCTGAGCCTCCCCAGATGCCCGGATGATGTATGTGGCATTTGTTCGTCTCTGTCTATATTTGGCAGTTTCCGGCCAATCGCCGATTAGCCCAGCGACGAAGGCACGGTGAATCCATGCATGGTAATCGCTGTGTGCGGAGAGTACAGACACACTGTGTACATCTAACAATGCACTCGTACTTTACCGCTGACTTTTTTTGCCATGGAAATGAAATTTTTCTCAAGACTACATTCAAACTAACTACTCTAGCTTTACATCACTATTTCCGTCTGAATGAAATAAAGGTTATAGCAGATAAAAAAGATTTGTGATAAAAATCGAAATCAACCAGCCAAAAAAAAAAAAACATGGCCCAATCAAACAAAATATGAAGCAAAGTCAATAAAATATAAGCCAGTAAGCAAACAATGAACTTAAATGCTGAACAGAAATATGCATTTCGCAAATCATCGCAATAAGGAATTTTCCAAGCATTTTCTCCCACAGAATATAAAAAAGGATGATGTATCAAGCAAAGTATACAATTCTTTCTTTTTTCATTAAGTTTTATTGGTGTTTTCAGAATACAATGCAATACTGGAAAAGGTTTAATGGTAAGATCCTTGATGCTGTGTAAAATCTTAGAAGATTTCACACACCATCAAGATCCTTTAGAAGACAATACAGTTTTGTATTTGCCTGAGCAAAATTCTGGCTTATATCATTGTTTCTTGTGTTTTCTGTTAATTTCTTTTATCCCCAAATCATTTGGCTGGTCAGCTCACAAGGTACACAAGTACAAGAGCAAGGTTTCTGAGTGCCTTTGATTTTGTGAGGTTGGAAATCCCACTTTTTAATGCAAACTGGTGCTGTTTTGAATATATAAAATATTCAAATATTAAACTGTCAACCATGTAGTCAACTAGACAGTACTTTTTGTCAATGGTAAGGTTTTTTATTTGCTCATTGGCAGTTCATCATTCCCATTTAAAGCCCCTGATTGGCAAGTTTCAAAGATTCTTATAATCAGTCAAACACAGTTTCCAATGTCCAATACCAAATTATTAATTAATGAATGGCTCTTATTTGCATAATATGCAAAAGCACAAAATATAAGCGACTGGGACACCCTGCTTTTCAATGAAAGGCAAAATTGGGCAACCAGCTTTTCAATGATGGCTTGTACCCTGAGGTTCAAGCCTCAGCGAACCCATTATTCATGTACATTTTTTGTAGCTGTACACGGACACACGTGGGAAATACACTGCCCTCTAATTACTCTTTTTATGAATTCACTTCTTTAACATTGGAGACACCTTGATTGATGCTCAGCCAGGTAACACTCCAAGCAATAACAGCAACCTGCAGATAATGACAGCACACCACCCACTCACTAACACACACTTAACGATGCTGAAAATTAGTCACAGGAGAGTGATTGGAGATGATGTTGCATATCTCGTTTATAATTCATTTTGCTGGGACACAGTTGATCCTATTTGAACAACAGGAAGCTCTAGGAAAAAAGGAACATGAAGGATTCAAAATAGCTGTTTCCACACAATTTACTGGGTGACAGACGTATCTCCCTTTTCAGTCAGCTGAAAGAGACTCAGTCCCAAGGCTGATGAGAGTTGCAAAATTAAATAAGTAATCGACAATTGACTGTATTCATGAGTCGGCCATCTTGAATTGAGAGTGGGGTTAACTTTTCATTTTGGGGGACCTGAGAGTAAAAATAACAGCAACAAAATAAACGTTCATTACAAATTAATGACAGGTTTACAATTTGAGTAAGTTAAAATTTTTAACGAATTATATCTAGATACTTTAAGCTACATTCAAAAAGAAACTTAAATTGAGGATTACACCCCAAAATAGTCTGTCACTTCCTCATTTACTAGATTGCGGTGAATATGATAGATTCGGGGAACACAATCAAAATGGCTCCCCAGTGAATAAGCTCTATTGGCCCATCTCCTTTCCCTTCTTTGACTGTGATGAACCGGACAGGAAGCCACTGCAAAAAGATCAAATGCTATATTTCCACTTTGAATGCTAATTTCGCTCATGAAGTGATTCAATGAATGCTCATAGTGGAATAACTGGGATATCGTGAGAGTGTGTGATTGTCAATAACAAAAGGAGCTGTTTACAAACATTAAGCCACACATTAAAACACATACTCCACATTAACAAACATATTAAAGGTCAGTGCTATTCCTTTTTTCAATTATGAAAAAAAATTCCAGCAAAAACAAGAATTACAATGCAAGCAATGGCCACGAAAAAAGAGTCGCGATATCTTAAAGACTGCTGGTGGGTGATTGACATGTGAGATTGCGACATGGATGAGCCAAACTAGTTTAGTTGTCAAACTGATGGATAATTGGCACTGTGAAACAAGTCCAGCCCTAATCCTCAACCCACTGTCCCTACAAGGTGGCACATTTAAACAGGAGTGATGCTCTGTCCCACCATACAAAACACTCTCTGTTGGGCAGAGTGGAGACAAAAGGAAGGGTCTGGCAACTCGTTCCCTCTCCCCACAAAAAGGCAAAGAAAAAAAAAAGAACAGTCTAACTTCTGATGTATCTCATTCCTACCACCATCACTTTGTATTTCCAAAAAGAGATAACTACAACATTGAGCAGCAAACACATTATGGAAAAATTACACTTCATGTGTATTGATATTTCCAATTAAAAGACTTTGACAAAGACACAACTAATCTTTATAACCGACTCCCTGTCGGTGCCTTTTTTTAAAATGCTGTCTTTGTTCAACATCTACCCTCAACGCAACCTGACCTTTCTTGACAAGCATATGCGAGGCCCACTTTAACAGCCAAGTTTATTTCTCTTGTCTTTGACATTCAAGATGTCGGATGCATTCACTTTACATGTACATTTTAGACAAAAAGAATATTAAGATGAATATAAAGGGTAAAATGACAGCAACGCTCATCATACAAAGAGGAAAATATGCACCAAGGTACACTCTTTAAGCAGCTTTGGCAAGTAAAAGAGGTTTGTTTTCTTGAGAGGAGCATTGTGACAAAACAGTTCAGACAACTTCCCAGAAATGCATGTAACTCAACACACTGCGATACATGTATGACGTACATGTGCTTTAATCAGTGCCCTGCCTGTGACGTCCGGAAATGAAGACCAAGAAGAGAACGAAAAAAGGTTGCAGAAGATACTTCATGATGCTGCAAAGTGACTGAGCTGTGTGATTTGACTATGCGGTATGCCAGGGAAACACTGATTCCCTTGGGGTGATTGACCTACATGTGCAACTACCCACCCAATTAATCAAACAATGGACTCTAATTGTGTCTCTTGTCTAGTTTCCTGATGCTGCAAACACAGACCACTGGCAAAGTACAATGCAAATTCCAGTCAACCTCCTGTTTCCAACGTTTTGCTTTCTTCTGTTTGTTCAGCTAAATCACGTTTTGACCTTTGAGAAGAAACGACCTTCGGCAAACAAGGAAAGACTGGGACTGAATAACTGCCTTTTGTCATCCTTGCTATCAACAAGCTTGGCAGGGAGCTCAGTATTCCAAGAATCTCTGCCTCCATTTGATGTGATTCCAGACCAAATAAGAACTGGGATATTTTCTGATGGGCTCCACTCCAAAATTGAAAGGGTTAAAAATAACGGTTGAATAGTGTGACAGTTAGGCTGCATATATTGAAAAACATTAACTGAGGGTTCTACAAGTCCTTGTGTAATGCTTGCAGGATTTGTTTCATAACTGTTTACATTCATATTCATTTTTTAGAAATCGTATATTTGATTTTCCCAACAAAGTTTATCTCTGCACCATAACTACATGTAAGCAGTATACATAGGTAGGCATGCATACTGGTGAAAATATAGCACTTCAGTGTCGCAACACAGAGAAAATACTGGTAAGCTGTTCAGTTGAATCATTCATGATGTTTCCATGGAAACCTTCATGTGAATCCCACTTGTAAGACACGGTGCGAATGAAAGTCTGCAAACCAAAGCCAACAGTCGCCGTCACTTACCGAGGCGCTGATGATGTCGCCAATCTTCTGGTTGTCGTGCCAGTGGTTGATGCGCATCTGCAGCTGCTGCAGGAAGTTCTCGTGGCAGTTGAGGATCTCTGGCAGCTTGTAGAACATGGCGTCCACCATGCCGGGATCGGCGCAGAGGTGGGCGTACTCGGGACTCTTCAAGGGTCTCATGTAACTCTGACAGAGGGGCAAAAACAAAAAGAAAAAAAGGATAACACTCAAACGCCAATACTAACAATAAGGTGTCATTTGCTGCCAAGTTTCAGAGATATGAAGAACTGGCATCAAACACAATTGCACTACATCTTCATCAAGCATTTGCTGATATTAGTCACTCTCAATTCTATGTTGCCTATTGTCCAATTAGAGTAATCACACATATACGTCAAAACGAGAAATAATGCACTTTCACAGTATATCAAGTTTCAAAGGGCACTATCGTCTATCTGTACACTTCCACATTACCGTACTGTCAAAAGTATCCTCACAGGAACTTAGGAACACATACATACATTATTTCTTATCCACTTCCAATTACACCAACTTTGCCAAATAAACATCACCATAGCTGAGAGTCAATTCCAACAATGTTAAAAACTACCAGCAGCTTTAAACGCTCAAAAACAATAACCTGCTTCTTGTAATTACATGAACGTACAAATTGTTAAATGCAAAATTACTGGACATGGATTCTACTTGAATAAACTAGCATTTACAAAATTTATTAATAAGCAAAGTTCGCTGCATATTCCTTTCAAAACTAAAGAAAAACACAGTCAAACTCCCCAAAGATTCACTCTGTGGCAAAGAAGAAGGTAATGCATGTGACCCATCTTCCAAATACGACAACTGCCTGAACTGGTCTGCTGTGTTTCTAACTTTGTACACAGACAGTGCAGAGGAAACATGGCGAACAGGACAAGTCCTGTGGGAAATTTAGAGATTTCTCTCCCTCCAACTCCCCCCCCCCTTCCAAATTGACGGTAATACCTCCTGCTGAATGATGACACTGAACTTCTGCGCTGAAAGATCGGGGATCTAAATTGGTGCAACAGTGATGAACTGCCCAGATTACGCCACAGATGCCGGGAGGTTGGAGGGGGGAGAGTTTGCCTATTTACCTCTGTTCTGTTTAGACATTTTTGCCAAAGCCTCATTCTTGCAATTTCTTTAGCGCACTCTAGTCAACAAATTAAAATGTGACAAGGTGCAAACAGCCAGTTCCCCTAGGTTGGGGAATACCTGCATAAGCAGGGGGGGGTGGCATATGTACTTGCACCAATATTGCAATGTGTGAAAGTAAATTTACATCAGCGACATCCTCAATTTTAATCACTCATGTAAATTCCATCTGCACTGTACACGTACCCACAGGGATTTGAACAGAACTGAATCCACCCAACCCCACACCCAAGATATGTGCTAATGTACATGGATAAGGTTAAGTCAAGCAGAGAAGGGTAAACTGACAAACTACAGTACATGTATGTCACTCTTCTGTCTGTCTGTACTGCTGTCTGTTTGTTTGTGAAATTTATGGTGCGAATGCAGGAAATAAAGCCACTATTTGTAAGTAGCTTGGATGAACCCTGAGGTACCAAACAGTTCCCAATGTGGGTGGGTGTAAATTCAAAGCATTAGGAAAAGGAAATGGAAAATAAATACATCCAGGAGCCCATTTTTTTTTCGAATCTCTCATTTAATCTTTCACGTTAAATGACGAGGAACAATTATTGCAAATGTCGAGATTTTCTGAAAACCAACCACAAGATTTTGGAAAACATGACACAGTGCTCTGAGAAATGAAAAAAACTGAGAATGTTCTGAACATTAGACGACATTAACCCTTACTTTCCGGGAAACCTTGCTGACAACCTGACATTTGTGAATTTAGACAAGAAAAGCACACAAATACAATGGTTCAAATTCAGGACACCCTCCACTGGAAGAACACAAGGAACTATAGTTGTGCCTTGCACATAATGAATGCCTAAAATTGCTCCCAGGAATGCATGTACTGATCCCTCCCCCCCCGGGTTTTCATGTCCAAATGCACCCGGCTTGCAGATCGATGTTTACAGAGGCTCTCCTTAATGTTCCAAGAGTACCCACGCAGGGACGAACGACCAGGAATGCTTCATCCATAATCCATTAATGACACCTTTTTTTTTTACACCTAGCACCTTCAGATTTTAATGCATGCCCACAATCATTCAACATCACCAGCTCCTGCCCACGAGCCGGGTGGTTGCAAAGTCTGGCCGTGTCCCTTCACGACATTAAAAGAACAATTTACAAGGTCCTGGAGGTGTAAAAATAAATCAATTAAAACAAATCAGTAAAAACAATAAAAGAATGTAACAACAGCTTGGGTTTTGGTACATTTTTAGTTCAAGTGCATTTGTTTAAATATACTCTCTAAATTTGTTTGCCCATGCCGATTTCTGGGGAACTGTCTACGAAATATTTTTGCAAATCAAGGCAGATTCAAAGGCCTAAGAGCTATTTGTGAACCCACCATCCATACCATAATTGATTGGCTGGCCATATTTATGTAACACAATAAATCCACAGAAAGCAAACCAGTAGTTATGTGTCGTTCTCATCACTGACAAAAATGGCAACCATCACAGACCGGACAGCTGAATAAAGTCAAACATGGACTGCACTTTATGGAAATATCTTAATTTAGGACCCAACACATACACCAGAAAGGATCCTATTTTTGAAACAGCCTGTGGGATATGATTGTCAGTCTTGTCAGAATAACTGGAGCCTTGTGCAAGGTCTTAAAAGGCTCTAATCAACTGTGTGATAGCTCTGTTCCCAAGGAGCAGCTTCAGCACACAGGCTAGATCTTTCAATTTCAAACCTTTTGATATTGTTGGCCAGAAAAAGTACATGTTTTCTAAAAAGCCAATGAAAAAATAGTCTTCTTTCAGATTTCTGTTATCATGCAGTGAATGTAACATTACTCTTGTGAACACCACACAGGTCTGATTCATGGAGTATCTCCACGAGATCGAAATCGATCAATGCAGTAATTGATTCAATGTCATCAAAGCCTACCCATACAAACATTGACCCCTTCAAACTAAAGCTACTTTTCCAAAAGGAGTCCTCTAGCCGGATGACCTATTACAACTCTATAAAGAGACTTCCTCCCCAAACGAGAAAAGTGAACAGGCTGTAGGCCTACATCGTACTTGAAATCAGTCAATGTGGTTGCATTAACTCCAAGCACCACATGTCTTTACTGTATTGGCTGCTGGATTTGTGTATCATGCAGCCACTGGAAATTTACACCGATTTAAAAGACCCAACTTACAAGTGCAAATGACCACTTGGATCCAAGCATAGTTTAATAAGCGGCACAAAATAAAACCCTCCCGACTATACCAAAGACTTCTAGGCTGGCTCCAAAAGGGTGCCATATTAATCTTAGCGAAATATTTGATGCGGTGCCAAAATTTTTCTACTCGGCGACTGACACAAGAAGAGACCCTGAAATGATTGGGGGGAGGGGGTCATTGATGGTTATGCAAACACTCACCAAGGCTCCAGTGGTTATGGTGTTATCTACTTGTCTATCTGGGCTGGCACCACTTGGTCCATTTGTTTGGGGGGGGGCAGATTTGTGTCAATGGTTGGCTAAAGTTCAACTAAGTATTTTTCTGTAAATGTATGTTGCTACACAAATCACAGAGCATATCTTTCAATCACATCCCAGCAATGGCCAATTTACTTTTCAGTTTTTAACTCATTTCAAAATAAAATTGAACAGAAAACTGCACAGACGATTTCTTAACATTGTTTGTGTGTTTTTGTTGCTTGTTGAGGGTGGGTAGGCCTTCATTGGGTTAAATGGACAATTTCTTTTGTTAGGCAAATTAGGACTAAGTTGTTGGGATATTTCTCTGTCCCCATAACATTTTGGTCCTAACAGAGTGAAATGTCAAAAGTGTTTGTCCCCAACAAATACGGGACTAGTTTGCGCCTGTTGTTATTTTTGTTTTCATTTCACAAATAATGGTGTTACATTTCACTGAACCTCCACGCATTAAACCTGATTTTGGCACTCTGTGACTGTCAGTCCTTAGAAAATTAAAAAACCGTCCTGCAAACAAAGTATGGGGAATACACTGAATGCCAAATAGAGCTTAAGCCTGATCAACATGTACATGTACAATGCACAGTTCTTTGACGTACATGTACATGTATTTAACTGAATTGCCTTTTGGTGTAGCAGTCTGAGACTCCATTAGATTATTCCTCCATACAAATGTACCATAAATCCCATCCTCGAGGTTGTTCTTGCATTAACAGTCAGGGTCCTAATGCCTCCTTGATCCAGGCAATCTGGATGCTTAAGCCCCCCCCCCAAACATGTCTCCCCTAAAACCCCTCTGACAAATGACCGGTGTTCTGCAGGACAGGCTGAAAGAACACACACTCTTCCCTCCACCCTGCTTTCCCCTGACACACTTTGAAAGTTTCCCCTGAGCCCCTTGATACCAACATCCAGAAGAGAGAGCTTAGGGATCTCAATGGAAAGGCAAGGCTGCAACAGGATTGAAGAAAGATTGAGACTTGCAGCAGCAGAAAGAGAGGCATGCAGACCTACATGTACATTTGTTCTTGTGGAATGTTTTTAACACAGTTGCACTGGGCATAATGTCCCTCTATTTGGAATGAACAATGTGACCGGAAGTACATATTATGCAAATTGCAACCCAGAAAGAGTTATGTCAGTACTCGGCAACTGCAAATAATAATAATCAATTCCATCCACATTTCCCAAAATTACTTTTTCAAATTTGCACAGAGGAGTGAGTCGAAACAAGGACCACTGGTGGACTGCATGTAGTTTTATTACGGCACACTTGTGCCTGTGGGCGAGTATTAAAATGCAAATATCTTTAGTCAAATCACTGTTGACTGTCGCTAACCAGTAAAGTAACTACTCACTAGCCTGGTTCCAAATATAAGATATGTGTAGTTGACTGGACTGATCCAACCATCTTTTAGCATGCATTTTCAATTAGTATTAGTCAAACTAAGGGGAATAGCAGGTCTTTACTAAATCTGTACAATGCAAGTTTGGAATTTTAATGAGTACCAATATTACAAGCCTTGAAGGAGGTCATACATGTAATGGTAATTATTTTTAAAATGTATCGCCCAAATTCTCTTAAATCTTCCATTAAATATTGTCAACCCCATCCTTTGGGCTGTCAAAAACAAATTATAACATGGCCAGTTCCATTTTTCAAGTTGCCAAAGCAAGGAGGAATTCGGAATACACATGGGGGTGGGGAACTGCTACAGGAAAGGGGGTGGTTGCTTCCATCCCACATCAAGTGCCTATATTTCCTCTTTTCATTTTTTTTTCCTTTTTTTGTTTTTTCCGTCAAAGGATTCCTGAATATACCACAGTGTGGAGATGACATTTACTATCCGAGATAATTGGATCACAGCTGCCTCCATATCAGCTGCAATCGATAAAATTATACTTTGAGATTAATCCTTGTTTATTCACTTGTTTCCTTGCTTCCTTTATTTTTTACCTTGAGCAGCCTGTGACCCTTCTTCAAATTCGCACTGATTGTGTCTTACTGGTAGTCAGTTTACCTGCTGTTCCCTTGGCCACCCACATAAGTGAAGCTTGACAAAACAACAACAACAGGACAAAAGAGGACGAGCAATGCCTTACCTTAACCAGAGTTTCCAGGGAGTAAACGTAGCTTTGCTCTGTCTCCAGAAGCGTCTGCATGATGTGTAGCTTGATATCCTGTGGGCAGCAAATAAAACAAGCCGACAATGTCATAACCATTCTGATGAACGGTATCTCTCCCCCTCGACACTTTCCAGTTATAAATATTTGTTTTCTATCACTTCTCAAATCCTGGCGACAAAAAAGAGAGGGGGGGGTTGAGATTGAAGCCTTGGAGCAGGGACAGTTATACGCCCCAGTGGAGATGCAACAGTAGCCGGATTTACTTGATTCTCAAGAAGTAACTGGGCAGACTTTGCTCATTCACAAAAGGCAGAAAGACCAGCATGAAGGGGGGGAGCCATTACACAAGAGGCCTTTTTCCAAGATTTTTCCGCTTCAGTTGTCCCAGCAAAGGCCTTGCCGATTGTGAGGAAAACTTTGGAAGAGGTTCAGGAAATCTGGCGAAGGTAACATACAAGACATTCGTGGTTTAAACCCCCAAAAAACTGACTAGGGATAACACAGACTGAGAGACCACCACAGCGTGAAACACATCAGGCTTTCAGAGGACAGAAACTAGAGAGACTGAGTTAAAAACAATTCCCTCCGACAAATGGGGCAAATAGTCCTTGGATGTGAACTTTTATTTGCTTTAAGCATGGGGCTCCCATTGGCCCCCAGGAGGAAATGATTTTGGCAAAATGTCAAGTATAATTTCGCCTGGGGTCCCTGCTTGCCCTGTGCTTCATTTCCTGGGGAAAAGGTAGCCTCAGAACAGGTCCAGAACTATGGCCTGCATTTCCTTGCCTGCACCTTACCAGAGTATACCGGGCACAATGATTGATTGCAAAACTAGTTCAACAGTTTCCGACATTTTTTATTGCAAAAGTTCCTCATGAACACATGTACCCAAAGTAATTCTCCCTAAGGGTATGTCTTTAGGGCTCTTAGTTGCACTGCCATAAAGTCTTTGCTGAAGTCATTGTATGTGTAAAAAGTAAAGAGAATCTTTCTTTTTTCCCTTCTGGAAATAACCACAATAAGTTTCCTGGAAGCTAAACATAATGAACAAGACTACAAGACTGTCTGGACCTTACATAGGTCAGTGCAGAACCAGCCATTCAAGGATGAATTGGCTCTACAGATCCACTGAAATAATGCTAAATGGAGTCTGACAGCCTGACTGTCTGGGCTTTGGCTAAATGATTATTAATTGCTTGAAGGACACTAAATGCCTGCAGTAAATCAAGAGAGAGAGAGAGGGAGGGGGGGGCAACACCAGTATTATTAGATTATTCAGATTTGATTGAAGTACACATGTGAACATGTTGATGAGTCATTAACACATCACATTAAAAGCTAGCACAAAGCTGGGAACAGATTGTCAACTCCAACTACACATGAGCATCATTCACATGGGTAGCCACATGCACGGAAACATAGACTAGGTTTTCAAAATTACACCTTACGACATGTTTGCTAGCGGTACCCACTGCTCCTCTAGCATGAGCCCTACAGCCAACCCTGGCAAGTTTGGTGATTGAGTAGTAAGCCATCCGCTCCAGTAAAGAGGTTGTGGGTTCGAGTCCCTCTGACAACACTGGGTACATGTACACAAAACTGTTAAGAAATACACTTCATCAGTGGGCAGAAAAGCACCCAGTGTTAAGCCCAGTTCTTCCTTTGACAACAAAGTCGCTATGCACAAGTGCCCTCTCATCACTGGACACCAAAAAGCATGGTTCCCATTATTATTTGAAACTGAAATTTATGCCTGAGGAGGGGACCAAGAACGGCCTACCAACCTCTCTCATACATGTACATTATACATATACATTATATGTGTACATTATACATGTACAGGGAAAGCAAACCAGGTAGAGCATGTTGAACCAAAGTACAAACATTGGCCAGTCACATCAGCCCACAGGCAAGCCACTGCCATGCTAGGGAAACAAAGAGGATGAATGTTCAGGCCCATAGGAGCTTTCAGGAACCCTTCTGAGGCACATTCGGAACTGAAGTTAGAGGACTGAATCGATTCTCACATCGAGGCTGCAGATCTAGGGGACATCACAGACTATGTACCCTGAAGAGTCTGAATGACCATCATTGACAGCATTTCATAATATCAAAGGCATTAATCAGTACTTCTGATAGAAACACCTGCCATACAAAGGGATCAATCAAGTACACGTGGGCTCAGATGCTATCACAGCTTGTAATTGCATACTGCAATGGCCAGTGAAGTTGATATAGTAATGTTATGCAATTACATGAACATTTACCTGTATGTGCTTAATGATGACAATAATGCAGGTTCCGTGATGTGGAAGATTTGATCGTTTATTTTTTCCTAAAAACTTCTGCATCAAAGTCACACTTGTGAAACAAACAGAATGCACAAAAACATTTTCATGGGCAGAGTGTACAATATTTTAAGAAACCAGCTGTTGAAACCCACAGGGCTTGAAAGTTTAATAAAAAAAGGAGGGAGGGCCAAGGAATTTGTTGGCAGTTTACATGTAGGAGCACCGTTTGTGATACAATCTTTCATGCTCTTTCATTGCTGGCCTGGCTTTTCAATTTTTTTAAGGGCTGGAGGGGGCTCATTAAGTCCATAAATAGCAAAGGCCAATCTCGCCATGGACAAGTCATATCAGTCAAAAATGCTTAATACGATTGCAGTACTGTCGCACGTGTCGCCTATCAAAGCCTTCCAGATATAACAGAAGTGGTTTTCCTGGATATGATGCCATGCATTGTTGACAAAATACACTTGATCGTGATTTGATGGCAAACAAACTGTATCTCTTCCACAAAAATGCATAAGGAGGGCACCTGTATAAATATACACGTAGAACAAAGATTCCATCTCTGCTCACATGTATGCATGTACTAAATGTTTGTATAACGTGTAATAAAAAAAAACCAAACAAATGAACAAAGTACAGGAATGTATATGTGAAGCAATCAACATGTATGCCCATGCACAGATTTGTACTCTACATGTACACATGCACATGCAAGTGAAATGTTGAACCACAAATCTTTTTACATTCTAAATAGAACCCTCACCAGAACTCTTCAAATGTCTAAGTGGGGGCACTGCAAAAGGTCTCCTGCACAAATTAGTATTCACTATTCCCGCAAGGGGAAAAGAAAACAGCAATTCACTTCCGATGATAAGCCACTCTCGGGCATACACCCACTTTCCTCAGGAAAATACAATGTACCATCCAAACACAACCCATTCAGGGTTCAGTATAACTCTGCAGAAATAACACCAATCAACTTCCAACAACTCTTGTCCTTTTTTTTAGAACACATGGCAAACAGTATGAAAAGGGCAAGATCACAGGATGACAACTGGCAGATTGCAAGCCATTTGAACAGGAACAGTCTATTACAACTTCTCTGAAATTGTACCACTGTTTGGGGCTCTACTTGATGAGCTTAGCGGCATAGCTACTGTATTAAGACAAGTAATCCCCATTCAGACAGAGCTTAAGAGACTTTTCAGAATTTCAATAAATGAACCAAGGACAACCATCTAAAAATATCACGGCTTCATGGCTTCATGGATACACGGGTGACGCTAGGCCAATTTGTACAAGATGGGATGGGGATGAAACTGACATTCTTATTTTCTTTCAAAATTTCAAATTATTAGTTTCTTGAGAATCAAGGTGAATCTGAAAAGGGGCAGTCCTGTGCATGGAGGCCTCCGCTTTTCTATTTTTACCAATTGATAGACCAATGATTTTTGCCCAGCAAGAACTAGTGGGACATGTCACACCTCCATAACCCTGCTGGATAGTTGGCAAAACCTGTAACATCACTGGTGACATTAAAGAGACCACAGTGAAACCAGCAAATGACAACTAACATGAAAATATCACTATGATCACATGCGTAGCAATTATCGAATAATCATTCGGCAAAATTCTGACAAGTGCTGTATCTCATTTATGAAACCTACAGAAGAACTCAGTTAGGGCCTACATGTAACTTACACTTAAAACCTCAAAAAGTAACAGTTACACAGTGTAAGGAAACAAGACTACCTCGGAGGCTTTCACTTTCAGAAAAACTGACGGATCAAGGCACAACTAAAAAGAGTGCCTCAATACCAGGAAATACTGAAAAGGAAAGGCCGGTGGGCCTGGAATTATGGAATTTTCCAGAAGGCCCGAATCAGCATTACAGGGATTACAGGAGGATTTATTTCTGGGTGAGAATTGTGCTCCAGAGCTATCTACAGGGTACTTGAACTAGGGGTCAACTGAGTACATGCACATACCAGGCTGTCGTAGGACTTCATATAAAGCTGGGGGGGGGGAGGGTGAATGAAACTTTAATGCACATGTATGGATTAATAAGCTTGGGGCTGGCACATGTAGGCGTATCATGCACAAGTAGAAGTCCACAATAGGTTTACTATTAGTGTACATATAGGACAACTTCAGTGCACAATGACAAATATACTACACAATTTAAGGAAGATGCTCGTGCAGCAAACTGGTAACAAGCACTCTAACTATTAACCTACTGCATGCACACCCCTCCCCTATCCCCTCGGCAACTAAACTCCTGAACAACGAACAGAAAGAAAATGCTATAACTTGCTCTTGTTGCGTTACCAAGATTGCAAGAAAAACTCCATTCTCCCATGATAAACAGACAGATATACTGTAGAAAGGTGGAAGCAATCCGTTTGTTTGCTTTAAAAAACCTAACCCCCTCCCCCCAAATCTCCAAGTGACAGATACATGAAAATATACATGTACATTGTTCCATCCTCTGACAGTGGACAACAAAAGCAGGGTTGTCTATAGGTTCCAGATGAGACAGTGCTCCCATTTGACGGTTCAACAAAAGACAGGGGTGGGAGGGAAATCAAGGACACCCCCCCCCAATTTCACCCCCCTTCCCCAAACAACTCTCCATGTGTCCTCTGCACTCCCTCCAGCGATCCACAAGCAGATGAATCTCTCTTTGCACCAGGGTAACATGGTTCAACCCTTCCAACGAGAGAAAGACAGACAAAATGGGGATTGTTCTTGAGGAGTCTC